AATTAATATTTCTTGTTTACTTGTCTGTATTTATAGTTTATAGGCCTCAAGTGTAAACTGATGCACTAAAATTGATATCAATCATGTTCGATAACATGCCCAAACAAAAATGTTTTCAAAATTCTCTTGCTTCATATCTATCCATCCAATACTACGTTACATAAATCACATCATAAGTTGAAAACCTATCTTCTTCGCCATCATCCTGCGCTTTCGCCTATAAAGGGTCGGCACAGTACAACTCCGTTATACGTTTCAAAGCTATAACAGCAGTGTATAAATTAAAAATAGCAGCACGGGAACTAAAACGTGTTTCTTTCGTTGTTCCCGCGCGATTCTGTTGTCTATTCTTTTGCACCTAAATTTTTATCACTAAAAGACAAATGTTCTGGCCAGTATGCCACCTCATTGGCAGAATGTTTTGTGAATTCTGCATTCAACAAGCAGTTAATACAGCTGAGTACTGGCACCTTACATTTATGAAAGATTGCATAAAAGAGCGTAGCATTGTATGAAAGCTGATATAGTACACTCGCGCAATGAATCCCTACAAACAATGGCCGACACTTAACAATGCGGTGTCAGACGTCGACATGATTTAATCCCTCGTATTGTGGGAAACACTTTATCTTTCATGTATAATTATTCAGTTTAGATTTCATCTATGCATAACTAGTGATACTAAACCGGTCATAACATTTATTTTAACCACTAACATCTAGCGTGTAAAGGACTTTATCATAGGTAAAAACTTAAACTTGTATTTTAAAGTTTGAAAAACCCATTATAGTTTCCCTTTGCTCATATTCAGTGCCATTTGTTAGCAATAATTCCAATAAATATAATACAGGGCTTCCCATCTATCATTACATCAATGTCTAATTTTAGTGAATGTTTGTGATGGCAGCCGAGCAGCGACCCGATGTAACCTTGGCGGATAGACTGGTATCTGGGCCGTACACGTACAAAGTCCATTTTTTGGTTGTTTACTTACTCGCACAAGTTTTTACTGTCGACGTTTTAACATAGTGGTATAAAATGATTAGCATTTAGGTAGCTAAGTACAGTTTTTTCGAGTCTAGGACGTAACATATTTTTGGTAACTCTTAAATTTTAACAATATGAGCAAGTTCTAAGTTTTATTATTTATCTATTTAAAAATGTGTGACCACTAAAATTACATATTATATGATTGATATTGAATTGCTTGAATTTGAATATCAAATTAATGCTATTTTTCAAAAACATTGGAAAATTTTGCTCGTCCTTATTGGTATTCTATTTCTAATCACAAGATCCAGATATCAACATGACTATAACTTACACAAGGCAATTAGTTTAAAAAGTTTACTAGACTGAATATATAATAAATGTAAAACAAAACGGTGATTCAATTTCAAAACACAATGGTAGGCACGTGTAATATACATATTATTTATACCTCTGCCTAGGTAATCCTTTGTCAAAATTAATGACTTTTCATCAATCATAAAAGAAGGAAACGACTGAATATTAATTTATGTAAAGAATATTCTACCTAACCTTTACTGTTAATAAAACCTGATATTTCCTCTGATTTAGTACATATTTTAATAACATCGTTAGAGAGTTAATCTGGTAATTGATTGATTCTACGAAGAACAACATTAAATGCGTCATAAATGTCGTTAGATAGGAAAGTACGTATAGAATAGGTATATCTAGCGTAGTGCGTATTCCGAGTTGTTTGGGAGCGTCCCTAGCCGCGTGCCGATCGATAGCGCGACGTTGCCTCTCCGTGCAGGTTGCCGCTAGCGCGCGTTGCCATCCCGCGCGGCCATGTTTATTTTTACCTTTTGTTGCCAATCAATTATTGAAGGGAATAATGACACCTGCGGACAACACTACACTATAGCTCCATTACATTCTTGCCGGCGTTTGACACGTTTTCCTTTTACATAACATTTATAATATCTAGGCATTAGGTAAAAAATGTTATTTATTGATGTTTTCTACTGAACGGAAAGATCGATTTGAAATATTTTTAAGATGAAACGTTCTTGCTTCTTGCTTTAACTTCACCAAACGTAAGTATTTATCAATTAAAACGCGCACACATTTATCATTAATAAAAGCAATTAAAATTTTCCAACGCCTTTGTTATATTTTAGAGCAATTACTTTATCATTATTTATGCCGTACCTACACGAACAGAATATACTGAAATACCTATCCATAATTGTCTTGTTTACGAATATTTTCTTTCCATTATGTTAAGTTATAAGAAACAGGTTCACTCGTAGTGTTTTGCTCTTATACTTGCTTTTGTTTTTACAAGTAAAATATCAAACCACTTTAATTATAAAGGTAAATTCTCTTTTACCTCAAATTTACTTTTATATTAATTTGACAAAATATCTTTTACATTAAACTTACAGGTTACCGCAAATAAGGCTGTCGTAAGTAAATTCGACTCTGAAGCCCTCATCAGGTGTTGTTTTAGTTCTTGCATTTCTCATTAAATTCTTGCTTTTATGGCGTCTTTTTTAGAAATGATTCATATGTAAAAAAGTTAAATTTTAAATCGAACATTTAAAATTAAATTGCACACTAGTCGATGTGTTTTTTTTATTTCTAGCAGAAATATTTTTTAGATCCCAGGTTTAAATAGAGAAGGTGAATTCAATGGATTTTTGTTACTTCATATCTTCGGAACGGCTTGATAGAACTCTCTAAAATTTTTATAGATGTAGAACATAGCCTGGACTTATAGCCTGGACTTTATTCCACGCTGACGAAGTCATGGGCGAGAGTTAGTAGTTTTATTGAAGAAGATGGCAAACACCAGCGCAAACAATCGACTTTCAAACATGCAATTTTTAATGTTGACTACAGCGACATCTATGAACTAATGTGAAAAATAATTCTTGGTGAACTAGCAAAGTAAAAATATTTTCTTTTCCGAGCAATTGAATACCTAAAAGGCAAAAGCAAAAGTACTATTACCTTGTGAGCGAGTATACAATCAAGAGGGGTTTTATATTTCTAACCGGATCAAGAGAAATATTAAAATAACTATCTACTAGTAAGAATTGTTAAGGATTTGTCTAGTTTTAATTTATGGAAATAAGGAAATCAATGAATAACAAATTTTTATTATAGTTTAATTACTATTTAAATAAAGTTAAAATAAATACATCAAGTACATAAATCAATGTTATAATATTTGTTTACTTATAATATGCACGCTAAATCTACAACATTGCTACAACAAGGCTACAAGTTAATGTTCATAATTCCAATATTATTAAAAATACTTAAACTTATAAGTAACTTACACTTAAGACTAGTAGTGTCCGTAGTTTTATATTTGTAAAATCGACATTATATAATTTTGTAGATAAATAATAATATATCTTCCATCTTACAAACTTGTATGTGTGTCAAATGTTTTTAGTAATAAAATGTCTACGCTTTCTCGAGGAACAATTACAATTAAAAAAAAACATTTGTTATAATGCATAAAAATGTGTTCAATGTGTAGCCGTGGTGTTGCTATTTAATCTATTAGTTTGAGGTCTGTGTATGTAGGTAGCGGGGTGGTCGTGAGGAGGGCGCTGCAGGCGACCGGGCGGCGGCGGAGGCGGCGCAGGGGGCCGCCTTGACTCCATCTGGATCTTTTGCGGGTGAACCACAATATCCTGACGTGGGGGCATCGCTGGAATGGCGCGAAATGTTGCGGTCACTTTGACAGTTTGAAAAAGAAAATGTACGACGCACAGCCACAACATAATAGTATTACTTCACACATTATAAAAAGTATATTAAATCTGAAAGACAATGTCCAAACCAATTTAAGTTTTGTTAATATAGATTCTTATTTTTTAATATATGATTTCGCAATATAAAAAGAAATCTGAATTTAAAGCGACATTTTTTAGCAAATATTAAAACCGAACTATTACTAAATATTGCTACAGCTATCAATCAGTCAGAATATATATCGTACCCATGTTTATATTTATATAATAAATAATAATTTGGATTAATTATCTATATTCGTTACAATTTTTAGAACACTGGCCATTACTTACCGCCAAAATATTTGTTTGTACTTATACCCTCTTCTGATGATGATTTCTTTCACTAAGTATCAACTATGAATTAAATAAAGCGTAGATTTGCAACCGCGTATGAAAATATAACACATGTTTTTACTCTTACATCTCAGCTATCGCTATTGATAAGATATCTTTATCAGTAAGATAATGTTGTTGTGCTGTTCATATTTTCATACATCCATCAATATGAAGGATACTTTGTTATTTTACATTGTTATTCTATAAATTGTTTTAAATGCCGCTAGTCTATTGTTACTTCACTCTAAGTTTTAAATGTTTTGATTTTGTAGCTCGTACTTTGTTATTCCATTAGACTCTAATTATTAGAGAATAAGCTGCATCTATTACCTGCCAAAACGCAAACTAAGCTCAAACTAATCGCATAAATTTAATTATATTTGCTTATGAATTGTAGCATTAACATTAGTGTATAAAAAGCAAATGAGGATTGCTTCTGTCGTCTGTGGTTGGATCGTGGCATATTTTTTAATGATTGAACGACCAAGTTATTTGAGAATTGTATGGTGTCACCACTGTTGATAATAACTAGCAGTCTCAGCGTATATTACAGCCTCATGTGACGGATGTACATCCGTTAGTACTCCACAGGACTGTGCCTTTTAGATAATTTCAGACAATAGTCAGTAACAGTCGCAATTTTATTGAATACGTTTTATATAACACCATGGTAAAACTTAAGCATTTTTCTACGCTAGTAAACGATCATCATCCCTTTAAAACTATATATATTTTTGAAATAGCAAGTGCTTTCGCTAAGAAAAAATACAAAATGCGAAATAATTAGTGTGATAATGTGACGAATTAAATTTCTTTCTGATCATACAAGTGTTTGCCTTTTCACACAAAAAAGTTGTCAATGTCAGAAATGACAACTGTCAGTGTCATAGTTTCACAAACACGCAAAAATATTCTGTTCGTCACGTTATTTCGTATTCATGTTTAAATTTTTCTTCTGGTTGGGGATGGTTCTAGAAATTGACTAATCGATGAATAAATTTGATTTATTATTCACGTGAAAATTTAAATTAGAGCTCGGGAGTTTCAGTTTGAGTGAAGTCATACAGTGTTTTTGTATTCATGCAGTAGTGTGGATCAGACGTCTTGTGTTTCACGGATTTATCTTAAAAATTACAAGATAATGGAGGCGAATAATTCAGGGAACGAGGTGGCAGGAGCTCTGACTTACCCCGACAGGGATGATGAAAATGTGGAGACTGTTCCCATTCAGCCTCGGCAACCGATTAACTTGCAGGTAAAATTCATATTAATACCTTAGAAAATATAAAATGAAAATTTGTGCGTATGTTTTTTATATATTTTTGTTTGTCTGTATGTATGTTCCTGTAACCAAAACAATTGAAAAGATTTTAAAAGATAGGTGTCAGTCGATTCGTATTTTTCTTTGGTGTAGTTAGACTGCAGGCCAACGTTTTTTAAATATTTTACTAAGAATTAATATGTTAACTTGCTAAGTGCTAATAAGTGTAGTAAATAACTCATAAAACTTTTTAGGGCCTGCTACGTTTTGCTATGGAGGCTACAAAACGTGAAGATGCTCCCGGAACATCTGGGTTCAGGAGAATGGATGAAGAGGTAATTTACAATGAATACATGCTTATTTTCATTTGAACTTTACATAAGATAGGATGTTTCTGATCATGGATTGCCACTGTCTAAACATCAAATATGTTACCATCTTTCTCTTTGAAACAGATAAATGTAACTATATGTTTTTACATAGTTGTTTTAGCAGTGTAAACTCATAGGCAAGATATACAGCTTAATCTGGTTAAAAGAGAATCCTTGTTCAGTGTTGATGGATATTTCCATAAGCAAGAAAAGTATCACAGTCCTTTGGATTCTGGCTTATCTGGGCTCCACTACAAAACAAAATGTTACGTCATTCAAAACCACTCTACAATTAAGAAAAAATTGTATTTTAAATATTCACATTTTCAGAGGAGGGCATTTTTGGAGGAAGCTTTAAACAGCATGTCAGTAGATGTACCTAAGTTGTTGAAGGATGCTGTCAAAATACTGTCCGATCCGGAGAAGATTAACAGTATTCAGATGGATCAGGATCCACCTGATGATGTTGCGGCAGCTTTCTTCAACATTCAGGAGTTTATCTGCGACATTGATGTGGCTAATGGTAAGTGTTCATATAAAGTAGTTGGACATATTGGGTAATTGAGCCAGATCACCTGTGCAATAATTCCTTCTACTTGAATTAAGATTTTATAACAATAATCTTTAAAATTAAGTTACAACACAATTAAGTATTTCTTTTTTTACAGATTTCCACAAGATAGGAGGGTTCTCAATATTTCCTGTCTGCCTGAGCAGTCAGAATGCGACGGTGCGAATTGAGGCAGTCAGCATCCTTGCGGAGATGTGCCAGAACAACCCGTACGGGCAAGCGCGCGCGCTAGACGCCAATCTGATGCAAGTGGTGGTGCAGCTGGCTAACACCGAAGAGGGCAACTTCCTTGTCACCTGTCTCTATGCTATCTCTTGTAAGTTGCTTTGTTTTTTTTTAAATTCTTTATACAGCCAAATCTATGAATGGATTGTGTAATAGTAAAATATGTTGCTTTGTTCTTTATGTAAATTTGTTTTTCTTGATTATATAGCTTGGAATGAAACTATTAATTTTAAGCATCTCAATTCATTTTGATAAGGTTGTATGTTTTATTGTGGAAGTATCATAAGGCGACAGTCAAACACAAATAGTGTTTCTTTGAATTTAATAAAATATCTAAAAAGACATTTTTCGAATACATGATGTATGTCTGTCTGACTGGGAGCTGATGTATGCAGTAGCAACTTTTTTTAACCACAATTTTTTTTTATAAACGTGGCTGTCTTTGTCAACCTTGTTGGCAGGTCAAGGTCAGCTCCGCGCTGCGCAATTCCCCGCGTCCTGTAAATTTAAATATTGTTTTGCGCAGCGGCTCGTACCATGTTACCTGAAATATTGCATTATTTATCTTATACTAGGGTTGGCATTGTATATCCGTGACATTTAAAGGTGGAGTAGCAGGGTTGTCGCCTTTAGTGTATTTATAACATCAATTTAGGGATGTAGGGAAAGGCACTGCAATCTAGGTCAGCCATTAAATGTATTGTAAATCTATATTTATATTAAAATTAATGTTATCTTGCAGGCATGTGTCGCGGCTACGGTCCAGCTTGCGACGAACTGTTCGCCAACGGCGGAGGACCATTGCTTTCTGAGTTAGTGCGCAACTCCAACATCCGTGTGCGCACTAAGGCCGCCTTCCTCGTCTCATTCCTCGCTATCAATCATCGCTCTGCCAAAGGTCAGCAAATAATCTCTATAGTTATTGCAAAATATGGTAAAAAAAATTAATATCTAGCTAATATATTAATTTAATTTAATTGAAAAAAGTTTAAGAATTTTTTTTTCGATGTTGCTTGCACTGTGACTGAAAACAATCGACAGTGAATTTCAAAGCGTCACTATAAAAAAAATTTTTTTAGTATATGAATGAAAGAGATAGCCATCTCTTTATTTAAGTCACTTGTCCAGTTACCAAAATTGTATGTCTTTTTTGTAATTACAGAGATCTTTTTGGAGAACAACGTAATTGGTAACATAGCGGAATCGCTTAACAGGGGAATAGACTGCAGCACGTCCTGTACCCTGCACGCACTGCATGCTCTACTGCAAGGACCGAAACTCCCTCCCCAGGTCAATGACCCGACCATCAAACTGAAGAATGTTCTGGTAAAACTACAAAATACCAAAGAGATTGAATACGCGGAGTATTCTGATGAGAGAAAAGTTTTGAAGAATATTATGAAGATTTTAAAGGACGTTCCAACAATTGAAGATGCTGACGATGAGGAGGCAGATAGATAAATACATGGATTGATGGATGGATGGATGTATGGACAAAACTTGGGAGTGTTCGAAGAAGTTTCGAAAAGAAGTGTGGACGTGTTGTATTTTGCGGCGAGTTTGTTTAATGTGTAAATGTTGATTAATATTGATATTAATGTAAGCATTTATATATTTAGAAAATAAAATTATCTCAATGTGCTTATTGCAATGTGTTTTATTTTATCACTAGTTGTCGCCCGCGACTCCGTTCGTTGCAAATAAATAAAAACGTTATAAGTAACCTATATGTTCTAAATCTATGCGAAATTTTATCGAGCGCTATTCAACTGTTCAGGAGATACCTTCTAACAAACATACATCTAAACATTCACATTTATAATATTAGTAAGATGTATTGATTGAACTTCTATTAATTAATATTTTTTTTTTGTTGTTGCAATCTTTATGATCGCAGACACTAAAATATTTGCTAAATAAAATTCTAAGAGAGATAAAGAAAAACAATTTCATTTATAAAAATTATTTATATAAAAACAAACTTTTACTCAACGAAGTTCACTCTAATCTCATCTTGTAATTGTGAATCCTGCGCAGGCGCCAGGTCTTCATTCTTCCAATCGAAGGAAATACCTGTCACCTCTTCATACCAGGAATGGTAGTAGCCGGGACGTACGTAACCTGGAACAAAGGTGGAATTTGTTGTCTACGCGCTAACGAAAATTACTTTACAGTCCTTTTCCGATCCCGAAGGAAGACCTTCATATGCAAAAAAATATCACGGTACTTGGACTCTCACTCATCCAGGTTCGAAATAATATTGTCAAATAAGTGTTATTAATGTTATACTTTTAGACATTATTAGTTAGAAACCTTTAGCGCGAATGGCGCGCTTTCGTTACAAAGTCAAGTGTCAGAATTATTAGTGAGGGGACGTAAACGTCAACATTTTAATAAGGCTAGTGTTGCGCCTAAACACCGGCACAGCGTTGGATTTTCGTCCTAACAGTACTGATGCAAGAATATTTAATACCGGAAATATTTTGATATTTACTTGTTTTATCCGTTATGTGCAATTTTTCTATGACTACGGCTTTGCGAACAAGATATTATATAAACGTAGAAGGGAGAGGGGTGCGTTAGGTTAGGTTAGGTTGTTTCTGCCTACCACTCTGGGTTACCGGCTTGAGTTATTGTGTCTCACCTGACGGATAACCACTGAGGCATCCTAAATAGTGACCGAAGCTCACCACGCCGACCATTGTGGGTTTTCCGTCGACATCTACCATGGTAAGTGGACCGCCGCTATCACCCTGCCAACAAACATGATCTTTTTAAAAAGAGTCCTTTCAAATATCTTGACTTCCTAAGGTCACCGGCGCGCTGCGTAGTACCCTCCCCCCACATCCCGTTACGCCCCGCTACACCTAAAATTGTTTTCTGCGCAACAACTCGCGCGAACTTCAGAGCCAGCAAAATATCTGAAAAGACTTATATCAGAAAGTCATTCGTTCGACACTTAATATTTTTGTAACATCCTTTGTATTAAACATTTTAACTATGGGTTTCCATTGTTGAAACATATCATCCAATAACTTGAAAAGAAAAATAAATAAATTACCCCACATGAAGACTGATTCGTCTCGTTGTATCCAATAGAGCAGATGACCTGGTGAGAGATCTCTCCTGGGTACCAGCTGTCGCACACCTCATTGCTGATGCCGTACTGGTACACCCATCGTAGCACCTCTGATGTAGAATCATCTACAAACCGTATTTTATAATAAGTTAAATGCCACGAAAATTTTCAAGAATAGAAGCGAATTCGCTGCTTGACACGATCGTGGGTTTTCCATGAAAATAATCTCCCTTAGAAACATATCGTTATCTCTGTTTAATCAAAGATAATGACAGGGATAACGATATGTTTTATGCATAGATTTTGATGTCAGAAACTCACAGTGAATGTGTTTCGGCATATTTTGTTTATATATTTATTACGGCTATTTACAAAGCGATTTAAATGTACGACGTCACAATTTATTCTTCCATAAAAGTTTAAAATGATATGAATTGTGAAGATGGTCAGGCGCGGTGTAGATAGATGTAAAATAACTCTTACGTTCAGTCAATCCGTAGCCGCTGACAGTGAGCCTGACACCTGTGTAGTCAAAGTCCTTCATCTCGCTATTTTGTAGTCTGCATGGCTGGATGTTCTCTGACGAAATAGTTATCGTGATTACAATTTGAATATAACAAGGTTAAAGCTTTACGTTACAATCATCATCATCAGCTAAGTCACGGGTGACTAGGCCATAGTCAACCTCGCTGGCCAAGTGCGGGTTGACTTCACACATATCATTGAATTTCTTCTCAGATATGTGCAGCATCACGATGTTTTCCATCACCGTAAGAACATCGGTTAAATGTACATATGTAAACCGGAAATCGAAAAACACATTAGTACATCACGGGATTCGAACCCAGGACCTGCAGATTGCAAGTCAAGTGCTTAACCCCTGATCCACCGACGCTCATTTACGTTACCTTACAGTAAATTAATAATATTTTAAGGTCATTTAAAGTAAATACTAACCGTGGGTTTCCAATACCAAATTAGATAAAATATACTGTCATCTCTGTCTTTCATGTTTGACAAAAAAGATAGCATTATGTTTTAAACGGGAATTTTAGTCTGAGGAACCCACGTTAAGTAAAATTGAAGATAAAATGACAATCATTAACCGGAAAGTTTTAAGAAAACCCAATTGATAAAACTGATTAGCAAAATGATAAATTAACATTTTGGAAAGCGTTACATTGCGATAATTTTGTGTTGGTATTAAGAATTTAAATATAAGGTTATAAAGTGTACTTACTTCCGTAAGGTATGGGTCTATCCAGTCCAATTAGACCGATATCATCAGGCTGAACTTCGTAGTCCTCCTCATCATAATCAGGATGAATAAACTTGCGGGTTGACTCCACAATGTACTCTGGTCGGGCAAGTTCGAGCGAGCCAAGACGGACCACAAACGAATTGCGTCTGTATCAAAAAAGAAAGCAAAAAGATGAGTATAGTACGGATCTGTGAGGTGACTAAGAATCCTAGATAGTGTTTTGTTAACTAAATAGTTTATCCAAAAGGTCCCACAATCCACACCGAGTGAGAAATCATTCTAAATAACGATTATCTGATCAAATTGAAAGGAACCTTCTAAATGTAGGCGTTAATACATTCTTTCTACGACTTGACGTATAAAGTTGCAGGATTAGATTTGCAATTTATTGGACAAAAGTACATTAGTTATGTGTCGAATGTTATGTACTTTGTCTATTTCTAGTTACTAACTTAGCAAGACAGTGAGCCGCGGTGATGACCCACTCGTGGTGAATAACTGAGCCGCCGCAGGAGGAGACCTGGCCGTCACTACGAATCGTGCGCAAGTTGATCTGGTGGGGGATTTGTCCGTCTACTGCTTCCCAACCATACGAAATCCTTTGGCTGGCTATGATATAAAATTGATATTATAAAGAAAATTTTAACAGTATAGCAACAATAATATTTAAAAACAAAATATAAAAATATGGTTAGAAAACTTACCTGAGCGAACATCTTCGATAAAAGCACGCTGGTCTGTCCGACGTATGGGGTCGCACTAGAAACACATATTATATATAATATTTAGATTTAATCTTTTTTCTTTTATGTCATAAGATGGCAAACGAGCGAGCGGCCATCTGAAATCGCTGAAATAGCGAAGTGACCGTTACCCATAGACATACGCAATTGCATATGCGTTGCCTACCTTTAATCGACGGAGGAGAGGATGCAGAGAAGGAAAATATTTTCCCTTTCCATGCATCCTCTCATCCGGAAGGTCCACTTCCACTTCCCATCCTTTCCTTATAAGAAAAAGGGTGGGAAGGGAAAGAGGTCTAAATTAGGCCTCCGGGACGCACAGTCATCAGACGAAACGCGGAATTGCTTCCACTTCACGCCTGTTTTCTTTAGTAGCAGTTCCATAACATAACTTAATATAATATAATACATACCTGAGCTAGGCCGAAAACAAGGAGAAAAACGAAGTAAATGGCCTCCATCATCTCTTCAGATCAACTAATTACAATTTTACTAAGTGATTTATATATTTCTAGTCACTATCAATAAAGTAGTCAATTTCCGGTTGATACGAACACTTTACTTGGTAATTTAACGCGATTTTATCTAAAATCAAAGAAATATAAATACGATTAACGGTAGTAAAAGATAATTACTCAATTGGTAAAAACTAATCTTGTTTCTTACTTACCTTGCTAATATTATAAATGCGAAAGTTTAGATGTATGTTTGTTAGAATCTCCAGAACGGTTGCATTATTCTCGCTGAAATTTTACATAAATGTAGAACATAAATGTAGAAGATTTTCTTAATTCTTCACGGACGGAGTTACGGGCGACAGCTAGTTTTATTATATTAAAAATAATTGTTAATAAGCAGGATGTCTTTGAACCCCCTAATATTAAATTTTTTTGGTTTAACGTAGTGTGTCAGCGTGATCGTATTTACATTTTAAGATTTTCTCACAATGATCACTTTTTTCTTTGGAAATACATTTAAAGTCGCGCATTATTTGCGACGCAATTTATTCGGTTTTAATATTGATTCTTATCCAAATGTGTTTCTAATCAGGAGAATTTCATGTAGATTAATAAACAGGAAGGGTAGTGATATGACACAAAGGAGATCACACGTACATGTACGTTTTTATATCTTTTGCCACTAATCCTTCCTTACTTATTATAAATGTTAAAGTAATTCATTCTGTCTGTCTTGGCTCTTGATTGATTTAAATGAAATTTGGTACACAGATAATGTAGAGCCTGGGAAAGATCATAGGCTACTTTTTAATGCGGAAAAAGGATTGTAAGGGGTTGAAAGGAGGGATGAAATGTTGATCCGTAGTGGGAAATATGTTAATAAGTTAGAACCCCCACATTAGACTTTTAGGTGAGGAATGTGGTAAAAGTTTCAAGTCTATATACCCAGTAGAATCGACTGTTCGTTGAAACTAGTCAGCCAGGTAACTGATAATAGCAAAACAACTAGAAATCCAAAGCCATAAACAATTTAAAGTTGTAGTATCTTTATTCAAACAACGTATTTTTACATATCAACAAAGTTCACTCTGCTCTCGTCTTCTCCGCCATCTCCTTCACCGCCATCTCCTTCACCGCCATCACCTTCACCATTCTCCTCAGAGGATTCAGAAGAATCAGATTCAGAAGAGTCCGGCTCGACAGCTTCCAAGTCCTCGTTCTTCCAGTCGAAGGAGATGCCGGTGACCTCTTGGAACCAGTCGTGGTAGTGGCCGGGCCTCACCAGACCTGGAAACAGTGATATTAATTTCAAATGTTGATTTCTTATTATTCAAAGTCGTTATGATTCAATGTCGTTACGAGTCAAGATATTTACGATTCCAGATTATTATTCAAGGTTGGAGACACGGTTGCGTATGCGTTTGTTACAAAAAACTATGTTTGCTATTGTAGTATAACGATTCAATGTCTTCTCTATTCATATAGAGTTAGAATTTTTGTCTTAATTTATAACCAGGCTTGTGTTGTGTTAGTCATACCTGAGGGGTGAGGGCTGTTGCAACCGACTGCGTGACCGAAGCTTACCACTCCCACCATTGTGGGTTTTCCATCAACATCTTCCAAGGTCAGAGGACCACCGCTGTCACCCTGGAAAAAAAGAGAGAAATTTTACAAAAATGGGACCTAATTTTAGACCTCCTCACCTTCCTACTGTTTTCTTGTAAGGAAGGGAAGAGAGGGATGAAAGAAAAATATTCCCTTTTTCTGCGTTCCCTGTCGTCTGTTCCTTTTAAAGAAATGTAACAAAATAGCAAATTTTGGCGAATTAAGGTGACCAATTACTCATTTATCATACTAAAATATATCTTGGTGCAAGGATGTCATGAAAGTTAGTGTTTATTGTAAAATTATATTAATTTTCGTCTATACATCACACTGTCGACTCGCCATGCGAGTGCATATTTGTACGTTGTCATAGTGGCATTGAAAGCAGGTTACTTAGGTACTATTAATACTGGATTGTTTTCCCATATATATTTTTTTTTATAACAGAAGGGGGCAAACGAGCAGCGGGAACACCGAAGTGTTCAACGACGCCCATGGACATCAGCAATACCAGAGGAACCGCAGATCTGCATCATTTTTTATTCAGAAAATAAAAAATGAAAATATTTCTATCAATATACCTGGCAAGATGACTGTCCGGTCTGGTTGTATGCGGCGGCGCAGATGGTCTGCTCCCTGATAACACGGCTGTTGGGGTACCAACGCAGGCACTCCTCATTGCTGACACCGAGCTGGTATACCCACAGCAAGATCTCTGAAGCCGCACCACCTACACCAAGAAAAAGAAAATAGTGCTATTAACCAAATCTCACAAAAATAAATACAAGTTTAGCGTTGTATAGCGTTAGATGGCGCTGGTTTAAAAACGGAAATTTCCCGATTACCCTCATTTTCATAAATGTATTATTTCTTATTTGTAAATATAAGAGCATGTTACCGTTCCACAAATCATCGGTACGTCCGTATCCGCTGACAGTGAGCCTGACGCCGGAGTAGTCGAAGTTCTTCATTTCGCTGTTCTGTAGACGGCATGGCTGGATGTTAGCTGGAAAAATATAACAATTGGGATTGAAATTGAGGCCTGCAGGAGTATAGAAGTTACGAATTATTTGAAATTTGTTGTGAACAATATTTATTTGAAATGTTTTCGCAATCTAAAGCTTATACAAAATGAATATAAAATCTCTTTTGATACTTTATGTTGTCCAAAGCGTACTTATAAATTAAATATTATGAACCTATTTCGCAATTGATCTGCGTCAAAACCGAATCAAATATTTAAGTCCCCTTTCTCTTCGCACCCGTTTATCATTAGGAAAGGAAGAGAAAGAGGATAAAGATTTGAAAGAGAAGGTGACGCATAGGAGAGGGAAATGTTCTATTTTCGTATGTCCCCCATATTCCTCAGTGTATGGATAGTCGTCGCTTCGCCATTTTGAATTCAAAATGACTTTCTGACACGATATGTCAGCAGAATTTCTTGCTTATGTTACATATGTTAGCAGAGGTTCATGTTGAGTATACTTACGTCCATAAGGAATTGGGCTTTCAAGACCAAGGAGAGCGATATCATCAGTCTGCACTCCAGCTTGGATCTCGTTGTACTGGGGATGGATGAACTTGCGGGAAGTCTCCACCATGTATTCAGGCCGGGTCAAATTGGTCAGCCCAAGACGGACCACGAACGTGATACGGCTGTGTATAAAATCATATCATTAAACAGGTATCTAGTATACCTAAATGGAATCGAATAAATGTAAATTGTGGCAAATGTACAGTCGACTACGTAAACGTTATAACAGTTACGAAAAATGTTGTCTACAAGACATTTAAACGATTTTCAATATAATTATTTGAACATTATATCGTCAACAAATCAAACTGTATTTATATTTTAGATTGATATATATAATAAGAATTAAATGTAAACTAGGGCTTGAAAACTGATATATAAACACGGCTAAATACTCACGTATATACGTCCGGTGGCGGCACCGACTAGTTTCGAGCCCATCGGGGGCCCTTCATCAGGATGAGTGGTACTGGATTTAGCGACGGGTACTGGTGTGAGCGACGGGCCGAAATAATACCAGTACCACTCATCCTGATGGAGGGCCCCCGATGGGCTCGAAACTAGTCGGTGCCGCCACCGGACGTATACACGTGAGTGTTTAGCCGTTTTTATATATCAGGTTAGTATAATGTCTCACGAAAGTTTGAATAATTTAATAGGGCTTAAAAACCTTAAATAACAAATGTAGAACTAAGCATGTATGGAGGAAAAGATCTGATTATTACATGATCAAAGTCTTATTGATGTTACTAACTTGGCAAGGCAGTGGGCAGCAGTGAGGACCCACTCGTGGTGGATGAGGGAGCCGCCGCATGAGGAGACCTGGCCGTCCTCACGTATCATACGCAGACTGATCTGGTGGGGGATTTGACCCTCCGCCGCCTCCCATCCATATACAATCCTTTGACCTGTGATACAATCAATAAAGTTTCATGGAGGTTTCTTCGCTATTGAGGACTTATTTTAACACGTTCAATGCCACCGACATGTTCGCTGAGTCTTATATAATATGAAAGTGGCAAGAAATGTGTTAAAGAAAACAGTGACTTAAAACATACGCTATGCAAATTCGACTGAGGCACTATAGATGAAATAGCGCCATCTATTGTCTGTGTTTTAAAACAAAGGTTTTTAACTTTTTTATTTTAAATAATTAAACTGTAAGTATCACTTTCTTATTTTAAGATATACTCGAAAACATTAAAAAAAATTAAGCAGTAAAATAGTTGTGGCGAATGAGACTTGACTTCTTTTCATTTTTTTTTTAATTTCATCTTTCACCATTTTGTACCAATTCACCTCTAAACAGACTTACATACGCGAGAAAAAAATTGCCTCTGTCAGTTGAATAATATTTAGAGATTCAACGCAGTCGCAACTCAATACTTTGTTGTATATTTAATATTTAAATAGGTAGTCAATTTTACCTGCGCGCAAATCTTCGATTTCAGCATGCGGGTCCTGACGACCGATTGGCTCGCACTGGAAGAATGATAAAGTTATATTGTGTTGTTACGATTCAAGGCCAAAAAAAAGTCAAAAAAGCAAAGGTAGTGTTGCCGTCAACTTTGTGATTTTCAATAATTGTTTAAAAAAAAAGAAGTAGGCTAGGTAAGTTTACTATTTTTTCCAAATTAATCGTTCCGTTTTATGCAGATTATATAACTATTCATAATAATTATTACGTAATGTTTCATGATTTTAATGACAACAACGAATTTGTTTATTTATTTATTTTTTTTAATAAAAATAGAAGTTTCTAATAATATATTTACCTGAGCGATACCCAAAATAAGGAGAAAAGCGAAGAAATACGCGCCCGCCATCTTGGCCGTTAAAAAACTAATTAAAACAATAATTTAATTAACTCTTGAAATAGACACACTTATCTGTAAATTATCCAACTTCCCTAGATATAAAGAATTACTAGATAATTAATGATTGATATTGAATTTATCTTAAATCTAAACGAATTAAACGATAAAGATTAACGATTAGAATAAAGGATTAAATCCTAGAAACCTAATTAGGTTTTATTGTAAAGGTGATAATACACTGGGCGTGATACGGTTTTAGCATTTCCGGCGGCCTGGGCGAAATTTTCGTATCGCCCCCTTATTTGGTGTTGGAGGAAATCTACAAATATAGTGTATCTTAAAGAGCACCGCAGGCGCCCCTTTATTAAGCCTAGAGCACTGGGCAATCGCCCTATTTGGCCCTACACTAACGCTGTTATTGGAGCATGATTGTTGTGCCTTGTATTAAACAATTTTATATCTCAGTTTTTTCAAAGAGAATGAGTGCGATGGCAATATATTTTTATATATGTGGTGGCAACGCGAAGTTTTATGACTCGTATGTAGTGTGTACTTACCTTTAGTTAGTATATATATTTTGATATTTTCTTAATGACTTGCATAGGCTTGGTTTGTTAATAAAATAAAAGTCACGTTTAAAATATATAATTTATATAACTAAGTACATTTTTTTACAAATTTGTTAAGATACAAAAATATCACATCGTTTTATTGAACTAAGTCTAAGTATTTGATTTAAATAACTTTAAGTATATGACACTAAGTATTGTACAAATTCACATATTTTAACTAAGTATAACGAAGATAAAAATAAGCACCAAAGTACAGTCAGCTGCATTATTATGTAGCTGTAGACACCGTCCGCGTAGATTAAAAAATAATCATAATTAGTAGCCTACGCGTTCTTCCAGACTATGTTCTATATGTATGCCAAATTGCATCGAGATCCGTTTAGCGGATCGGGAGATACCTACTAACAAATATCCATCCACCTAAAAATTCACATTTATAATATTAGTAAGATTTACAACACTTTGTAGAATCTCGTTTTTCTGTTTCGATTACAAAAATAAAGTAAACACGTCTTCGCCAATACCAAGTATTCATAGTTGGAAGAATAACGATTTATACGTGCTTATATATTTTTAAAACCGAAGACAACTACAAGTTACTGCAACTTTATAAATACATATTAATGCAGCTGACTGTACATTTTAAGTAACAAATAGTAATCGAAATATCACTTTGATTTTATCGAATAAAAAATGTTATATACCATTTCAAATAATTTAATTTTCATTTATATTGTCCATTATAAAAAAAAGAACTGCATGACCTTCCAAACCAAAAATTAAGAGGTCCATTGTCTATGAAAATATTCGAGCGTAATGCTATACAAATATATAAGTATACATATAAATATGTATTTAGCTTGAAATGTTTTTAGCTGTCTTTGTATTTTATCAATTTTTTAATTATGTTTGTTCCCTTTTACTATATAATTGAGCTTTATTTCATTTATAAAAAAGTACAAATCCGTTTAATAAGTACTTTCCTGTTTCAAAATAACGGCTTATTTTTTAAAACTAAAAAATAACTCAATTCAAAATTAAACAGTTATTTACAATCTTACATTCAACTTTTTAAATAACAGTTAAAGCTATTAGCAATAACATAACGTTAAATAGCATAACATATGCTATTAACGCTTGGAAATAACAGTTTATCTGTTATTTATTCTTATAAACAGTTTTATTTGTATAAAAAGATTTGAAAATCATGATACAATAGTCAAAGCAGGCTGTTCTTTTCTTGAAGTTAAAATTTTATAGTAAACAACTGCGTCGTGTACTGTAGGGAAAGTGTCTAACTGCAATTGTTCACTTTCTAAAGAATTGTAGCGATCTATCATTTCTAAAACTGGACCTGGAAAACAAAAAAAAAATTAGGTCTAAAATATTTTTTGTCAAAATTTTTATTTGCGTCATTTGCTCACTTTATTTCATTTTGCTATTAAAATATATATCAGTACAAAAATGATTTTTATCGATTTAAAAATAAATAGATTAATTATATAATTTGTTAATTACCCGTGTAAAACATAATTTGCCGGGTATTTATTGATAATTGATAAGGAGATACGTGACAGCCATGATAAGATATCACGTTATTCTATAATTAAATTAAATATAGTCAAAAAAGAATTTTCGTAACTTCAACACCAACAAATCTTATACAAATTTTCTTATATTTAGTAGATAACATTACGTGAACACGTTACACAAATATTCGTGCTAGACCCTCTGACCCGCTGAGAGAAGCGTTGCAATCGCTGTTGGTTCTATTATAATATAAAACTTACTTAAACATAGAATATTTAAAAGAAAAAATAACATGACAACTACAGTATAAAGAGGATCATGAGGGCGTTAGTGAGCTGTCGTAATTTAGTTTCACTTATGCCCATTCAGATAGCCTTGTCGTTGTATATGTTAAAAATTGTGATCTGCGAAGCAAGCCAAGTTCTTTGAAATCTTCTATTGGAGCTGAAAAGTTCAAGTCACGTTGGTACCTACCGTTAGCTCCAGCCAGGAGTACGGTGATGCTGCTGGCGGCCAGCTCGCGTTGCACCGCCACCAGGCTGCGGATACCTGGCGCGTCCACGTATGAAAGTGCCGTCGCATCTATTATCACGCATTGAACCTGTACAATATTTAATTATAATCAAGGCAATATTCTTCTGTTATTATAGAACATTCAGATTCTTAGTATTCAACCCCAAACTCAATTTTTTTAATATTCGCAGCAAACACATATAAATATACTTAAAAATTAAATTACGTTTACCGCCATCTTTCGAATTTGACATTCATCAAAAATGACTTACTCTATGTCCAATAGTAGGGTCCCATTCGAAAGACTCGCTCTTGGTGAGGTTGTCTTCCTCCTGCGTGGTTTCCGCGGGCTTCAGGTAGCCGATCTTGCGGAACAGGGTCGATCGGAACAAGTTCTTGCTGGCGAAGTTCAGACCGCCACAGTAGTGGAAGATTTTTATGCCGGGGATCTCTTCCGCCTTGAACAAATCGATAATATGTTAATGAATAGTAAGATTTTTTTATTCGTCTAAAATTAAAAAAAAGTCCGAATGATTTTTGACATCACGACGCAATATCGACATTATTTACTATTCTTTGACCACGGGTTTATATCATCATTGACTTTTATAATCTGTGACAAAAATTTTGACAGGTGGCAGTTGCAAATTCAAACTTACAAAACAAACATGCAATAAATTCAAGCAAAAAATTGAAAAATACAAAAAAAAATGTGTTTTTGATTATTTTTTTTTCGAAACATTATTACAGTCACAAACAATAACACAATGCGGTTTATCGCCGATAAACGACTTCCCTATCACGTGAACTACGAAGTCTGTGTATTCGATGTGGCAAAATGGTGGATATTTATATTGATTAATTTATTAATAATGTATACATTGAATTATTTTATTGTAACAATCAATCAGGATAGAGAAATGGAAGTTTTGAGCCATGGCATGTTGTTATCAGAGTGTAATGAATAAATAATTGAATTAAAATTAATATTTGATTACGTCACGAATTACCGACATGTTAACAACACAAGAATAATAACATCAGTGATAATCATGACGTCAATAGAACGATTTTGTACTGAAAATAGTCGGATAAATAGTTTGTGTGTATACAAAATATTTCAAATTTTTACCAAATATAATGTCTCATAACAGAAATAACAAACAATAATAAAACAAATAGTACGATGCCAAAATATTCTAACCAATTTAGTCTCGTCAGTATTTGTAGTTGACACTTATTGTTCGCGCCCTGTCCTTGTCCTTGAAATACGCGGGAGCCAATCACAGAGCGAGTTTTAGCTACCTGGATATTACGCTACAATTTCACTTATAAACAAATACAAAGTATCTCTAATCGTGGATTTCCACTGTCGAAAGAAACATAAACATCATTTGTTATGTTTGAAATAGTCAACTTATTGTAAAGCTTGTTCCAGTGGTGATCTACGCTAAGAATACTTACAGCTCTGTATCTCTTAGTATCCAGATACAGGTCCGTGTCAAGTACGCGTCCGAGCAGACAGGTGTAGGGCTTCTGAGACCTGCAGAACAGCGTGCCCACACTTGCTAGAAGACCCGCCGCCAAACTTAAAGAACAATTTTACTAATAATTATTTAAAAAACAAATAAGACCGATTCTATAAAGTGCAAAGTTCACAAGCAATTTATGTTACAAGTCATTATGGAACAAATACCAACAAAAGAGCATTATTTTCCTCTGTTTTGGGAAAACATTCGCAAAAGCAAACTTTATTTACGATGAGGGAGAGCCATAAACAAGAAACAGAACAGAACAAACTTTATTTATAATAGTTTAATATTTATAACATTATTTTATATAACTATAAGCGACGAATTAACGCGCGCGTAATAACTAATGCCTGTTGAAGTTCCTGATAATATCTCTGAGTTCGAATCGTTGCTACCAACAGCAACTTTCATCGTCAAAATGGCGAAGATCATATAGGCACAGAATACTGCGGCTTATAGCCCGTCTATATATAGAGATCAGTGCTTCTATCGGCTTCAATCTGACATACCGTCATCTTTGTCATGATGATAATTTTGTACTCACCCGATGTCAATGTTGACGAGAACAGTGGTCAGGAAAGTGACGAGCCAAACAATCGCGTCCAGTTTACTTAGCCGCCAAAATCTGACAACGTAAAACATAACATAAATTTAACGTTCTATAGACATGGTAAGTATATTGTTGGGTTTCTGAATCCAGAGTCTCCGTTTGCTATCAAAGATAATACGGATGAGAGTCTCAGAAACCCAAGGTTAGTGTGTTTACTAACTTGCGCAACTCCTTGACCTGCATGAACATGCCTTTAAGGGAGACGACAATGATGGAAGCGAGCACACAGCGCGGCAGCTGCTCGAAGAATGGTCCTATCCACAGCAACACGCACAGGATCAGACACGCGCTCACCACTGTCGTCACTCCTGTCTTGCTGCCCGCCTGACAGATACAAAGATTATACAACTACCCTCACGAAACATATATCCCATTAAACTCGTGGATGACAAAGCCCTTCATCATCAGCTCACTATATGTTCCCACTGAGGGGCTCGAAGCTTACCCTAAATTAAAGGTGATATATTCCATAATACTTAGGAATTCGAACAACAGTTTGAAACAAGGCGTGAATCGAACCTGGATTGGTGTCGGTCTGGTCAACGACGCTCAGCTACTAAAAAAAAAATGGCTAAGCTCACACATTAGTTCCATTATCGGTACCGAATAGTTTCTGGTCTGTCGGACGTGCTTGAGAGAACTTTTAGTTAGTTTTAATAGTCTGATATATAGAGAAAAGTTAACCCTTTAACCGCCCTGAACGACGAATATGAATTTTGAAAAGGTTTTGGCTTACTTGATACTGTATGTAGGAGCGAGACAGACTGGCGCAGATTGGTGCGCACCCGAAGAAAGAACCAAACACGTTGCTTGCACCCTGTAAAAAAAAATTGGGTGTTTTTATATTTTTACATTTATAAGTTATTCAACAAGGAGCTCAGCACCAAAATTTCTTAGGGCTCTTTCTGTCTTAGGTACTTTTAGTCCCATAGAGCCATCTAATTTGTAAATCTCAAATTTTGTCGATGATTTACGAAAACCCATATCGCAAATATTCGTGATAGATCCTCTGATCTAAATCATAATAATGTCCTACAGACGCGATGATGTAAATATCAAAAATTTCAATTTAAAAAAAACATATTAAGTGTTTATACTTATTGTTAAATACACTAACTTTTACACGCGAATTCGTCTATCAGTATCAAAAAACGACTTAATAAGTAGCCTATTTGTTCTTCTAGAGTTCTACATCTATGCCAAATTTCAACGAGATCCGATCAGCCGTTCTAGAGATAAGTTCTAACAAACATCCACCCATACATCCAAACTTTCGTATTTATATTAATAAGATATACTAAATATACATACCAAAGCAAGAAGTTCTTGGTTCGCATCGATTTCATATTTCTCTTTGGAAGCGAATATTAGAGCCATGGACATTGATATAGTATAGGTGACCATCGTGATCGTGAACGCGTCCAGTGCTACAGACGGGAACAGCTCTACTGGCGGCACCTCGGGTACTGGCAGACTGGGGATTATTATTATATACTAATATTATACTCTGTCTACTTCTGATGCATTCTTTGAGACTAAAAGCACATTTAAAAAAATTAAAAAATTTAAAAATATAAGCTTTAACACTTGGGGCTAGTGTCCCAATATTGAATTTTTCCAAATCAGTTTGGAACCTATTCAATGCAAACAAACAAATCTATTTATATACTATACATATTAGTATCATCATCATCATCAGCTCACTATACGTCCCCACCGAGGGGCTCGGAGTCTACCTTAAGTTAGGGGTGATTAGGCCATAGTCAACCACGCTGGCCAAGTGCGGGTTGGTTGACTTCACACATATATAATTTCATCTTAGATATGTGCAGCATCACGATGTTTTCCTTCACCGTAAGAACGTCGGATAAATGTACAAATGTAAATCGTAAATCGAAAAACATATTAGTACATGGCGGGATTCGAACCCAAGACCTGCAGATGCAAGTCAAGGGCTTGATATGTAATTTTTCTCACAATTCTTCAGTAAAACAACATGGCAATATGAAAAAATGAGTCTTGACAGACAGACGGACGGACAACAAAGTGATCCTATAAGGGTTCCGTTTTTTTCTATGAGGTACGGAACACTAAAAGTGTAAAATTTGACGTGTAGTAGTGAACAATGTTTAAGACTTTATATTTTGAAATTAAATCTTAAATAGAATGTAGGAAAACATCGAAATGCATTCTGCTTTTATAAGAAGAAATTCAGATATTTTAAGTCACTAGTTCGGACCTAGATTAAGTTCTGTAAGTTAGGTAAAGTATATCTACCCTGTAGGTATATTTCCCACTAGTGCTATCCCGAATTGTTCCTTGAGGCTGCCGAACCTGGAGACCAGCGTGCCCACAACGATCGCCAGCAGCTCCACGGGAACTGGCACTCGACTCAACTTGCTTACTATCGGCTGCAAGTGGATATTTATTTTTAATTGAATTTAATTAAATTGATTTTAAAGTTAACGTTAAAGGGTAATTATTTTCGCGCGTATTTTTTATTGGTTTGTATAAAAAAATTGTCTTAATCGGTATGAGGTATAATTTGCTCTTATTCTTCCTCAAAGGGTCTAGACCCTTTAGGTTATAGCCCTATGCTATAGTTAGTCGAGTTTTTTTTATATGTATATTATTCCTGATTGTAATCATCCTGTATCCATTGTTTTACAAAGGATGTTATTATAAAATAGTATCAAACTTTGTAACCTTCAAGATTTCGTTATTAAGAGCGATGATGAGACAGGTGATGGCAGAGATGATCACCGCCGCCCAGTTCAAGCTCGGTAAGTTTTTCACTACTTCTATAACTGTCTGAAAACAATGAAAAATAAACTGATAAGTACAGTCGCGTTCGTGTGCAGTATTCCAGTTAGAGAAAAATTACACTGCATCATGCAAAAAATTTAAACTCTGCTTTTTAAAAAAAATAAAGTGGGTGCTATTAATAATTATATCAAAAATTGTCAGCTACAGAGGCAGTGTATGTGTTCATAGATTTCGATCAATCTGACATTGTGTCTGACATGTTAGGCGCTGCGCAGAACCCAATTTTAGGTGCAGATGACATTGAGTTGCCGAGATATTTGTATAGTACTAGCACTGCACCATAAAACGTTGACTAATGTATTATTTTTCTTACACTATTGTCATATTTGCCGACCACGATTGTCGTAAGTACATCTGTTTAGTACAAACATAAATTATCTCTAATCGAGATGAAATATTTTATACAGGTGTTCCTGTAGAGGAAACGTTGACTTACCAAAACAACTTTATAATTCGGTCCAATTTTACTGATCTTGACACCGAAGAGATCTTTGAGTTGAGAGGAGAGGACTTGGAAGGAGGCGGCCGTCGTAAAACCTGATACTAAAGGCTCTGACAGCAACGTGGAAACAGCTCCGAGACGCAACATCCACATTATTACCTGGCGAAAAGTAAAATGGAAACACATAATAAAGGTAAATATGTGTTTAATTAGTCTTAAATATTAAAATTTATAATTCTGATTAATTTACAAACCTGAAAGAATCCAACAGACAGACAAACAATGCTTAGAACTTGTAGTGGAGTGTACTGGGGACCTGCTATAACACCACCTGAGCACATACACAAAAATAAAAACTAAATAAAAAAAAAACTAAATTTGTAAAAAATTAAATTGTCCTAGACACTAACCTGTCGTAACATTGGCTGTCGCATTCATTAAATTAGCGTAGTCTGGATGAGTCGAATATTGAGTAACAACCTGAAGACACAAATTAAAAACATAAATTAAAAAAACAAAGTTTTAATCAATTTACATATCAAAGTTATATAGTACTTATTTATCGAATACCATAAATACATTTAAATATCTTGTAAAAAAAGGTATAGTCTTGACGGTTTTCTTTTTTATAAGAGAAAAGTATCTTACCTTCCCAGCCATTAGGCAGGCGACGGCAAAGGTCCCCATGGAGACGTGCGGCGAGGTGCCAAAGATGACGTATATAAGGACTGGAAAGAAGGCCATGTACAGGCCCACGATGGGCGGTACTTCTGCCAGCAACGCATATGCCATACCTTAAACAGATACATTTCATATTTTTTATTTCTGTAAGTAAATTTTTCAAAGAGACTAAAAAAAATGATAATATGAGAAAAAAAATATTCGTATTAATACAATAGAAAGTAGAAACACATATATTAGTGACGTACCCTGCGGTATATGCATGACAGCTGTGGTGGCACCAGCAACCAGGTCGCCTACCAGGTCGCGGCCGGCACTGTACCGGGGCAGCCATCGTGCGATCGGCACAGAATTCAGCAGGCAATCGCCGAAGCCACAACTCTGGACCGCCTTCTTGCAGCGATAACTCACTATAAACAATATAAAAACAACAAATAAGATCTACTGTTAATCATGAAGTAAACGACTATAAGTGATGGCTAAGAGCTTGTCAATATACTTGTATTTTTTTTAGATTTTAAAAAGAATATATTTGAGTAATCTGAGGATAACGGGGCAAAATTGAGGGGGTAATATTTCGTTTGAAAAATTACCTACAGAAGGTAGTGATATTCCCTTCCTCTTCCTTTTTAATCTCCCATGAAAACCATGACGACTCATCCGTTCGAGATTCCCTATCATTGTAAAAATCTCTTCATACTAGATGAATCTCATCAGTATACGTACATGGCTTATCAGGTACTTGGTAGTCGGCGTCCTTGTTCAGGACATCCTGCTGATATACCCGACGGACTACATTGAACTGCTGGCTGGGTCGGGCCGACAACCTGTAAGAAAAATAAAATATAAAAAGGCTACTCTTAAGGTAGCGTTTGACTCTTCTTTAGTACGATTGCTGCCGCCTGAGTGGAGTTTTGCCTCCGCTATGATGCCACTGCTTTATAGTTATTTACGATTATCAGCATTAAATAATCCTAAGTAGGGTTGGCGACGGGCAGATGAGAGCTGCAAAAACTAGGCAAAATTGTCGGGACTCGGAAAGCAAAAATGAGGAAACCCTGGTGCACAAACCCTACGTAAGCGGGACAAAAGCCAGGGAGATGATGAGCATCTGATTAGTCATCAAAGTTGTCTACACTATCGAATTCTTTACAGTCCAGTATCAGAACTCGTGACAGCCCAAAGTAGCAAACAATAATTAATGGAAATAATATGCGATATATTTATTATTTACATCATATCATATAATATCATCCTTTCTCGTCGTAAACAATTGAATTGGGTCAGTGATGTTTGTTTTTATTATCAAACGAGGAAATTTTCCAGTATTGATACATCAAGTAAAATAAGGTTTTTACACATGACATTACATGTAATAGTATTTAAAACTAATATAAAAAATATTTAACATAATATCATTGATAGCACCATAATTAAAACTGGGATACTGTGAAACGCGGTGACTGTACAGTTGCGGACGATTATTTCCTACCCATTTTCATGAAATGACTACCGAAGCTCACGGTGTAATTACGACTTGTCATAAGAACATAAACAAATAGTAATATATAGCTCTTATAGTTATAGTTTTACAGTATTTGATCTTAAGTGGGTAGCAAATTTAATTCTTTTACTGCGCATATGTTTTATATGCGTGCCTAAAACGCTGAAGCCAGGCTACAGATTTTCGTGATGTAAACATAACATGGACTTGCCAATCATCTTCTGTGTCCCCACGGTCCAGTAATGGTTCGCATTCTGTGTCATTGTCTCTGAAGTCTCGATCGAAGAAAAGCAACGTCTTTCTCATACGCATTGTTAATTCAATTTATTGTTTCGTCTAACAATAATTATAAACTATTATGAAATCATTTTTAATAACGGTATATCCTATTTTGATAACGTGAAAAAATACTCTGTCGATTCAATTTTTTTTTATTTTACTTTCGAGACAAATTACTTAAAACATTTGAACAGTTTTTGTGTGTTTTCGTTGGTGTAAACATACGTAAAGTAGACAAAAAACATTTGATAATTGTTATTTAGACGTTTTATACATTACTTACGTACGATTACGTATGACTTTATACATGTGTATTATCACTATTAAATATTATATATTAATAAAACAAATATATATTATAACAGGATAAATTGTCCAAGGACTTCAATTGGTTTACCTTATATCAATACAAACTCATATTACAATATTGTGTTACAACTAGTAACTCCGTGGCTTTGTTCGGCTGAATTAAGCCGGTATCCAGAGCCGAGAAAAATTGTCGTCATTTGTTTTTTTCCCAATAAGAAGACATAACGTTTATGAACAGTTTTAATTGTCATTATCTTTTTAGACTTCAGGCTATATCACTTTAATGGCCATCTTACTAATATTATCAATACGAATGTTTAGATGAATGTTTGTTTAAAGTTATCTCTAGAACGGCTGAACGAATCTCGATGAAATTTGGCATACATATAGAACATAGTTTGGAAGCACACAAAGGCTACTATGTTTTCTTTAATTCCACTCGGACGGAATCGTAGGCAACCGCTAGTTATGCTATATATTAAACAAATCGGACTATTCTAAGATTATTTTATAACTAGCTGTCGCCCACGACTCCCTTCGTTTGAAATCAAAAAACAACCTAATTAGTAGCCTATATGTTCCAGACTTAGTTCTACATCTATGCTTTTCATCGAGATCCAGGCAGATGTTCTGGCGATAACTTGTAACAAATATCCATCCATACATCCAAATATTCCTAGATATTTCATAATAACTTTAGATCAAGTTTAATTGCTCTAAACATTACAGTAACTGTGTTGGCGACACAAGGTTAAATACTTTTCTATTAAGTTGAAGTTTGACGCAATTGTATTGCTGCAAATCAATTTAACAATATTGTATTCAATGTAATTATTGTTTTAATGTAAAATCTGAACACTATTTTTAAACTTAAATATACAAACGTTAGTAACGTTAACACATTAGCTGCTATGTCGGACCATATGTCCGACAAGCTAATGTTTCAATCAAGCCGTGTCGGACTATGTGTCCGATAAGCCATACTTTCATTCAACACCTCGCTGTGGGTTTTTAATCGAATTGTTGTATACAGCGTGACCCGCAAGGCCCCATTCAAATGGTTTTGGGCAAAATTAAAAAAAAAATTGTTTTCGTTTTTCGAAAAATCATTCTGGCAGCTAACGTGTTAATAATAAAAGTCACATAAAGGGGAATAAAGTAGAGAAAACAAGTTTCTTTAGGATCTAAACACTTTATAAAATTCATACTAATACTAGCTGTCGTCCGCGACTCCGTCCGCGCGGGATTTAAAAATAGATGTTGGCCCATTCTCAGACCTACTTAATATGCTCACAAAATTTCATAAGAATCGGTCAAGCCGTTTCGAAGGAGTATGGGAACGAAAATTGTGACACGAGAATTTTTATATATAAGATTATAAACGCGAAAGTTTAGATGGCATAGATGTAGAACATAATCAGGAAGAACACATAGGCTACTAATTAAGTATTTTTTTTTAATTACGCGCGCTGTTGTGGACAAAAGATAGTTATAAAATCTCGAAACTTAGTTTCTTCTTTGAATCTCTTTTCTAAAGGGTTAGTTGGAACAGAGACTATGGCCCTTTTAACAATCAAATAAATGTTATTATCTTGAATTTTACATAGTACAAAGTTGACGGGATTCGTCTAATATTGTAATTTGGCAATGTATGTCTCAGCATACATAAGTTTTCAGAAAAACTAAGGTCATTAGATTTTTTTAATAATTTTTTTTATAGTTTTACGTGTATCAATTACAATTACAACAAAAAAAGCTTTTTACTGCATTTTATACTTTGCCAAATTAAAGGTTAAAATTATATGAAAGAATAAAAAGTCATTTTGCTTTACGACGATTTGTTTTAAGGTGGAAGTATTTCTTTACTTCGAACCTTGACATTGACTATTGATTTGTAATACAGATTGTTAAAAAAATATATAAAAACAGTTTTTTTTAAACGGAACAAGAGGAAATAATAAAGAAAATTTGTTTCGAAGTAAAATCAAACAGTAACGAATCTTAATTTGGAAATTACTATAGATTTTTTGTTTAAATTTGATGTGTGTCTTATTGTTTTTTAATTACATATAATTTTTTTTAATTTAAAAAATAAATAAGCGATAAATATACAAAGTAAACCCACAAAAATACTCAACGGATCTTTTTTCAAAATTACACTTTAAGAAAAAAATTGAATCGACAGAGTTGAAGCCTTTGCCTTCACAACTTTCAAAGTTATTAAAAAAAATATCTGTCACTTTAATCACAAGACGCGGGAAAAGCAATTTAATAACGCGACGTGTATTTTAAAGAAAGGATTGTTCGGAACTGTAGTTGATTGTTGTTAAAATTCTGTGAGACGTTTGATAACGCAAACCGACGCGCATGGGTGCACAACTGTTGGTAAATTATTTTAAAAAGTTCTTATATTGGTTGCAGAAATCTTGAGATTGCATATAACTGTTCGTTTAAAGCAGTCTTTCCCAAAGTGGGCGATAACGCACCCTTGTGGGCGCTGCAGGTCTCAAGTTGCGGTTTATAGTAAAAGTTTCGTTTAGAATTCTCCGTTAATATACATATATAGGTCACAATAATTAATTAATTTAATTTGAAGTTATAGTGGTGTTTAAATATGTGAAAATATGGGGGAGCTAAAAAGATATCTATTCCTAAAGTGGGCAGTAGACAAATAGGTTTGGGAACCTCTGGTTTATAGTGCTGTCACTTTTGGCACATGTTGTCCCTTACCTTCTCTTTGTAAAAGTGGAGATAGCAATCGATTTCAGTTGATACCCATTGTGATTTGCTATCGTTAAACAAATAATTGTAGAACAATACATTCCTATGACTTGACATGTTATTTATTCACAAAAACAAATATAACTGAATAGATAATATTGTTATTTAATAATAAAAAATATCACTCACACACACCTTATATCCTTAATGAATAAAATATGCAGAAATTCGTTTAAAACTTTTATTTGCTATGATATTGTTACGTCTAGATTTTTTGAGATGACTTTTTAGAGACGATATATTCAGACGAACAAAGTTACTTAATTTTTTAATCGATAAGAAATCGAAAATGAAACACTAATTTTTTTTTACCAAATGTTTACTACCCCTGGCCAGTTATCGATACATTGTACGCAGTCATGTGATGAATTTGATACGTATTACGAGTTAATTAAAGGGGTACCGTTACGTTACATGTTAATCTAAATTAATGATTACTTCGTCTATAATCTTGTCTTAAACTTAGCTTTTACTCATAAATGCTACTGGCGAATTCCACTTTTAGAAAATAAATATAAAAACTCTTTGTCGTCCATTTTTTTTTCATCAATTTGTGTACAGATGTAGCCAGTAATGAGATGTCGAATGGGAAGACTAGTTCGGTACAATATCATCTGACAAAACACTGATGATGTCGAGTTATTCTACTGTAATCTCCTTTGTGAGATGCTAAGCACTTATTTTATATTTTCTAATAAGGAAAGGATATTTTTTTTGTTGTGTTAGCCAATTTAACGCCACTATCATGTGATTTAACGCCTATTTTATAGATTTAAAGATAAGATGTTTTTTAAACTAAATAAAGATCTACAAAACTCTGGTCAGGGTAGACGAGTGGCTGGTATAGCACCACCAATAGAAACACTTGTATAAAACGTGTAAAAGTCTATATGTCTGGAATGAATTGTAAATATTTATTGAATATAACAAGTTTGAAATGATTCCTTGTTGTTTAATTACTACTTATAAGCGATTGATAAGGGTGGCCGGGTCAGTGACCTTTTGTTAAACTCTCACAGTTAATTATAACTTTGTGTAACTTTCGACGTAAAATAAGTGTTAATTAATATATTAAAATTTACTGTTTTAAACTTAACGTTAATAAAGATGCACATTACGATCTATTATAAATAACGCCATCTATTGCCATTATTTAATACCAAGCTACATTGAATTTGTATCGATTCTCCTCAAACCGCTAGTTTTGTCGCTAGATGTCACTAGTTGTTCATCAAATAACAAAACGCTGCGACCTGCGACGCGAATTATATTAGTTTCTCGAGAGTAAATCAATTAATAATTTACTACAGAAACTAATAGAATATCGTCTGATTAAACGAAACAACAAAGTCTGAAAACGTTTCAAGCATTTTGTCACTGTAAGGTCGTTGTAGTGTAGTTCCAGGGACGACTCTGGGATAGCGAGAAGTGTAACCACACTTAGCACCGGTGGAAACGAGTACCAAAAAACGTTAACCACCTTCGTGTGGGTGTGGCAACCCTGTTTTTAAGTTAGATACTCTTTGATTTTTAATCTATGTTGTAAAAAATGTATATAACAAAATAAAGAAGTCGTAATTATAATAAAGTATCAAAAATCTTAGTCTTTATATTAAGTGTTAATTAAAAAGAAATAGTCATGATCAATCAAAATATAACAGGGTGATCTTTTTTTATCATAAAATGGGTGCACATAAAATTCTCTATATTTAATAAAGGGCATGCATTGACTTATACTATCACTCACCATCCATTAGGATTAAGTCTTTCCTTCTCCCACTCCTTTGCTTCGTTCTTCATTGTAACTTCACTTCACTTGTCTTAAGTCATAGCAACTTTGTACTTGATTTTCACTTAAGTAATTAAGAAAATATAAGAAAAACTGTTGTCATAAATCTAGATAAATTAAGGACATTTTTTACAAAATGAACAGGGTAATGTTTTTTTAATGAATAAGATGGGACCCCCTGTAGTTCAGTTCGATCAATTTTAAAGAGCAAGATGTCATCCTATTTTTAGATTTTTTTTCAACCAAACTCCTTAATACAGATTTACGGATTCTATCCCCCTTTAATTATTACATCCTAATCCGTCTCTGTACACTAGGCTGTCATTTCAGAATTTTAATCTGAGTTACGTAATTCCTTTTGTATAGATATTAAAGCAAGGCACAGATTACTTATCAATTATCATTCATTATACGCATGACCAGTACGAGATGGCCGATAAAAATCTTATCATTGAAGAGCTATGACAAGACATTCACGGTTATCAAGTTAGACGCACTTTGTACGTCAACAAATAGGGCCTTTATGTCAAACTAGCTGTCGCCCGAGTCCACGTCCGCGCTAAATAAAAAATAGTAGCCTATGTGTTCTTTCAGACTATGTTCTGTGTATTTCATGGAGATCTGTTGAGCCGTTCTGGAGATACCTTCAAACAAACATCCATCCATTTATCGATCTATCCATCTAAACTAATCATTCGCAATTATAATATTACTAAGATATATCTATTGCAGCATGATTTTATGTGAATAACTAAAGATCGACATACACGGACTGATGGATACATACCGATTGACGCACTCATATGTTCTGCTTATTTTTTGAATGTGAAAAATAATACTTGAATTTAAAAAAAAATACCCATTTATTTCTGACATATCTTATATTAACAATCAAAGCATTCCCATAAAAGATGGACAAAAGAAAAAATACTGAGACTGTGTAATTTGCATTAAATTAAATAAATTACAATGCAAAAAGCTGATCAAGTACAAATCTTACTAATATAAATGCGAGTATTTGGATGGATGTATGTTTGTTTGACGGTATCACCAGAACGGTTGCATGGATCTCGCTGTAATTTGGCATAGATGTAGAACATAGCCTAGAAGAACACATAGGCTACTTAGTTATTTTTGAACTCGACGTAGACGTAGTCGGGGGACAAATAGTATCTATAAAACATATTGAAATAAGCGCTACAAATGAATCTTGTAGGTTACAGGAAAAATTGTTTCCTTTCAAGGTATTTTAAAATCAGGTCGTTCTTAGTAACAGAAAAAACACAATACCAAGATAGTCAAGTAATGCAAATCTATGTCTACGTTAGATTCTGTGAACTTTACAACATAAAAAAAATTCTTTAGGGAGATTCATTTTTAGGAAGTTATAACTTATAAAAAAAAGATATAAATTTTCCAAATTTAGAAAACAATATTAAATATCAGTATGGGAATAGACCTACTTATCTACAAGTAAAAAATACAATTGTCTATGCTTTTAAAATGACAATTGTCTATGCTCGCAAAAAATCAGAGGTTAACGAACTGACAGGTGCTATTGTTAAATGTTTTTGTTTATCTAATCGACTAGACTAGACTGATATTAAATCTTTTGTGATACACGAATACAAAGAATAGTATAATTTATAAAATTTATAGTTTTTATTAAAATGTTAAAAATAAAGGTAAACAAGAAGGCAATGAAGTTATTAAAAAAAATTGTTTATGGCCTCTTCTCTCTTGACTTTTCACTGCTGACGTTATTAGTTGACTTTTAAAATTGCTTTGACTTTAACATTATAATTTGTAACGGATTCAGCCAGTTCATAATATAACGACCAATAACAACCTTAATTATTACCTATTGGCTTAACACGAATATTCGCAACAACCACAATGATATAGTCATCGTAAAATACGTCAAAATTTGTATGAGATTTTTTGATATACTTTACGTCCGATAAATCTTTATTTAATAGAAATTTTATCGATGATACGATGGCGCATGTCACAAACATTCGTGCTAGACCCGCTGTATGTCAATATGATGTAATATTAAGAAAATGGACTAGAAACGTGTTATTACGATTCGACCCTGAGGTCTAACTAAATATAAACGTGCCATTTCCTTATCTATCAACTGACACCCTTATATGTTTAAGGAAGTAAATATATTTTAGTATTTAAATACATAATAAAGGATGTAACCTGCTATATAATTAACTATGTTTAAGAAGAAAATCCGACACTGTCCGGACTGGCGCAACACTAGCCTTACTAAAATGTCTACGTTTATGTCCCCTCACTAATCATTCTGACATTTGACTTTGTAACGAAAGCGCGCCATTCGCGCTAAAGGATTCTAACTAATAATGTCTAAATGTAATTAGCAAAATGTTCACGTATTTGTATTTGAAAGTAAAACACATTATGTAGTTAATGTAAATTGCAGAACAATATGCGTAGTAAACACAATTACCTTTTATTTTTTTATAAAATTAAAAACTTCTTTATTGAACAAAAACAAAATTAGTGTAAATAATATTTTATAGCTTTGGATTAATATCGTAGGACTATAATTAAAAAAAAAAGACTTAGATTTACGATCAAGGTAAACCGATTTCAAGGTTACCTTGTTAAATAATAACTAATAAGGAAAAATATGCAAAAAAAAATTCAATTTCAAGAAATCTTTTATAATCTATACCTCGTCTTATTTATATTCGAAATGTCAATGATTGTAATAAATCGTAAAATGGATTACTTTTTTCTAGCAAAAAGTTAATAAGACCCGTCTGAAAACCATAACCTTAATTAAAAAAATACTTAAATAAATCTGCACAGAATAAAAAAATACTTAAATTTCAAGTCATTATCAATATTGAATTTGAGTAAGAAAAAAAAAGGTGAAAATGTATGACCCAAGATAGATAATATAAAAAAAGCTACACACCGTTTATAACACACAAAATTAAGACAATTAAAAATAAACAATCTAATTGACACCAATGTTTCCGAACGATAAAAAGTCCTCAAGAAAAAAATTCGCGCGCGTCTTTCTACGCCGACTGTCAATTAGGTACTGTCAGACTGTGAGGCATTTCGTTTCGTTGCTGTATGGGCATGGTCATCTGATTTCAATGTCGTCTCTTATTTCATATTATCTGTGCACTGTGGGTTTGTTTACCTTTGATATTAAATAAAAATCTTCTACGACACTCTCGGTAGTAAAAAGGTCAGGAATCTAAAGCACACTGAACCTAATTGATTTTTATTGGCACAATACATATTAAATAACTAAATACAGTTAATACAAACATTAGTTATTTGAAATATACATTTTTAATTTCATTTACAATACAGAAAGTACTTGAAGGTTTCAGATTTGTTATTTTACCTTCAGAGGAGACCTTTAGTGTTCCTCGTACTAAGGATGACGCTTAATAAATATCAGTCCTTCTACATCCATAATTTTCATCTCGTGTAGTGTACGTAAGTCGTGTATGGATACCATAAATTACTTTAGTTTATCTGTTTGTTCAGAGCGTTTCGAGGACACATGTGTAAATTTTTGTGCGTTATATTAATTCAACCTAATCTAATAAGCCAAAGTTGTTTGAACGGATTAATCTCAGGAACTACGGATCATATTTAAAATAAAATTGGTAGAATATAAACTCTTTGCTTATACGAAGTTACTGGCCGGTTAGAACCATCTGTTTCTTTTCTTCCTCTATCGCAGTCGAGGCTACTTGGTACAGACAAAAAAGATCTGCTTATTTAAATAATAAGGAATTACTCACGATTTAGTTGTTAAATTGGTAATGTTATCAATTAACTTGTGATCATGTTTAAATTCTCTAAAGTATTTCATACTTAGTTGTTAATTTTAACGCAACGAATCACACGTTTTCCAGTCACTAGGCGATATACTAAATTTCCTAAATATAGAAACATCGCCTTGTAACTTCGGAATGAAAGAAGGGAAAAATTAAAATAACACTAAAAACAAAACACCAATTAAAATCTTTAATTCATTTGTTTTAACGATAAACTGGATGTTTTCATTTTTATTCAGAAAACAGAGAACAATTTCGATTAATCGTTTACACGAGAACACTACGATTTACTGACGAGAAGTCATAAAAACAAAGTCATTAAAGTAAATAAAACTGAAATACATTAAGATTCATCTCGAGGAAATAGATAAGACGTACTAATATTATAATGTTTAAATGGATGGATGTTTGAAGGTATCTCTAAAACGTTTGAACGGATCTCGATGAAATTTGGCATACATATATAACATAGTCTGGAAGAACATATAGACTACTAAATTTTTTTTTATACTTCTGGACGGAGTCGGAGGCGACAGCTATTAATTTTATACAGAACGGCTTTATTCCATAAAGAATAACGTTGTATGCAGCATAATTATGTTTTTTTTTAAATAACGCGCGGGCGGAGTCGGTCGACAGCTAGTGAAACCATAATTATCACTGTTTACAACGTTTTATGTTATAAGTTTAAAGAATGAGATTAAGAATAAAATCTTGAAGAGTTGAGATATCTGATGGACTTATCAGTCACAAGGTCAATTTTCGAATACGTGATAAGTGAAGTGTTAATAGTATATTATTAAGGTATTACGTTTGAAGTAAACCTAATACAAGATATCTAGACTCTTAAGATTATACACTCGTCTATCTAATATTTATAAAGCCTTTATGGACATACTAACTGTCGCCCGGCGACTACGTCTGCGCGGAATTAAAAAAAAAAAACATTAATCGAAATCCGTTAAGCCGTCTAGATATACCTTAAACCAAACATCCATCCATCAATCTAAACATTCGCATTTATAATATATATACAGAAGCAAAAGACTTGATTAAAATCTGCACTAAATGGAAAGCTATAATCTCTGCCTATTCTTTTGTATTATGGACGATATAAGTTCAATTTTCAAGCTCAATGACGTGAACGTTCATACTGATTTCATTTAACACGCGCTCAAACACAATAACTGTCGATAATTGTAAATACTATTACTGATATATGCGCATTGTTTGCAAGGAAATAAACACGAGGACACCAACATATCTGGCATTATATAAATCATATCATATGATACTATATTTACATAGCTTTATATAAATCAATTACGAACCTACAGTCTATCGGAACTGAGTAATACGATGTATAATTATTATTTTTTTAATTATAAGGTGGGCAACAAGTAAGCGGTCAAATGAATTCAGCCAAAATGACGAAGCTATTGCTACACATAGAAATCTACAGATACATACATACGAGGGAAAAGAAGATATTTCCCTTCCTTAGGTGTCCCCGATTCCGTCAAATCTACTTCCAATTCCCATGATATCGTTATAAGAAAAGGGGGGAGAATTTGTATCGCGTTTGCTGATGTTGGAGCGAGTTACAAACGAATGAATAAAGAAAAACAACAAAGTAATTAAAGAAAAAAAACAACAGTATTTCTTACTGGCCAGTTACCTTGTGTGCAACTGGCCAGAGCGCGCTAAATAAAAAGTCTTTACAGTGACATACTGATATGATGATAATTTTTTCGCGGGCGGCACCGATTTTAATGATAGTCATTATTAAATTTGTTTTTAGGCGGTCTGGTATATTTATAAACTAATTACTTATTGCTACAATCATTATGCATTCGAGGTCATTGAACTTAATCATTACACTAATTAGATTAAAAACGAATCGAAGTCATTTTAATTTATTATAAATAAAACGATTAAAATTTATAAACAAAATTCGACCCTAGCTAAGAGTAGTAGGTAAAGATTTAATTTGGCACGATCTTTGCACATATTTTGTGAAATTTTTGTCATAGTCGTAAAATATTAAATCGAATACTGCCCTGCGTATATATTTAAATGTTTGCAATTTACACTTTTAAATGCCTTGTGTAAACAGAAATGGCCATAAAGCAAAAAAGACTTTTTAAAATGCTACGTAGACATAGACTAAGTACAACCACAGATAATACTATACTACTACAATATGTAATCTGTTTTTGCGTGCTGACAACTTAAATAAACATACGCTATGTAAATTGCATGTTTAAATATTTCTCATTTGCGTCTCATGTTGGCTAGTGTGACGCATCGGGGCTTTTTATCGGCCATTTTGAAATTACAAATTGCTTATACAATTGTTTACTTGGTCAAATTTAATATTGAAGGTACAATAATTCGCATATAGCTAAACGTTGGTAGGATTATATGGAACGCGTTAAACTTGTAAAAACCACATCAATCCAACAGAAAAAGAATTAAAGGTCAAAAGTATCAATGGGTTTTTCACGTTTTTCTACCAAATTATGTAACAAAAAATAACCTTAATAACCTGGTTGTGTAGATCTTAAAATTATCTATAAAAACATCTGCGTAATTTTTTAACAACCCACCATTTCTGAGTTTCTATGATGTTATGGTTTTAACAGATAAAAAAGTCGTAGTTTCCAAGGTCAGCAGTCGCTAAATCGACCTCGCTAAAGGTAATGCTTTAGAAAAACCGAAAGAGCCCTCTTCATTGTATTGCAGCATTAATCCCACTTATTTAGACTATTAGGGTATGAATTATTAAAAAAATCTTTGTCAATACTTTAACAGTAGTAGGGCCCGCTTTAACATCTTCGCACGAATTGGCCAGGCTCGCCCGGTGAAATACCACGACCACACAGAAGACAGGCGTGAAGTGGAAGCAATTCCGCGTACAGTCTGATGAATGTGCGTCCCGGAGGCCTAATTAAGTCCTATTTCTCTTCCCACCGTTTTTTTTAAGGAAACGATGGGAAGTGAAAGTGGACTTTCCGGATGAGAGGATGCATGGAAAGGGAAAATATTGTGTCTCTGTGCATCCTCTCCTCCGTCGATTAAAGGTAGGCAACGCATATGCAATTGCGTATGTCTATTGGCAACAGTCACTTCGCTATATCAGCGATCTCAGGTGGCCGCTCGCTCGTTTGCCACCTTATAATATAAAAAAAAAACTTGACTATAGTCTAGGAAAAATCTGATACAATGTTGATATATCTAAGAATGAAATAAGAAACATTATATAAAATAGACGAATTAAATATTAAGAATTGGCAGTTAAATAATTAGGTTACGATAAAATAATACCTTTGTGTTAAACATTATCTTATCATGGCGTTCTACTTCGGAGAGAAGACGAGGTGAAAATATCAAGGTAATTAACATTTCCGACAACTAATGCATACGAGTAATTAATTATATATTATTTTGTATAATACAACAACATAACTCGCGTCTTTAACACGTTAAACGCTATAGTAGACATAGAAAAAATCACTTAAAAAACTTTTTCCTGGAAATAGATGCGTAATGTCGAATCTTCAAAATATATCAAGTTTAGGGTTCAATCAGAAGCTGGGTTCCGCAGATATTGTAAATAAATTTCATGTGGTCAGGTGATCAACCGACAATTTACAATATGATAAGTTTATTACTATGTCTAGTTTTACAATAATTAGTCGCTGAAATTGTCATTGCAAAAAACATGTAGATATTCTCGTTTGGATTTTTGCGACACAAAGAAATACATGCGTCATTCAATCACTGCTTAAACAAAATGATAATTATCGAATAATACGTAATAATAAATGCCATCTTACGATATTTTTACAAGATAGTTAATTGTTTCCTTGAAAGGTCAAGTTCAAAATATTTGTGCCGATTACTCTTAATATTGACTACAACAATGACGATAACGTGAACATTTAAATAAATAGTTTGTTGGCTTTAAATGAAATGTTTCTAAATACTAAAAATCTAACGTTTTTTATATCAAACGTAACTTATTTGAGTATGAATGAGGTTAAAATAATGTATACGATTTTGATATTTTAAAACCGATTCAGGGATGTTACTATGATTTGAGATGTCTAATTAATGAAAATATAACTAGTAATTTGCTATTAAATGGGGAGTGCTATCTAAGTGAGCAGAATTGTGATGAATATGCGCATATCAGTAGATTGATCTTATTCTAACCCCTTCTCCATTCTCTGTTGACACTTTCACTGATTAAACATTTTCACAATTTAATTATGGAAAGCACTTGAATGTACATTCTTATTCTTAATATTAATTTATATATCAATTAATGAAATTAAATAAAAAACCTTTCGCTCACGTCACTACGGTTCAGTTTGTCAGACACATTTGTTGTGAAGGTTGAATGAACAGCTGATCAAAAAAGTGTGAATATTACGAAGAAATGCTACTATTATAGAAGTTTTATTATCATAGTATTCGCATAATTAAAATTTTATGAAATTATGATTAATTTTTTTTAAAATAAAACATAATGATTGGTATACATAGATATTATTTGCTTTTATATTTTACTTAGATTGAACATTTTTTAAGTAAATTCATTGTTTAAAATTCAACGCATTTGTTTTGGTAGTTTTTAAAAACAAAATTGCTGGCAACACTCCGTCGAATGTCACCCGCGAAACTGAAACTGTCAAAACCATGAAATTCAATTTCAAAATACAAAATTATGTATGAACATTATTTAATTTTAAACGATAACTTGCTTCAATTTGGAAGTAAGGAAGGCAATAGCGTATTTATTTACTACTAAATTATATTATATATACTAGCTTCTGGAGTTCAGGAATGTATAAACGTTTTGATCAATATAACCTTGTGGTTACCTAACAAATTTTTTTTGAATGGCTGTACTTTGTTATTATTAAAATTTATAGCGTAGATAATTAGTAAGCAAACATCGCAACTTTATCACACTACTTAAGGCATTCGGAGGGTTTGTGTGACATTGAATTGCATTTAATTTTGTTTAAAAATGCCCGAGCGCGAAGTGGATTTTTACCGAGAGACATGGGTTCGCTATTTAGGTAAGTCTCGACATGTTTTAAATATATTTTTATACTAAAAAGTCTTTATGTAATGGTATAAAATAAGATTACATAATCCTTCATAGTTTTACATATTACTATGTACTTTTAATATATGAACTAAAACTTATGTATTATACTTACTGTTCGTCTCTTGTTATGTAACGGTCGCTGAATAGATCCATGTTCTATGCAGGCTATGCTAATGAAGTGGGGGAGTCATTCAGAGCAATGGTGCCACTGCGAGTGGTGCAAGCCAGCTACGCTCTTGCCACTGGATATGTACTGGCCGATACTGCGGACAAGAGTTGGAAAATGATTAAGGTTTGCAAGTTCCATTGAAATAAAGAGAATTTAGTTCAAAAAATTATGTAAGAAGAATATAATTACACTTTGACATGATAATTTCTTTAAACAAGTAATTCTTCCACTAATCATCCTCATTCATCATTGTGTGTTATTATATATTTAGTATTTATCATGTCCCTAATTTCTATTATATAAGTGAAATACAAATTTTTTTTTTGTGAACATATTAAATGTCTTATTAATAATCTGTGTAACATTATTTTTTCCTATATTTCAGAAAGATGGCAGACCAAAGAAAGTTCTTATAGAAACTGGTGATGCTCTGATTTGGCAAACATTAGCATCTGTTGTAATACCCGGATATGCCATTAACAGGTAGGATATTTAAGCTCCCACAACCTCAGATGGTTAGCCAGTAATTAATTTTCATTTCACAAAGACTGGTCCAATCACTTCTAGTCCTGGACAAAGGCAGTGAGTGCTAGTTTATTTCGATGGAACATATGTCTAAAAGTGTGTCAAAATACTTACTAAATATTTTATCCAGGTCAGGTAATCGTAAATGGAGTATCATTTTAAAGATAAATCGATGAAAAATGAAAACATAATATTAAAGCGACTACTTTTGAGCATATACACAGCCTAAAAAATGTTATGTGCCATACTATAGTAGAAAATATCTTTATAAATATGATGACCATAGATTCATAGATATTTTGTATTAATTCAAAAGTTGATCATACTTCATCCTTTTTCAGAATATGTCACCACAGTCAAATATATTTCAAGAAGCATTATACCAGGTTTCCGATGCTTGCTATAAATTTAATGACAGTTGGTGTGGGTTTAATATCCATACCGTTTATAGTACATCCTATAGATAATGGTGTAACAATTTTAATGGATCTGACATATAGACGATGGTTTAAATAACCTTAGTTATTTCTTTATTATACAGTTAAACGCTTATGACATTGGAGAGATCGGAAATGTACCTAATATCCTGTCTGTTCATACATAATCAGCTCACTAAACGTCCCCACCGAGGGGCTTGGAGCCCTAAGTTAAGGGTGATTAGGCCATAGTCAACTACGCTGGCCAAGTGCGGGTTGGTTGACTTCACACATATCTTTGAATTTCTTCTCAGATATGTGCAGGTTGAATCATGATGTTTTCCTTTACCGTAAGAACATCTGATAAATGTACTGTATGTAATGTAAATTGGAAATCGAAAAACACAATAGTACATGGCGGGATTCGAACCCAGGACCTGCAGATTGCAAGTCAAGTGCTTGACCACTGAGCCACCGACGCTCTGTCTCTCCTGTCTGTTACTGTTATTGTATTGATTCTAAGTCAGTTTTGTGGGTTAGTTTTGCTACCAATTTAAACCGATGTCATATTAAGCTGGTTGTACTGTGTTACTGTAAAACAGGCTGGAGTTAACTACCTCATGATAATTCATGTGTTATATAGATTAGCTAATGTGCCATAAATAACAGAGATAGTGTCATAGACTAATTTATATATTATAATTGTCAAGAGACACAAATTACGAATGTTACTATTAAAGCACTTACTGTGGATTTCTGAGACTAGAATCCCCATTCATAATCATAATCATAGTTTTGTCAAAAGTAATGACAGGGATGATGTGATTACAGATATTTTGGTCTCAGAAACCCATGGTATGTAAGATAATATTTGAAATGTCATTATTTTAATTCTGTAAAAATATATAAAGGTATTGAAAGATATGTACAAAAATGTATATTTTTTTTTCAATTAGAATGAAAAGTAGGTCAATATTAATATGTTTTTTTGCAAGTTTATCGACTTTGGAAACCCAAGATAATTTGTTTTCCATTAGTTGAAGGTTGCCATGGTTATGTAAACTTGTATTGCATTAGCATATAAAATGATAAACAAATAAGATCTGATTTTACATTACTGTTATTTCATTAATTTATGAACTATTCAGAGATGGGTTTCTGAGATGAAAATCTATGTATAAAACATATCGTCATCCCTGTCATTATGTTTGACAAAATAGAGATAACATGTTTTAAACAGGGATTTTGGTTTTAGAAACCCATGGTAAATCAATTGTTACTAAATATTTATCAAAATTAAATTTTTTCTCACTTAAATGTTTCAGATTAAATATTAATAAAATAGACAAATATTGTCTATTTAAATGTTAGAAATTTGCAAATTTGAATGGAATTACGATTTGTTAAGTGTCCTTAAAAATAAAAACTGCCATGTTATATATAATTGAATATTTATTGCAAGTAATGTTGCCATATTAAAATGTTTATCTGTGCTTTGACATGTCATCGCCTAGATTCTCTATGACAAAGTAGAGACAAAAATGAGTCTATGAAGTCGAAACCCACAGATGGAAATATTTATAATAAAATATTATTTGCAATAAAGAAATCCTTTTAAGAAATCATTGTAGTCTATGATTTAAAATATGTTGCCTAAAATTCTGTACTTTATTATATAATTTAATTTTAGTTAATTAAATTACGAAGTAATTCAATGCAATGTAACGCCAATTAGATTTAAAAATGAACAGTATTATATTTTGTACCTGCGAGTAGAATTTAGTTGAACTAGATTTAGGTTGAACTGTTGTGCAATATAATTAATTGATCTGTTAATAAAAATATGGCCTTTGAACGTGTTTTATTTATTAATATTTGTAATATTTTAAAGCAAAATTTGACTTTAAATCGGAGATGTCAATGGTACAGTTGTGAAGTCGGCAATAGAATTTAAGAGTAGAAGTTGATTAAGAGGATTAAATCAAATAGTATTCTTCATTTTTTAATTGGACGCTTGGAGGTTGCTTTATTTCAGTTTAGACAAAAGTTTTGAATGTAGGATTTACATAAAATGTTGATTACTCAATACGTTGAAACTGAGATTACTTACATAAAATGTCTTCCAAATTTACTTTGTGTTGAATTGCTATAAAATTGAAACAGGCGCTAATTATTCCAATATTGTTTTAAACAGTAAGAAAACAGTATTACAATTCGTTCCTTACATAGTATGACCCGTTTATCAAATAATAGGTACTTGTTAATTTAAATAAGTGCGATATTTTTACCGAGAGTCTTATATGTTAGATTATTTAACAGGTTTATGTTCAAGTTATGTAAAATAGAACTGTTATACACTTAAAGAATCCGACAAATATAGAATATTAAGTATAATTGTTATTCCTAATCCTTAAATAATTGTGGCTAAAGCTTACGGTGAAATTTTTTGCGATAAACGATATGCCTTTTTGTTTGACGCTTTTTACCATATTTGAAGTTTGATGACTAACTAATAGGCAATAACCGGCTTAATTTTTGACTTTGTATCGTAAAAAATGATTAAAAATAGACTTAGAACTATAATTTTCAACTGAAGATGGGTAAGAACGGGTTAAACCAGTTGTATATAACCAGGGCTAACAAACTCGCTCGACTCAAGTCACCGGACGTTGGCACCGTTAGAGACGAGTTTTGTACTCTGTGGAGCTCAATAAGATTACTACGACCCTTGGGATGTGACCTTGAAACTACGCGTATATTTCATTTTTTATCCAACGCCTATTCGCGTTGCGATAGTTCGCTTAAATGAAGTAAATATCGTTATGTTAACACGGCGGCCATTAGAATTAGATTGTTTATAATGAAAACATTACGGTTTTTGTGGTATTTCCCTTCTTATACTGTCACGTGAAACGAGAAACTGTGTAAGCAATCTTTAGTATGTATTTTATAACAAGAAAGCTAATAAGGTAGCAATTTACTAGATGTTAAGTAACTTTTACTAACATCGATGAAAGAAACGCAATGCGTTTACGATGTTTGTTACATGTCAAGGAAAATTTAACAAAATGTAAGTATATAAAAGTAATTAAGCGTTTTATACTAAACTAAAAGGCTAGATTTAGACGTAAATGATTTTTTTTACTTCATACCAGTTTTGTTTTTAAATTGGATGGACACCATAAGTTCCACGGACAATTTGACGAGTTGCACGAATGGCGGGAAAATAATTTGACAGATCACAATTTGAATTAATTTAGCAATAAGGGTTTCCAAAAAACATATTTTGAAAGAGAAAAAAAGACGTTTGAATATGCCACGAGCATTAAGCTCACTAAATAATTACTGCTTTAATCTTAAACACTCTACCAAGTAAATCGTACGCAGTGCCAAATGTGTTGTTTTACAATTGTGCAAACTCGTTACATTTCGTAATTTTGTAGTCTAATCGGTGAATGGAGATTACTGAGAGCTTTCATTTCACTGAAGTGTTTTATAAATTATATATACAATCGAGTTTAATATTTAATCGTAAATCGATTTAATTTTTAATATTTTGTGGGGGAGTTATTTTGTGAATTACTATTACGTTCCATAGATCGTTTGAATTTGTAGCGAATTGATAAGACGACGTACTACCGATGTTTTATACATGAGTTTAACTATTACAATTTTTAGTTTTTTAGTTGATTTTACTATGATATTTTATTTATTTTCCAAGAATTATTTCGATTTATTTAAGTGTAAAATTTCGAAAATAAGATTTATGTTGCTATATGTTCCGTATTCTATATTAACTATTAAATAGAATAATATCGTTAATTATATTCATAATAACAAAAATACTTACATATATCAGCAACTCGATTCCCTTCTCCAATATATCACAAACACAATCACATTAAAAATTTACTATAAATTACTTCCTTAGTTAACTATATCCATGAATTATTTGAACATGTTTTTCGTTCGATTATTGTATATTTACGAATATCGATACGCGTACGCGACCGCGCGTTCAGCGTACGCGTCGCTTAGCGAATGCGAATTGAAGTTGCTTCGGTTAGACTGGCTGTGTGTAGGGTGTCCTATTATTGTTAGAACAAGGACACTCCTGGCTGTCAGCGCAGAAGCGTTGTGTAGTGTCTCGTCACCTTCAGCGTGTGGAATAAGTAATTTGTAATTGTATAAAGTCAACCAACCCGCACTGGGCCAGCGTGGTTGACTATGGCCTAATCACCCTCAACTTAGGGTAGGCTCCCTCGGTGGGGACGTATAGTGAGCTGATGATGATGAATTGTATAAATAACTAAATGTGCCCGCAACTTTGTCTGTGTCAAATACTGTCTTCGGGTAGCATTTTAATTACAATATACAAATTTTGAATGTCATGTTTATATTAAAACTAGCTGTCGCCCGCGACTCCGTCCGCGCAGGATTAAAAATAGATGTTGGTCGAATCTCAGACCTACTCAATATGCTCACATAATTTCATGGGAATCGGTCAAGCCGATTCGGAGGAGTATGGGAACGAAAATTGTGACACGAGAATTTTATATATAAGATTAACAGTAGTTTTGGTGTGATAACGAGATGGACAGACACAGTTACTTTCGCATTTATGATATTAGGAAAGATTTTGCAGTCTTTTCATCTCCTCTCTCTTTTCCCGTAGTCGTATTTTTTACTTTTTCGTATCGATAAAATTGTGAAGTGGTCGTGAAACATTTGATATAAGTTAAAAGGGTTCAAATACGTTGCCTTAATGTTTAAAGACCTATCATTGGGTGTGGTCGTTAAAAATTATAGGTTAATAAACACTTTCTGTTCAACTCATTTTTTTTAATGTAGTCCCGCTTTATATTTTATATTTCTGGTGACCCTATCGATAAGACCATTGATAGAAAATACTTGCTTAATTTTGGAACAAATTAAATGAATAAAAATGTACGTTCGATAAAAATATTTGTTTTCTTATTAAAGAGATTTGCAACCCAATTGTGTCTTTTAGTGATCTGAAGACCTAAATATTTAAAATAACTAAAACCAATACAACTGACATGGATGAATAAGCTGTTTAAAATACGCCGGAGAAATGTTTGAAGATTAAGTAAATGAAAATTTGTTATTTTTGCCTCTCCGTTTAGGTCATAGGCGTGAGTGTACCATGGTTAGTTTTGACTAACATACAAACAACATGTGTTTGTTTAGTTTTTTTGAGGGACGGAGCTTACCCTAAGTTTGGACTAACTTAGTTTTTTTAATTCCGCGAACAAAGTCACGGGATAAGCTAGTATTATTTAATTGTAAAAATATCATGAATCCTTAAATTATTGTCAGCTATTGCAAAAATGTTACCTTAAAATGACTATTCAATCGTGTTACGAAAACCATGCAGCATCCTTTCGTTATGCCTTGAACCGAAGCTATATCTACATAATAAACTTGTTTGTCTGTATGTATAAACTACTTTATAATCTGTAGTCGGTTATAGTAACGATTGATTGAGATATATTAAAGTAAAAACAAACATCTTATCATATAATTATCAACTTAGAATCAACACTTTCATATTGAAAACAACGAAGACAAAGTTTGAAATAAACATACTTACATGATTTGATGTACTCAACACCAAGTCAAGTTTAGACGTAAACAAATATAAAATATAAAAACAGACAGAGCAAAATAATACAGTTAGTTTTTAAAACACGACCTCTTCACAGGATCGTGAAGGACACCTCGAAATGTCGATTCCATGAAATATGTTTATAATTTGAAGAAGATTGTTTGTTGTAATGCTTAATTGACGTCTTTAATAGTTATCGGCCGTAAATAATAAATATTAGTTGTAGCTTGCGACTCCGTCCGCGTGGAGTTAAAAATAGGTAGTAGCCGATTGTGACCTACTGAATATTCATATAATCGTACAATCTTATTTCTTGCTAATATTATAAATGCGAATGTTTGGATGGATGTTTGTTTAAAGGTATCTCCAGAACCGCTGGGCGGATCTCGATGAAATTTGGCATACAGAACACAGTCTGGAAGAACATATAGGTTATTAATTATGTTTTTTTTAATTCCGCGTTGATGGAGTCGCAGGCGACAGCTAGTTTTCAGATGTACGGTAACTAACAATATAATAGGAGAAATGTTAACCTTTCTAGTCACCTTGTTATTCATTGTTTTTTTTTGTTATAATTTTGTTGGAATTTATGAATTTACTACAAAAGCTATTGTTCTTGGTTCTGACATAGATGTATTCTGTAAGTGGGTTGCGATTTGCGATGCGTTTACAATTCAACAATTAAACTGGTGGATAAACACGCGAGATGACAAGAAGTCATCGAATCGTTATAACAGTCTGCAACAATATTCGATCTCGAATTAATTTTTTTTTATCCAAGTTATTTTTTAATAATTTGTTAGTAAAAATTTATTTTTTTGATAATAGAAGGCTATAAGCTGTCGCCCACGACTCCGTCCGCGAGGACATAGAGATATATACATTGATGTCAAATTTAAGCGTGCATGTTTGTTTGAAGGTAACATAACTGCTGAATGGATAATTCCGCTCTGAAGGAGTCCCGGGCGACTGCTAGGCTATATTTATTACTATATTTTTTCATACCACGCGGAAGAAGTTGGGGGCAACTGCTAGTTCTGTAATATCTTTGAAGATATGGCTTCATGATAATTTCCTTCACCGTAAGAACTTTATAATCGCACAACGGAAAAGGCTAAGAGTGCAAAAATTTAGTTCTGTTACTGTAGATCTTAGAATATTTAGTTCAGGATATTTATTTAAAATTACCAGATAGAAATCTCTTGAAAGAGAAAACACATTTAAATTTGATAACGTTCGCTGACAGATATGTTTGCACAAATTATCAAACAGCAAACATTGCGAGGTTGTTTTATAACTTCGGTTGCGGTTATTAATTTTATAACAGTATTACCGCTATTACGACATATTACTATAATAATAATCTTTAAGACGAGGTTACTAAAGTTTTATAGAACGATGGGATTGGAAATTATCACTCACTCCGTCCGCGCGGAATGAAAAAAAAAACTTAATTAGTAGCCTGTGTTCTTCCAGACTATGCTCTACATTTATGCCAAATTTTGGCGAGATCCGTGCAGCCGTTTAGGAGATACCTTCTAACAAACACCCATCCATTCAAGCATTCGTATTTATAATTAGTAAATTAAGAATAAGAATAAGTAAAATTTGTTTGAATGGAAATAGAATTATGACTTAATTCAATTAGAATATAGTATAGTTTGCAATTGTTTAACTTTTTGATGAATTTAAAATTACGTAGCTATGTTTTTATTATAGATATTAAAATGTTAATTCAATTCATAATATTTTTCTACCTTTTACAGTTTTAAAATAATTCTAAGAGTTTTAACAGTTAACTGTTCTCATAGCTATCTTGCTACGGTACGTTTCCACTGTACAAATACAAAAACTTCCGTCTTACATACTTATATTTGTATGTACATACTTGTATTTGTCTTTGAAAAAAATTCACGATATATTTTTGTAAATGTGCTTTGGCAGTGGAAAGCGACGTTTAGCGGCTCGCCGAATTTAGCTAAAATTTGGCATATATGTAGAACATAGTCCGGAACACAGACTTATTATCTTTTTTAATTCCGCGCGAACGGAATCGTGAGCAACAGCTAGTGTAAAATAAAACACTAAAGACGTGTTGAATGTTTTATTCGGTTCTAAATTAATTGACTAAAAAAACATAAATTAAAACGCATATTGAACACAAAAAGCTAGTCACAGTCTATTATTTAAGTATGAAAATGTATCTCTTAGGTCGTTTATATTTTGAAATATTTTACCGTCATATTCCAGAACATAATTACTTGAATAGAAGTAACACCATATACATAGTTTCAAATTATTCAAACTTTTGTGAGACATTATAATAAATATATAAAAACGGCTAAAAAGTCACGTATATACGTATATCGTAAGGAGATGAAGGGCCCTCGATCGGCCCGAAACTAGTTAGTGCCACCGGACGAATATACGTGACTTTTTAGCCGTTTCTATATAAGTTTATACATAGTTTTATTCCATTAGCTGTGTTTTTACTGTGTACTTTATTTTTTATACATTAACGTATTTGATTTAGATTCAGTTAAAATGATAAAAATTATTTTAAATTTTATATTGTGTATTTCAATAATATACAAATATTTTAGGTTAATATAAAATGCATTTATATATTCTTTTGCCGGTATTTATTAGATAAAAAAAAAACTACGACAATTAGGTAAATATAAAGAACGTTACGCAAAATGAAGTTATTCAAACATATTTACTCGACATGTTACATTATACAAACTCATTTTTGATATCACGTTTAAACGTGTGCTTTGGTAAACAGGAACGGGCTTTAAAAAATCAAGTTGTCAGTTGTCAACAAATGTCATTCTATGTACGCATGATTATTTATTAATTTAATTTAATTATTTATACATAATATTAGTAAGATTTACTAGTTATTTACTGCGACTAGTAGGTTGATATCGTCACACAAAAAATTGTCTAAATAAATGAATTAACTAATTGCATTAAAATACTGGGGGTGTAGCACGAATATTGATGAGAACGTTATCATAACGATATCGACATTTGTATTAGCGTGGATTTCTGATCCAAAATCTCCGTTAAAAACTTGTTGTCTCTACGTTGTCAAAGAGAATGACAGGGACGACGATATTTTTAACAAGAGATTTTGGTGTCAGAATCAAATCATATTAATTTTGACATGTTTTGTCTATGACGTTACGACAACGCATATCGGAAATATTCGTTATAGCCCCACTGAAACTTAAAGCTGACGAAGATACGTATATTTTGATAAATATTACTGTCTGTTTCGACTATCGCGTCACTATTTTGACATTCGATTTGATATTATTTCGTGAATGAACGTTATAATGCAATTCAACGACTTATTTCGCCTTCTTTTTTTCTGTCCACAAAACAGAGTACAAATAAATAAATGACTAGCGATTTTAAAAATGAATATTATAATTGTTAATACAGATACCATACATTATTTTAAGGTAGTTTTTTAATCTGTATTAGGCGTTTAGTATTTCATTTTTAATCTGTGAAATAAACGTCATATTATTCCAAATCTATTGTACCATTTATAAAACACACGTAATTACTTGATCTTAAATGTAAAATAATTATCTACATGATATAAAATGTGACTAGAAATAAATCACAAGATTTAAAATAAATTAAAAAAAAATAATTATATTACCTATTATTTCTACGCAGCAAATGTTTTCAAAATCACTTTATAACCTACAAATTATTTATACTTCGAGGAAAATGATTTGATGAGTTTTGATAATAAAAAAAACGTAAAACAAAATATATTAAAAAAAAACAGGCACCATATTAACATGACGAAGTTTTAATTTTACCTTAAATATAACAAGAATATGTTTTTACATTTGTTTCATATGACATACACGTACTAAAGAAAAGAAGGAAGTTTTTTTTAAACACTAAGTTTATAGTTTTTTTATATAAAAACAAAACTTTTCTTTTCGATCAGGGGTCCTAAACTAAGTAGGATTTGTTAAGATTTTAAATCAATCAAGTACAGTCGCTTTTTAGGCGGAACACCGCGACTGAAGGCAACTGTATTTTTTTTTAGTATAGATATTTTTGAAGTATAGAGGCACTCATATGAACAAATGTAAAACGTATTCCAAATTCTAATCCGTATATAAAACTTGCTACTAAATGTATGAAATTATAAAACGATTCACACCGTCAACACAGACTACGACCATACGCCGTGCATGTGGCGCCATCTTGTTTAGTTTATACTCCGCATCATCTGTCAAATTTAAAATCCATAGAGCCAACGTTCTTTTTACTTTAAGCGGTGTTGCCAAATTAACATATTTCTAAAATTACAAAAGAGTTTTGCTAAGAATTAGACAGTCCATATTATAATATAGGCCAATAAAGATTTTCGCCACATCACGGGGTACGATAATAATTTTATTAATACTACAACACCTACATAATATTCTCTCATCAACTGGAAACTTCATACAAAAAGCTTTTGACAACTCAACGAAATAAACTACGGAACATATTAGAAGCGATTCTTTATATTACAGTTTTAAAAGCACAAAATTTACTTCTTAATCACCACTTAGTAACCTTTGATTAAATTAAATTTCAAATAAAGTTTCTAGCGGTAAAACATAACTAATCTGGAAAACGAACATTTATTCACATTCTATTATACCAGTTTGTTTCAAATAAACTTCTGAAATATTGAAATATCCTAACCTAAAAGTGACAGATGACAAGTTTAATAGTAACAGATTATATCAAAGTTTTCCAAGTGGCGCGGTTCGCTTATAATATAAAACAATGAAGGATTTCATAGTCAATGTTCTTGGTCTGAAGATTCGACGTTCTCAGTTTGTGCAAACTTCAAGAACACCTGCTCCAGTGTAGTCTGACTGAAACTATATTCTACTATATTCAGCTTTTCTTTTGCTGAAAAAAAAAACAATTTTAAATATTAATAAGTATTAGCAAAATACATTAACGAAAAATGCATACAAAATCTGTTAAGATTTTTTAACATTATCGCGTGCAAATCGAAGACATATCGAATAATAGATAAAAATAACAACAACCCTTGGCATATGCATCGAATAGTTTGCTATATTTTTATCAAGTCTACAGATCTTAACACAATGTCTTTTTACCATCTTCTATCTGCTGGAAGCATCTCGCCAAACTGGAGACTGAGGACTGTGGCACTGAGAAGACGAGGCGCTCCGCGAAGTTCTCCTCCAGCACAGCAGCAGGGAATAGGTGCGCCACTAAAGCTATCACCGCCTCCGCGCCCGCCCCGCCACCACTGGACTCTGACCTGGTATAACAACATTCGAACTATGTTTTGCAGGAAACTACGTGAGAACGTTTTAGGACACTTGAATACGTAAAATTGTATTATACGCAGTCTCGTGTGTAATGGCGTCATAAAGTTTTACGACACTGCATTGTATATGTCATCATCAATATCAGCTCACTATACGTCCTCAATGATAGCCTCAGAGCTTATCCTAAGTTAGTGGTTACTATGCCATAGTCAACCACCCTGGCCCATTGCGAATTGACTTTACACATTTTTGAATTTCTTCACAGATATGTGCATGTAGCATGAGGTTGCTCAACAATTCTCGATGTAATTTGGCATAAATATAGAATGTAGTCTGGAAGAACACATAGGTTACTAATTATGTTTTTTTAATTCCGCGCGAACGGAGTCGCTGTAGGCGATAGCTAGTATTTTATAAAATTATCACCGTAGTGCGTTTTAATTCATTCACAAACACCGACAATTGTTTGTTCACGCAATGATAAAGAGGACGTGCTCATAATCTATTTTGACAACAGTATCTTGATATATTTGCTAAGTCAATGTTGTAATTACATGTTTTATTGAGCAATATACGTAAATAGCAGTCGGCCGCGACTCTATCCGCGCAGAATTAAAAAAATGTGGTCTTAAAATGTTAAATTTTATCGTGATATGTTCAGCCGTTCTAGAGATACCTTCAAACATCCATCCATCCGTCTAAACATTCGCATTTATAAAATGAGTAAGAATTTTAAATTAAAAAAATTAGAACCTGTGATGTTGTTGTCTAGGTAAAGGTGGAGTGCCGGCGACTAGGGGCGTGTGTATGCTGATGTCAACCGCTTCCGCTTCACCATCCGCCTCCGCGTCTGCTTCCGCTGTCACTGAGCCCCCACCCGACCCGCCTGTCATTTAAAACAAAAATTTCTTAGTCTAAGAACCTACGACTAAAGAAAGAAAATTTAAGCCTAGCCTGCTTATAAATAGAAAGAAGTATAAACTAAGAGTCAATTTTAAAAAGATAATAAAATTATTAAACAATGATGATATATAACATTATGTAAAAATTTAAGTCTCTACATCTGGCAACTCCGCAGCATTAAACATTATGGTAGGTTATTTCTCTAAAAAAGGGTTGCTACTAAAAATACCTTAACATTTACAAAAACTTTTTTACCTTCATCTGCTTCTCCTAACGATGGTGAATTTTCATCTGATCTTAGTGGAGATGACGTCATTGATAGATCTGAGTCCAGCATCTGAAACACATTGTTAAATATTAATGTGATTGAGTTAAAATCTCAAATATTCAGATTGCAGTTTAAAATCATTCTACACGTTGCGCCATCTAGCGGAGGTTGTCTGTCAAAACGATTAATAGAACTTTCTTCAAAGTTTTGTAAGCGCCATCTAGCGGGAGTTGGATGATAATACGGCCAATACAACTTTGTCATCGTCTACTAGAAAAATTTGTATTGTAAGTTATAATTCTTACCACTTTCTGATTATTATGACCAATTTTCATTTCTAACGTGTAGCCTGCGCCATACAAATTCTTTAGATGTTGCGTCGAACCGATACACCTGAAAATATTATTTTATTAAATATTCTTATAACATAAAGATTAACTATAAATTTTCTTTGTACTTACCTTAAACTTCCTTTCACCATAATTCCCACTCTTGAACATAACGCGTCAGCCTCTTCCATGGAATGTGTTGTCAGAATAGCACCTTTTTTACCCTAAAAATAAAAGAAATTTCTTGTTTAATGTTGCCTTTGATTCTTTGTTAAGATGCATTATATTATTAAAAAAAAAATCACACTAACGCCATCTATTAACTAAAAGCTGGCGAGTGTGTCACACTAGCGCCATCTATTACCTGAAAGCTGGCAAGTATGGTGTCCCAGAGGAAGCGTTTGCTGCGCGGGTCCATGCCGGTAGAGGGCTCGTCGAGCAACACGACGCGCGGGTCGCCCACCATAGCTAACGCGAAGGAGAGCTTACGTCGAGTACCGCCCGAGCAATCCTCCGCGTTCTTACCCGCGTGCTCCATTATCTGCAGACCGTTTAAATACGCGTCTACTATCCTGCGAACAAAATTAAATAGTCAACACTTGTAACTATGATAGATACAACATGGCAACACAACGCGGTGGTCATATACACCGTGTTTATACCCTCTTGAGAATAAGTCTTGAAAATAAATTAATGTGATATTCATAAGTCAACTATCATTAATTTTTTACACATGTAATAAGTTAATCTTTTTAAATTTTACCTCGAATTTACTATAAACTTATTTAAAACCCTCCAATTACTAGTTTTTTTTGTTTATTTTTTAATTTTGGTCTAGTTACCCAAGTCGAATAGCTATAGGAATGAATACCTGGGCGTATCTGCCTTGGTGACGCCGCGTATGGCCGCATAGCACTCGATATGCTCGCGTATTGTGACGTTCTTCCAGAGCGCGTCGTGCTGCGGACAGTAGCCCAGCATCTGGAAGGCGGACGACTGCGCCTCCTCAATGTTCTTACCGCCGAGCATCACCTGCGATACATCTAACACTTTAATAATTTATTTAAAGACATTATACATTCGAAATCAATATTCGATCTGGAATTTTTTCTATTGCGTTTGAAATCAATTTCTTCTATAAAAGATTTTTTTACCATAAGATGGCAAACGAGCGAGCGGCCACCTGAAATTGCTGAAACAGCGAAGTGATCGTTGCCCATAGACATACGTAATTGCATATGCGTTGCCTACCTTTAAGATCAAACAATAGACGGAAAAAGATCACAAATAAAGAACTTGGCGTGTCGCAATCGGCGGCAATCGAATAACATTTCATTCTATTATAATAATTTAAAATATAAAATAATAGTAATTGCAAAAATAAAACTAAATATTAAACGTAGGGCGTGGATAAGTGGTTTCACTAACAGTGCCACATGTGAGCCTCTCCTCGGCGGTGATGATCTTCATAGTTGTGGTCTTCCCGGCGCCGTTGTGACCAAGCAGACCGAACACCTCACCGCCGTGCACCGCTAGACTCAGCCGCGCGAGCGCCGCCTTGCGCAGCGACTCCTCACCACCACATAGACCTCGGGAAGACGAGCCTCGTAGCTTGTATTCTTTACGTAGATTCTGTTGGCAATGTTCTATGTTTTACTCTCAACATAAATGAGTAGACTGAATTTAGTGTTTAAAAAGAGTAAATGCTTAAAATGAGTGATTTTAGTGACTGTGTCTAGTGATTCGACTAGTAAAGATGATTTAATTAAGTGAATAGTAAGTAAATTAGTCAAATGAATGATTGAATCCTTGTGTTGTGGTCTTGCTTTATTTGTGTATGTATGTGTACACACGTGTACGACGAGGGCGGGCGCAGGCGCGTGTGCGGACGCGTTGTGTTGCGTGCGCTGCAACATGGCGGCCACGCGTCGTCGCTCGCGTCGCACGTCCTCGTCCTCGCCCGCCTCCCCGCCCGCCTCGCTCTCAGAGTCCAGCGCGCGCTTTGCTGGACTACTCTTCTAAAAATAAAGAAACATATTATAATCTAGTTTTAGACTAAATAAGTGAACAAATTAGCGAAAAATTGATGGCCGTTTAAATATTTTATTTTTGAGTTATTTTATGCAAAATTATGAGGTAAAGTTAAGTGTTATTTAAACATAATGGTAGCTAATAATATTTCATAGTTAAATCCGAAAAAATGTTTTACTAGAATTATTATAGAATTTAGCGAAAAATGTGCAAGTTATTGTGACAATTCTTCCAATACCTTCCTATTCCTACGTAAATGAATGAGTGGATGAATAACAAAAGAACGTACAGGACATATTCGTCCGCCGGACTTCAGCCTATCAGCAGCGAGGAGTGCAGCACCACAGATAGGCACGTGTACCAACATGGCGACAATCAACACCCAAACTTCAGCAGTAAAGTAACTCCATAATTCCGGTTCCATGCACAGACCGCGCAGATTACACGTCAGATACACCCTGGAACATGTTTCAATCTGTAATGTCACACGGAACATATAAAGTTCAATGGTTAAATCTCACAGATATTAACGTGCTCACCTGTCCACATAGTAAATGATGGCATAAGGTATGTACATCACGTCCAGGAAACTAAAAACCAGGTGTAAGTAGAAAGCGATGTCGCTACCTAAAAAAAAAGAACGTAGTAAAAGGTTGTCAATGGACATAGCACGAATATTTGTGACAATCGTCTTCGTATCGTCATCGCCGATTATGACTAAACTAGCTGTCGCCCGCGACTCCGTCTGCGCGGAATTAAAAAAAATCGTAACAGATAGCTTATGTGCTCTTTAAGACTACGTTCTGCATTTGTGCCAAATTTTATATGTACGTTAAGTCGTTCGGGAGATACTTTCAAACAAACATCCACCCATCCATCCATCCTTCTAAACATTCGCATTTATAATATTAGTACGGTTAGTATGTGATTTTTGGTGTTAATTACGCCCGTTAGGGGCGCTGTAAAAGTTTTAAAAATTTGTCTATGAAGATACGATGGCGCTTGTCACAAATATTCGTGCTAGACTGATCACTACAAACTCACAATATATTTAGCAAATTTCTTACCCCATTTAAACGTATCAAGTACAGCAACTAACACGAAAGGTAAAACTCCAATCCATGTTGTTATGTTTGGCATGATGCTCTGCGCGGAATCCATTTTGTCAAATATATACGATAAACATGTATTGAACAAAATGGCGGACGGGCTGTACAGTAAGAGTAGACCGGACAACATCGTGATTGCAGACCCGTTAGTCAAACTTGGTATATCGTTAAGAATTACCTGAAATAGACATTAAAAATAACTATTATTGATAAAGTAAAAGGCCATATAGTCAAGACCGAAGACCTTTTGAAGATATTGTCGCGAGTCCGTCAGCGCGTAATAGAAAAAAACTTAATTAGTAGCCTTTGTTCTTCTTCTATATTGTGTTCTACATCTATGTCAAACATCAAGATCCGTTGCGACGTTCCGAAGACACCTTCTAACAAACAAACAAACATCCATCCATCCATCCATACATACATCTAAATATTCGCATTTATAATATTAGTAAGAAGTAAGTAGTCGTTTGCTTTCATCTTAGTTGTTTATCCAGTTTCTAAATATAGGAATTATCATATGCTTATTTACAAGTAAATATATCTTACCAGCACGAGTACTCCAACGCTGGTGATGACCATTATGAAGATAAGGATGGTGAAGTAAGTAAGGAAGTACATGCTCATCGACAGTCCGTTCACACGCAACTGGTTCTTTGCTTTTATCTAAAACAATACAGAAGATTAGAGAGAAGTAGGACTAGGAATCGAACTTCGAACTCGAACTGCGAACACTAACTCGAACTCCTTTTGATACAACGCTTTAAATAAACAGAGGATATCCAAAACATTTATTATTTAAATATTATATATATATATATAAAAGAGTAAACTGACTGACTATCAACGCACAACCAAAACGTCTGGGTCTAGAGGCTGGAAATTTTGCATCGATGTTTCTGTTACTATGTAGGAGTCCATTAAGAAGGGATTTTACGAAATTCATCCCCTAAGGGTCTAAAATTTGTATTAAGCAACGTTATTCCTTGGGCGGAATTTCATGACATTTGAAATAAATACTTTTCAACACAAATAATGAAAGATAAAAGCTGAAAATAGCAGTAATTAAGGTTCCATATACTTACTTCTCTGTCATAAACGATATCCACTGCCAATGTGACGGGTACTAAGCCGAATATCATTCCCATAAAGATGGCGCAGACCATATTACCAAGGTTGAATTCCTCTTGCTGCTCCGTTTGCTGGAACGGATGTGTCAGCACCTCGATTGGCTTGAAACTTGACAGCTGGTTTGATGCTGACATTAACACCCTGATGTAAAGGCTCATGTGAATTATATTGGTATTAAAATAAAAGAACGGCAACGCTTCTTCAGTGTATCTTGTCTTGTCCATTTTTTTTATAACAGAAGGGGGCAAACGAGCATCTGGAACACCGAGGTGTTCAACGACGCCCATGGACATCAGCAATACCAGAGGAACCGCAGATGCGTTGCCAGCCTTTGAGATAGTGATAAGCACGTGCACGTTTACTCCTTTTTTGGTCTTCTTGGTATGTATGACTAATCAGTAGTTAGTAAAAAGGATGTATAGACTAAAGAAGAAACCATTTCGCGCAAGCACCTATATAAGTCTTTCGAAGTACTAATATTATAAATGTGAAAGTTTAGATGGATGGATGTTTGTTACAAGGTATCTTCAATCAACAGATCTTGATTAAATTTGGCACAGATGTAGAACATAGTCTGGAAGAACGCATAGCTTACTTTTTCAGTTTTTTTAAGTAAGCGCGTACGTACATCCTCCCTTGCCCGTTCCCAAAGGACGCACATGGTCGATTATATTTTGGAATGCTTTAAAAAACTCACCTGTAAATGCTATTGTCCAATAAATTTATTATAATAGGCAGACTGTGTGTGTACGTGCTGTTGAAATACGTCATTATCTTTCCATACGGTATTACACTATCTCTCAAACTGAATGCACCGAAATTCTCCATATCCAAAAGACTCGAAAAATTCCCATCGAAATCAACAATAGGATATGCACCCAATGTCTCTAATGAATCCCGGAAATCTAAAAGTTCCTTCAAATTGTCCTGTTCGCTGTTCAATGCAATTGGTGTTCTATTCGAATACGCGTTAGGCTCCAATTTGAGAGGTTGCATTCGAAAAAATACTATTTGCCGAGACTTTATATAAAGACCAAGAGCGCAGGAAACTGTAAAATAAAATATTGTAAACGTTAAATAAAGGTTGAATATAATCAAATATATTCGATTTATCATACTAAATTTAAACCAAGTAAGACAAGAGCAAAGTAAAAAGCACTAATATGAATTGTTACTAACTTATAGGCATGAATATCATCACGTATAGTTTGTAGGGGTCTCGTATCATGCGCACGGTGCGGATGTAGACGAGAGCACAGAATGTGCGCCAACAGGACGGGCTCGTCTTCACAGGCTCACCCAGAGCTGACGCTGGAGTTTCCACCGGCACCTGCATCACATAGACATTATTATTAAAAGAATAAACAAGTTACTCGTTTTTCCTTTTCTTTATAAGGAAAGAAAGTGGACTGAATAGCGGACATATAAGACAGAGACATGCACTGCAACTATTTCTTGTCTTTGAGAAAAATTGACAGCATGTTCTTTTTTTTTCTGTTGGCAATGTTCCTTCGTAATAGCCGCGTGTCTGTTAAGTATCGCATCCAACATTAAATACAACAGGACTTTATTTCATCATCAGGTCACTATACGTCCCCACCGAGGGGCTCGGAGCCTACCCTAAGTTAAGGGTGATTAGGTCATAGTCAACCACGCTGGCCAAATGCGGGTTGACTTCACACACATCTTTTGAATTTCTTCAGATATGTGCAGCATCACGATGTTATCTTTCACCGTAAGAACGTCGGATAAATGTACATATGTAAGTCGGAAATTGAAAAACACATTGGTACATGGCGGGATTCGAACCCAGGACCTGCAGATTGCAAGTCAAGTGCTTGACCACTAAGCCACCGACAGACTTTATTTAATTATTGTAAAATCTATTAGTTTTACCTTAACATGTTCTACTCCATGTGTGGTGGAGTGCAAGGCGTGAGACGCAGTATGCGGCGGAGTCGGCAGAGATGTGGTCTTCTGTTGCTCTTTATCGTTTAACTCCTGTAATGATGCACATATTGTCATCTCTGTTATTCCCTTTGCAAGAACAGAGACAGCATCAAATGTTACGATAGTATCAAAGTTAATAATACCTGATAACTTAATGTCTTGCTCTGGAGTGACAGGCTCCTGGACAATGCTCTTGCTCGTACTAACTTGACTGAAGAGACTCCCTCCACTGCCTCCGTCTCCTCTGCGTTCTCTCCTTCCAGACTGAGAAACACCTCCTCCAGGGTCGTCATTGATACACCGTAACTTGTAATACCTACAAACATATAGAATCTCTTTGGTTAGAGGTTATATAGTAAACTAGATAGTGTTGCCTCAATTTGTATTCTTTGATGTTGGATTATTCTGCAGCATACAAGCAGAAATGTGTTCTTACCTAGTCTATTGGTCTTCTCCTTGATCTCATGCTCTATGGCCTGGAATAGTGGCGGGAAGAGATGCACTGCGTAGTGCGGCAGAATGTAGGACAGCTCCCGCCCGTGTCTGCGTGCCTTCTCCGCGCGGGGCACGTGCCCCCTCACTAGACGGGTTATCTGGTGCTCGCGGCAGGCACCTGCAATTTTGTAACGTTACTAGTTGTCGACTGGGGCTTTCTAGACTGTCTAGATCTCGAAATCTAGTTAATTTTCAATTGCTATTAATTGCTTAAGTCACATACCGTCGAGTACAAGTGTGAGATGATAGCCGATACCGAATTTGTTCTTTAAAAACAGTGAAGTTCCTGCACAGCGAACCTAGAAAAAAAAATAATTTATGGATAAAAGATAGTCTAATACCTCGCTGGCTATAAAAAGGCTTTTAAAGCCAAGTCTTCTTGGGTTACTTACCCTGCCCTTGCTGATGACAGCCTTCCTATCCCCCAGGATGTCAGCCTCATCCATGAAGTGCGTGGTGAGCAACAGCACGCGGCCCCGCCGAGCGCGCTGCAGGATGCGCCATGTCTGCCGCCGGGAGACAGGATCCACGCCCGCCGTCGGCTCATCCAGGATTATTATCTGATTATAAAGTATACAAGTAATGTCTAGATTTATTTAATTAGACCTTGATAACAATCCATTCCAGTATAAACGAGTTTATTTTCTACAATATACCTTAGGATCTCCAATAAATGCGATGGCAATGCTTAACTTCCTCTTCTGACCGCCAGAGAGATGCTTTGAGAAGACCTCCGCCTGCTCCAGCAGACCCACCTCTGACATCGCTTTGTGAACCTCCTCTGGGACACGTTTACTCGGTATGCCCTGTGCAGAAATTATCCAATCATTTCAACTTCCAAGATACCGTCTTTTCGAAATTACATCGAAATGTTCTCAAATTCTTAGTAAGAGCCCAAAAACGGTTGGATTCAAGATTCAACGAACGAAGTTTGATTATGATGTTCATACCTCTGAACTAACAGCTCAATAATCAACTTATTTCCCTAATTTGTCACCATTTTTGATTTTAAAATCAGTTAAATCTTAGAAGTTTTTATATACTTTAATTTACCTTAACCGCGGCAAAGAATTGCAGATGTTCCTTAACAGAGAGCAGGTCGAAGAGTACGTCCTGTTGCGGACATACGCCTATCATCTGACGAATCTCGTGCATATCGTTGGGATCCCTGGAATATGACTACGATTAATTTTGAGTTCTAACCAGGGACTGTAATTTATTCCCACGCTCAACACTCTAAAAACGTGCCCGACTGTATTCGTTTTTATTTACTTTACAACTAAAAATGTCCATCGCATCCCCACTTAACATCAAGATTAATGGTCATGCGTTATTTAAATCATTCTAAATTAATCAGTAATCTTGGATGGATGGATGATTTAATATAAGTAAACTCAACAGACCTAACATCCAATCCGTACACATAAGCAGTGCCAGCGGTGGGGGCTGTCAGTCCAGTTAGAATATTGAAGAGCGTGGACTTGCCAGCTCCATTATGACCCAGCACAGCAGTTATCTGTCCCTCGTAGATGCTCAAATCTATTCCATCAATGGCCTTGATCTCCGGTTTGCGGCAGTGACGGAAACTCTTCTGGAGACCCACTATCCTTATCGCTTCTTTATCTAATAACTCTCTGAGAGGTAAAAATGAGATAAAATAAATTAAAACCGCTGTTGAATAAAATATATTTTTAATTTTATCCACTCATAAATACCACGACCACACAGAAGACAGGCGTCAAGTGGAAGCAATTCCGCGTTTCGTCTGATGAGTGTGCGTCCCGGAGGCCAAAATTAGTCCTCTTTCCCTTCCCACCCTTTTTCTTATAAGGAAAGGATGGGAAGTGGAAGTGGACTTTCCGGATGCGAGGATGCATGGAAAGGGAAAATATTTTCTTTCTGTGCATCCTCTCCTACGTCGATTAAAGGTAGGCAACGTATATGCAATTGCGTATGTCTATGGACAACGGTCACTTCGCTATTTCAGCGATTTCAGGTGGCCGCTCGCTCGTTTGCCATCTTATGATATAAAAAAAAACATTCATAAAGATCATAATGTGTATTCGATCTTTAGGATCAAACCGAATTATTTTAGTATACGAAATATAGCAGAATTATTATATTATTCAATCCTTCCCCTACAGAGACTACATAATTTAAGACAATTTCCATTGCTGACGCTTATACGATAAGCAACAGGCAATAATTTTTTTTAAATTAAAAATCGGAGCACCAGCAAGGAGGTTACGCGAACTCACATGAAAATACAATCGAATTGACAACCTAATTTTTTAATGTTGGCTAAAAATGGTAAGAGATAATTAATTTCAGACGTAAATATAATCCCTTCCTTCCCATACCTTGGAACAGGCTCAATATCCTTGTTATGTGCTGCCTCGCCGTTGGAATGGAAATGTACAGCTGATACTCTGCCACGTCGGCCTCCGCCCCAATACGACGGTAGCAGACAGAACCACGGTTTCTGTTTGATACCGTACTCACCTAAAGAATGAAAAAAAAATTAGAAATAACCCATTTTTATTAAGCGTAGTAATCTTTATCTAAAAGATTTTAGTAAACTGCTATAATAGCCTCTAAGAGTCTGACAAAGTGGCTGTTATAATTTACCAGCTGTCGCCCGCGACTCCGTCCGCGCGAAATTAAAAAAAAACTAATTAGAAGCCTATGTATTCTTCCAGACTGGTCTATACGTATGCCAAATTTCATCGAAATCCGTTAAGTTCTGGAGATACTTTCCAAAAAACATCCATCTATCCATCCATGAAAACATTCGCATTTATAATATAAGTAAGAAGTGAGATTGGAATTAAAAATAGAAGCGAACAAGCTCATTTCCCCGTCTTTTTTATTATTCGTTAGTAACTTACTGGGTATAACAGCATCCAACCAATAAGCCACCAGTCCATACAACACGGTATCAACTGCCATCATTATGAGGCTGCCTCCGAATGGTACACCGGAACCACTCCACAAGTTGTCCCATGTCACACCCACGCCTGCCATGTCTAGCACTAGCGCCTGTAGTAAACGGAACGAATGTATTATTATAGTTTTTACTCTAATTATTTTTTTTGAAATCTTATTTCTTATCTACAATTTGCCTTGTTAGAACTTTTATTTATTTTATGTTAACGCCTGAATAAAAATGGTTTCATAAGAAGTTCATTTGTCTAAAACATCGTAAAATTTGCTTTTGTATGTTATTTTCGTGATACTCCGTACAGCCCGGATAGCTCAGTCGGTAGAGCATTGGACTTTTAATCCAAGGGTCCAGGGTTCAAGTCCCTGTTCGGGCGACTCTTTTTGTTAATGTTTTTTTTTTGCCACAAAACATTTTATATTTTTATTTACAGTTCTGAAGTTCTTACATTTTTTTACAAATTAAAATTTAAGGAATTAAATTTTTTTATACGTTTTTTTTTATACATACGTACAGTTAGACATAAATTTTTTTATTAATAAAATATATATCATTTCAACAACTCATACAGATGATAATATTAGAAAAGGAAAAAGTTACATTTACATTAAAGCTCCCGATCGCCAACAGATGGCGCTACTGGTATTTTTAACTTTCCGAATTCTTTGAGGTTAAAATTAAATCTTACCTTATCCATAGCCAGTGCGTAACAACTGGAACTTATAAGAGAGACGAACCAAAAGGCCAGCGAGTCTGCATTCGATACGAACACCTGGATGAAGTACAGCCAGCTCATCAGGTTCACCGCGAAGCTGCCCATAATACCTGCAGTCTGCAATCAAAACCTTTTTTTAATCTGTACAAATTTAATAAAAACTATATTACGTCTATATCTATACTTTGGATACTTACTCTAGCACTGTCAAAGAATGGAGTCAACATAAACGCGAAGGTAATAATCGTAAAACCAAACAGCAGCATCAGAAGGAAGATGAGGATATACGAAGAGTGCTGGAACACCTGGCAAGTTAAAATATTAAATTAATTATGGACGCTTGAGTTGGCACATCTGGTACAAGATTCCCCTTTTTACGGACGTGCCAAGTCAAATAGCATTTACATAATTTGATTTTATTTATCTTTGTATTCTTGTATTGGGTTATATTATTGTACTTTTCTATTCTTTTATGTATGTTTATAATATTAGTAAATAAAACTTACCCCCAAAGTAAATAACAGGACCGTACTGACTATTGACAATATTGTAACAAATACAGCGTATATAAGGAACCAGGAACCCCTGAAAAATATACCAAGTATTGATTAAACCATACAAAATACAATCCATACATGTAGAATAAAATGTCCGAAATTTAAGTCTATCTTCTTCGGATACGTGGGGGAATTCCTACTTTTCATGAGATAGACAGGAGAAATACATGCGAGATTTTTACTCACTAAAAACCTATACAGGGAACATCCTATCAAGTTGTATATTTACCAATAAACAGAATCCTTTAATCCCATTATCCTCATGCCCTCTCTTATCTTCTTTTCCTTCTCCCCCACCACGAACATGAGGAGATATGTGATGAACTGCGAGAGTGTCATCACCATGTACATGGGCATGATGACGCGGAAGATGACCAGCCAGTCACCGGTGTGTTGCCGCTTCGGGAACTGACGCAGGTCCACCCTGGGTGGTGGCAATGGGGAACCGGTGTCCAGCTAGAAATTGAACACGTAGAATATTTTTAGTACATAATTAAAGAGTTGAATCAAAAACAGCAAATAAACAACTCGATGCGGTAACCCAGAGTAGGTAATACGGATTTCCGTTTAGCGCACTTGGCCCACCTATTTTGTATTTTTCACGCATACATGCACGTAGGTTTCGGTCACTCTTGATACCAACTTTCTTGACTATTTTACCAATCTGAACTGTATAAGTCGGTCTGGGAAGACCCAGACCAATGCCACACACTTTCCAAACTCATTTTGTTAATCTTCTTTTATTACTTAAGCTAGCTAATCAATTTAAAACAACTTAACGACTTCAAGTACCCTTAACCATACCTTGATCTTAACATAATCGATTAGCGTCTGCAACGCTAAGAAACCGGAATAGTAGTATTGTAGCACGGGGCAGACGTCTTCGCTGTGCATCTCCGATAGGGGAATGAGCTGACCACCCCGAGACCAGTCGGAAGACCAATCTTTAGCCGCTGGTCTTTCGCGGCACTTCACTGGCGATGTGTACAGAGTCCGGGTAGACGGTGTGCCGGCGTGCGAGGGATTCGTACGAATTGTGTATCTGGAGAGATGATAATGATTACAAAATGGTAACCTAATAAGAGTTGCTCGACCAAGATACCACGCCCACACAGAAGACGAGCGCAACGTATTTCCCCCTATCTTCTAATGAGTGTTTGGGCTGGAGGGCAATTCTAATTTCCCTTTTCGTCCTACTTTTTTCTAATAAGAAAAGGATAGTGGATTTCTGTGAAAGTTGTGTGGTGGTGGTGGTGGGTCTCTTTAATTAACAGTACTTTCTAAGTGCTGTATTTAGTTTTAGTATCTTTGTACCTGAGTGGTTCCCCGAAGGTACTGGGGTCGGTGTGAAAGATGACGGCGATGGGAAAGTGCCGCGCGTTCAGATGGTAAGCGTCGTTCAGTTCCGTGGTGTTGTTGTAGCGCACCCAATTGATAGCGTGCTGGTTAGACTCTATCAGCAGGTTGTTGATCTCCTCCAGGAAACCCTAGGAATATCGCTAAGTTTAGATTAATCGGGAAACGATTATCCCGTAGTTAGAAGCCTTAGAAGCCGATACGAACACCTTCGAATTGACCAGTATCAATTTTTAAACGTAGTTAATTAAATCATTTTTTTTTAAACGGTGACTATTAGTGATGAGTTAAATTAAAAACATAGGCCAGTCATAAGATTCCTGACTAACGAAGTCATTTAAGAAGAAAATCAACAGAACATAAATTTACTTTTGTACCCAAAAAATACTTTCTTACTTGGACTGATTTGGCAGTCACTTAGGAAGACCCTTGGTGTAGCTCTTGTATCAGAAGGAGTGCTTAAACGATTTTTAAATAACTCTGAGTGCAGTAGTCAGTGGTATTCTTACAACAGTCCCATTAGCCGTAGCCCAATCAGCGACCACCGCGACGGAATGGTTTTCTGGAAGGATGTCGTGGTGGATGCGCAGCAGGCGGCCCGGCTTGCTGACCTCCGGGAAGTTGGGGTTCGGCACTAGCATCTTGAGGAAGATCAGCACGCCCAAGCAGTACAGGGGCACCAGCACCTCCTGGCATTTGAAAAAGAATTAGTGAATACTACGCTTTTAAGTATTGGTAGAAAGTGGTAAGAAGATTTTGTCTAGATTGACAATTGACACAAAAAGGTTATATTTGTTTTTCTATTTTGATTTATATGTTTAAAAGCAGTCTTATAACTGACAAACAGTTGAATGATTGTTTATATATGGCCCATGATTATGTAGATATGTGCATGCGTCATCAAAAAATCTGCGATCTGTCTTTTATAGGATTTACGCATTTAATAAAGTTAGAATAATCTGATTCAATGTAAATCGTATATATCAATAAGAGAAACATTTGTACGGGTTTAATTCAATAGAAATGAAGGTCAAAGGTGAATTCAAAATACTCCAAATGCGATGTCCTATGAGGCAGAGAGAATGTGCATAAAACGACTTGCTCTTTTAACCTGTACCCAAATGTCTATACATATGTCCTTTGTTTGGGATCGACAACTTTTGCTTTATTCGGATTTAAATCCGCCTGTTGATGTTACTTGACAGTTAATTCCATCTATATCAAATGGCGGAAATAAAATGAGCACAAAACACTAAGTCTTATAGCCAGTCCATTAACAGAGGTCAATGACTAGATTAGAAATGGCGGGCAAATATACGAAACAGATGAAAAACTAAATTCCTTTGTTCTTAATGCGTCTTTTGTTTAGTTGTGGTATAACACCGGTTGAGAGGGATATGTAGTAGTTAATGTACTCACAGCGAGGGTTTTCCTGGTATCCCGTTTCTTGAGGAGCAAACTGCGCAGCACGGTAGCCCACAGCTGCGGCCAGAAGCGAGCCGGCGGCCGTGTGCCCATCGCGCCGCGCAGTCTGCTACCTATCGCCACGCACTCCGGCTCTACCGCGCCGCATTTCCTATAAAAACACAAAGATAAATTAATCCTTTAATTAATTATTTAATTAGTCACCCATTTGTCAATACGAAATAGTGTAGGAAAAAATATGAGTAAGATATTTTTTTTAAATCCAGTTCAAAAGCTCCAAAAATGGGCTTTAAGAAAAAAAACAAGTCTTTTTCGTCGAAAGGATAAATTAAAAAAAAATTGAATGTCTCTTTTTGTCGTTTGACGCGGGTAATAAGTACATCTATGGCAGATTATATAATAAATAAACTATTATATTTTTATTTTTTTAATAATACAAACTTTATTAAAAGAATAATAGAACATTCTACATTTGCAATCAAAGCAAACATTAACATAACCTCAAAATGTAAATGAGCAGGACATTTGTAGCACAATGCAAATCACACGAGTTAGATTATAATAGAGGTAAGTGACAGACAGACGGACACGCGACGTGCCTGACAATTATGTAGATGTTATTATCACGAATTAATTTTAACTATGATTAATTCCAGGCGTAGCAAACAATATCGTTTGAATGGACATGGGGTTGTTGGCTACATGATTTTAAATCGATCGAAAAGTTACCCCAAGTTAACTCATGAGGGGTGAACAGAAATTACAGACCATTTACTATACCCAAACTGCCCCGCGGTATCTAAAAATAGCTGTAAATGTCTACATATTTATTGGACTTTAATTACAAGGATTCTTCACAAATGTCTGCAGGCCTGTTATTTAGAAAAAAAGGTTAAGCAACCCTGATTCTTGGTATGCTATGTCATGGCTTATAAGTATCAGCTTCGTGTTTGAAAGGATATCGTAGGGGAATCCTTGTGTTGACCACTAGAGGGCGTGTCGGCAGGAAGTGTAGCGCAGGTGTGGCGCCAGGGGGACTGCGGCCAACAAGCAGGTCGATCGAATTTAAGTTACGAAGTGTCTTATTTTATGTAGCCTATATAAACCAAGTTGAATTCATGGTGTGTGGGACATATCTTATTTCTTACTAATATTACAAATGCGAATGTTTGGATGGATGTTTGTTACAAGGTGTCTCGAACAGCTAAACGGATCGTGATGAAATTTGGTAAGGATGTAGAACATAATCTGGAAGAACGCATAGACTACTAATTAATTATTGGCGGACGGAGCCACGGGCGACCGTTAGTTTATTATAACTAAATAAACTTAATTCGCAATATTTAATAAATACAATAGTTAAAGAAACAGGAGTTATTTGCAATAAAATTAAATAATTGTATTATATTAAAATTTTGACATTATAGAAGATTTGGCTACGGCATATCACGAACCGTTATTGTGGAAAACTAGATTAAAAATAAGTTTTTAAAAACAAATATAAAGTTACTGAAGCGTACAAATATATTGAAACTGGAAACTTTCCAGGGTATATAGTATTGAGATCTATTCCATTTCAAAATGGCGTCCAAAAAAAACATGAACGATGACATTCAGAGAACGAAACAGACGCTCCTGTCACTCACAGGCAATTCCTTTCATAACTGCAGTATTTCGTATATGAATTATTATTACTTTAATTTATATATTATGAGGATTATCGATGTCTATGTCCTATTTAAATTTATCATCAGTATAAGTCCTCATTGAGGGTCTCGTAGTTACCTACCCTAAGTTAGTCATTTGCTGGCCCAGTGCGGGTCAACTTCACACATATTATATAATATATTTGAATGTCAGATAAAATGTACATATGTATTTTCGATCCTAGGAGCTGCAGATTACAAGTCAAGTACTTAACCCCTGAGCCACCGACGTCCTATTTGAATGATATAGTGTTCTATGATGCACCGTTGTTTATGGTTCAAACAAGGTTAGGGAAGTCCACTTATTGAAGACGGGAAAAGAACAATTCTTTACATCCTCGAGATAAAAAAGGATGTGCTGGATCGGAATAGAATATCACATAGTTTGTATCAACCTATTTTCAATAACCCTTTTAACGTAGTTACACGATTAATGGAAAATATTAAATTAAAAAAAAATAGATTAGATTAATAAAAAAGGAATAAACATGACAGCGATCTCTAATACCATAGAGAAAAGTACAATTACAAAAAAGACTTTTAAAACTTTAAAGTTTTGTTCCACGAGGTCACATGAGAAATGGATAATTATTCGCACGAAAACCGTTATTATCCTGCCAGCCAGGCAAAGATTAATCCATTTTTAAATAAAGTTTATGCTTATAACAATATTTTTTTTCTTTTTCACGGTCAAAATTAATTACAGATTCTTAGTACCGCGGTATGCCAGCAAAAGTACTTTCACAGAGGTCATTGCCCGCAATCAAATTCTAAACTACTAATTACATTACTTTAGGGCCGACGCCATTAGCGCTATGACGTTATGTCACAGAACAATGACGTCGAACAGTAGGACAATGCAATTCTCTTAACTTTAAACACACAACTATCGACAAAATAGTCTTTTTTTATATAATACAAGATTCCGAACGAGAGAGCGACCATACTGCTTGCACGAAGTAATCGTTGACCTTGAAACTTATAGCAAATCAGAAGGACAAAGAACAGGATTTATAGAAAAATAATATTTCCTCTTCCTGTACAACCTCCAGCCAAAAACGATTCCATTTCACTGCTTGTCTTATAAGAAAAGGATGGTGGAAGATTACAATTGGCGTCCAGCACACATTCTTAGGAAACACGCAGTTACTTCCAATCCACACCTATCTTCTATGTGGTCCTGGTATCTATTTAATCATTTTTATGAGTCATAAATCTATGATATTAAATAAAATATTATAAACGAATAATTAACAAAAATATATTATTAAAAGGAGTCCCATTAGGCAAGGTTCCGAAGATACTGGCAGCGTTCCCCCTTTGAATAGCTAAACTAATTCTTTGTCCAAGGCTGCTGCCAGCTCTTCGGTCCCCTGTGATGGGAATTTTTTTGATGTTTCGTACATTAAGCAGGACATACGTGTAGTACTGTTCTTTCTACTATTCTGTATCACTGTTCTGTCCTCGTGTGAAATTACCATTAAGTTGTGACGTAATCGGTTTACTGCCCCATAAAATCATTGCTGTAAAGGTCGAGGTGGGACGTTCGCTTTGAATTTAGGATAATTGACAACTAAACGATATCGATTCCATATAATTAAGTACGGACAGAAATATAAATCTATTTCCGATTCGAAAGGTGTGTCTGAAATTAGCAAAACCTTTGGGAAAGTCTCAAATAATTTTATTAAAATGATAAACCCAATTTCGATTTGTACGGCCGTCTTCAAAAATCCTACATCAGTTTGATCAGCCTGTCCAATCCTATAATGGTTAAATAGTTACTGTGGGTTTCGGATATCAAATTCTATGTATAAAACATTCCGTACCTGTCATGCTGTCCTTATCTTAAACAAAACAGTGATAACAATAATTAAACGGGGATTTTGGTGTCAGAAACTCACGGTTTGTGTCTTATACATATATTCTATAGGTCTCCCTTAGTGGCCACTTAATATCTGAGTGTAGATATAGATACTATCAAGCATGTACTGTATTTAAACACAAGGTAATATCTTAGGCACACCCAGAAGTCCGATGATTATCTGTTGATTTATGCGCGGCATTAGCAAGCCCCTGAAGGTTTAATGCAATCAATAACTTTACCTTGTTTTTTCTAGGAATTACTAGTGAATTAATTAAAAAAAACTAAAAGTAAAATATATAAAAATGACAATAACATTTACAGTAAGTTTCTGAGACTAAAATGTTATAATACTAATATAATAAATGTTAATGTTTAGATGGATAGATGGATGTTTGTTTGAAAGTATCTCCTGAACAACTAAACGGATCTCGATGAAATTTAATTTCGTGCGTACAGAGTCGCGGGCGACAGCTATACCTGTATATAAAACATATCGTCATCCCTATCCATCCCTTTGACAAAACATATTGTTATCTCTGTTTTGTCAAAGGATGGAGGATATTGATTGATGAGGAGGATATTGATGGATGGTATATGTCCCAGAGCAAAATCTCCGTTTGAAATATGTTTCAAGTGGAGGTTTTGCTCTTGGAACCTCACTGTAGTCGAGTAAAAAGACAATACTTTGAAGTTTTGTAAATCGTTTGAAAGAACAGTGTTTTCCAGATTTCAGGCGTTGCGATGTGACCTTAAAAGTCGTAGACGGGGTGGCGTCAGCCGAGTTGCAATATAGGTTGCTTGGCATGTGGCCCGCCATCCTAACCTAGTCCGCTCTCTTTGCTTTTAAAGTTACAGTTGAAAACTAAAAGGAAATGAGGTTAGGAAATAAGTTACGTTTTAAACCCATATAGAGTTCTGTTACCCGACTAATTTAGGAAGGAATTGTTTTTATAAGCGTTACCCATAGAAAAGGAAGCTTTGGCAGTTGGTATGTAGCTGTTTTGGTAAGGAACGTTTTCGACAAACTTATTTTTGTCCAGTGTTGTCTAAGGAAAAACATTTCTTCACAACTAATGAATTAAACCTATAATCCAATAATTTATAAATGAAGGAAATAAATAAGACGTGGCCTCCCTTAAGTCTAGACACAAATCTAGACTTTATATATACTAACTTAGAGATTAAACATAAAAAAACACATTACAGCTCTTATCCGCAGACTTTTTATGAACTAAATGTTTTTAGTATAAAGATGGGTTTCCACGGTGCGCGATTCTGAGAACGGACGAGTCAACGCAACCAATAACGAGTCTAAATTCGCACAGTTTTTGTGCGTAGCTTAGTCGATCCAGCACCAGGTACTATGGAAACCGATCTTAATATTATTTCCAGACTCTTCGGGTATACCGAGCCCTTGAGCCTTGAGACGACAAAATAAAATATGGCCGCCGACCGCTTCAATAAAAACGTTCAGAGAGCTTAGTAGACGAACTTTTATGTTTTAAGGTTTTGACCTTGTTTGTTCTCCTTCAAACTAAGATATAATAAATAATAAAATATTCAATTCGAACATAAATAAAAAAAACATGTTTTTGTTAATTAAAGGAACTAATAATTAAAAAAACGATTCAAACGAGCCCAAACTCGATACGGTTGTGTCGTTTCATTATGAAGTTCTCATATCCACCTTCCAGCTCCATCATCAGATCAACACCATATCAATACTGCGTGGTCATGTGATTCACACATGTGTGTAAAGTTTCAGCTCAATCAGTAAGCGGGAATTAGTTTAAATTTAATATGCGAGATTTCTTCACACATCAGGACAGATGAAACTAAATTAAAGCTTGTAAAAATAATAGAGGGTTAAATTCATCCTACAAAAGTCAAAACAGAAGGTTGTTATTTTTGGCAAAATGTTATTCACTTTCCAGTGAAATGGGGGGTGAAATTTTTATTTTTAGTTTGAAACTCTATGGAGACGAAGTCGCGGAAAATAACTAGGTTTTCCTATCTTACTTCTTATTACCTTACTAATATTATAACTGCGAATACTTGGATGTATGGATGGAAATTTATAAGAAGGTATCTCCAGAACGGCTGCATGGATGTCGTTGTAATTTAGCCCTGATGTAGAGAATCGTCTGGAAGAACACATAGGTTGCTAATTTTTTTTAACGCGGGCGAAAGTTAGATTATCCATAAATCATAACATTGTATTTTTAATAATTTCATCGATGTTATTAATAAATATACACGCGCATTGGCGACCTATGCCGTAACACCTACGTGTCACTATAATTATATTTTATTAATTATCTATTTATAGTCTGTGGCGTTTCACACTGGAAGTTTGTCATTTATATAATCTACAACACAACTGTCAGTGAAAATTTAAATTTGGTTTTTTACCAACAGATTTACGTTGATTTTTTCTGTAAACTAAATTTCCAATATTAGGCAACATAAATCTTTTAAACATCCAAAGTATTATCTACTAGCTGTAGCCCACGACTCCGTCTGCGCGGAATTAAAAAACTATTGGTCGCAGCGTAATGCCTAAAGCCTTCTTCCATAATGGATAATCCATCAAAAAAAGAATTTTTCAAATCGGACCAGTAGTTAGTAACAAACAAACTCTTCCGCTTTATAATATTGTATAGATTCAAATGTTATCCATTTTCTCATCTTTTAGTTCGTGCTGAAACTAATATTCAGTTACACAAATTACACGAACAAGGCTACTGAATTTAAATCCTTGCAGACTAAGTTAAATTAAAATAAAAACTCGGTCAAGAACTTCGCTTTAACAATGAAGCTGGCATGAGACGCCTTTTACATGCTGATTAATACGAATAAATCAGCCAGAAAGTTGCAAATATATAAATTAAAAAAGTAGACAAACATAAAACCTTTTTGTAGTCTGCTACAAAGAACTTGCATCGATCTTTACTAATAACACAGAAGTTATATTACTGGCAGTTGAGCGCAACGGAAGGAATTAAAACAATAAAGTAATTAATATAACCTACATCACCAAGTGACAGTTTACCTTCCCAACAGTGAAAGAAATTTTCAAATCGGTTCAGTAGTTTCGGAAATTAATCAATGCAAACAAACATTCAAACTTTTCCTGGTTATATTAGTGTAGATTATTAATCTTTTTTGTAAGTTTCCAAAAGTCGCTAGCAACTAAATTGTAGACAGTTCTATCTTAATTATGTCACCAATCACACAATCCGTCCTTCTCATGAATATTTAAAGTTCTCGTTGTCACATGCGATTCTTCCCTCTGTACAGTCTCTATAAATGGATAGGGTTGGCAATGATAGTTTTTGCTTCGGACTTAAACGCACCTGTTGAAGTTCCTGACAGTCACTTCTATTATTAGTTCGAATTCCCATCAACGCTTCGAACCGCGACCATCAGCGCAAAACAGTGAGAATCAAATAGGCACAAAATACCACGATTCATAGCCTGTCCAGTTAAAAAGGTCAGTGTCCTTCTCCCTTTTTCTTTTATTTCTTTTGTCAGTTCTATACATTTTTGAAGATCGTTATGGAATCGCTTCGTAGCGAATGCACTTTGTCTAGCCCTGCTATCCGTTTATGTTATGTCATATAGATAACATATAAATATATGTCAACATAGCGTACCGTGACGTGGCAGAACGTCACTTGGCTCCGTGCCAACAAACGCGACACTACCGGAGTATTCAATAAAAATCTCATGACAACTCATTACTGAATTCTTGTAATCATTGTTATTACTCATTGCTGGCCCCTCTAGATTGATGAATTTATGACACACTAACTGTAGCCCGCGATTATGTCCGCGTGGTATGTAAAAACTTAATTAATATGCAATTATTCGAATTTTTCTCACCTTTTACACCTTCCCTAGACCCCCACGAACATTTCAAGACCAAGATAAGATAAATCCGTTCAGCCGTTCACGAGTTTTAGCGAGACTAACGAACAGCAATTGATTTTTATATATATAGAAGATTCAGGGTTTTTTTTATCCCATTTACTCAGGAGTTTTTCGTGCAAATTTATCTTTTTTTTGTATGTGCCAGTAGCCCGATTAGTAAGCCACTTTGACGAGTGAGTTGTTTTTTAATTACTACTCTTTTTTAAAATGTCATAAACGATTGTAGAACATAAGTTTTGGTTTTTTAAACAAAATGTTCGAAATCATATATTTCCAATAAACTAGATGGCTAACTTTCGGCCAAATACGACAGATTAGATTCAGAAAATGCGTTTCCTAAAAGATTATAATAGTTCCTATACGTGTTAATATACTATAGGAATAATTTTTACAAAAAGTGGTCGTAATAAAAGAGGTTATGTGGCTGGAGCTCGACTGCAGAGATTGACCCCGGTGTGACCTGGAATAAATTGCCATGGGACGACCAGGAGTGACTCTCATATCTGAATTCATTTCAAAAAACTAATTCTAACTTTAAGGTACAATCTAGATATTAAATTGATGTAACTATTGAATACAGTCAAAGGCTCTCTTGTGTTTTTTTATCATGCGATGTAGTCGGTAGTTTACCAACCCAATAACTGTTAAAGCATTCATGATTTAGTTTTCTTTCCTATTTTCGTATTTATTATAATTTTCTCTATTAATAGAGATTTTTCTCCTATTTTTACTATATTCAAAAATTTAAATGTTGGACAAAAAAATGGGAACAGATAATTCTAGTATTGTAACTAAATTTTTATATTTTACCTTAAAGTTAAGGTGAACGCGTTCTTTATTCATTTTACGTCTTTGAATATTTTTCCCGACATTTTATAAGTATTCCGAGATTACCATTTAAATATTCATAATTGCGTAAAATTATAAAATGAAACAGCGAACATCACAATGGAAGTAATCAACGAAACAAAAGATTTTTAAGGGTGCGGTACACGCTTTCCCCGCTACGTAATAACAACCCTTTACACTAGCCCCAGGGTTACTTATCGTCATATGTACTTGAATACTAAATGTCGCTTTTAATTATTTATCATCGGACAATCCCTATTTAATTTTAAATTCAATTCTGCGCGACAAATATGCACAACGAAAGATTGATGCCAAACTGCTTGAAGCTCTACTAAAAAAAATGTATTTTTTTTAATTTCCTTAACGACCAATGTTACTGGCTGTTAACAACAATATTAATATTGGTATACTGTGTTTTTTTTAATACTAACGTTAGTTTTTCGGTGGTGGCCGGCGAATGGCGTCCGTCATCCCGCGCACTACCCAGCACCCCATCGGGACCACTCATGCAACACAATAATTACGCACTGAATCACAAAATAAATCCCTCGAAAGCCGCCGTACACTGACCACTATAAAATCATTGGTGCACCAATATAATATAACAACACTGGAATATGACAAGGTTACGATTTTCTGTTTCAAGTGTACGCGAGGCGCGCTGTCCCACCGGCCGCCATCATGGTTTGAGGGAGTGATTCGCGCGCGCGCCAAATGTTATTATGTGTTGCAATAAACTTTCCCCTCTGCTCATTTATGGGGTAATTTAATACACTGCATGGCATAACAAAATCAATATTGTGAAAAGAAAATATTTTTAAAATACTGTTACGAATAAAGCGAGCACTTTGGCTGCTGTCCAAAACAGAGTTAAGAATTTCTGATGTTAAATTTAATACTAAAATTTCTTTGACGTTGATGGTTTGAATATTGTGAATAGTTTTCATCATGTCATAAGTTTATAAATTGTATTTTTAACTACAATTTTTCTGAAAAGAGTTTGTTATCATAGCCTACCTCTGCCCAGAAAAAAAACTTGTTTTTATAATTTTTATTCATTCTCCAAGAAAAAGTATCTTAATTCTTAAAAGTTGAGGAAATTTAATTTTTTTGCTTGCATCCCCATCACGCATGCGCAATAACCAACCACTGCAATACGACGTCGTGTAATAGGAACCTATTTTTACATTTCTTTGTAGCCTAAAGAGAATTACACTTCTAATACAAGACAAAATATAATTCAAAGAACTCTTCCTATTATATACTATTTTGTCACCTTTACAATATAATCGTATAGATCTTTGAATATACAGGATGTGACCGTGTGATATAGAACAGGTGTGAATGAATGACGTTGTAATTTATTGATAAAATATTAATACAGATTCATTCAACGATTGCTTCTTTCTGTAAACATCAGCAGATAATCAAATAATAACATTTTTGAATAACGATCTTTGTAACAAATGTTTTTTTTTTAAACAAAAGGAGGCAAACGAGCGGCGGGAACACCGTGTTCAACGACGCCCATGGACATCAGCAATACCAGAGGAACGATGCGTTGCCGGTCTTTGAGATGGTGATACGTTCGCTTCTTGAATGATCCTGAGTCGTAGCGTAGCGTTTTAACTTAATTTTATAGTACCATCCCCATGATGCCTTTTCCTATATTTTTGTTACTGTAAAGGAAACCAGCTGATAGATTGGCATAGCTTCATTGAACATCGGAACATCGGATGTCATTTATTTGTCTGTCAAAAATATACGTTGTTACTATTTGGTAACTTTAATATGACACTTATTCACTTATTGTAAAGCAGTGCGTGTGGGAGTCTCCGTAATCAAGTCATTTGCACCACATTGGGTACCTCTGTGAAGGTCGGGACATCATAAATATTCGAGACATTTATGTACAAACAGACAATATGCTGTACTGTTAAATATTTCAAATCTTACTAATATTTTAAGTTTGAAATTTTAGCAGATGTAAGACAGTGTGAAACACATAGGCTTATTCAGTTTTTTTTTAATTCCGCGCAGACGAAGTCGCAGGGAAAAGCTAATACTTTCACATACCAATCTTTAAGGTCCGTGACGTAACCAATTTAAATAAACGACTATAGACCAAATTAAACCTCTGATTTTAATTAGACAATTCTGTATGGAAAGAATACTGGACGCGTACTTTGGTAATTTTAGTTTTTTAAAGGTAAATTACTACTGTAATTATTGTAATAAAAGAAACACTCTGTGAATAATACTTTAATGTCAAATATAAAATTTCCAAATAGTTTCATACATTTTGATTAGTTAGAAAAACTCTACATAAATTATTCAAAAATGTTGGATAGTACTCGTAAATTGGAGTATATATTTAGAATTTAAACCAGAAGAAATATTTGCTAGGTGCTTCTGTTACTTCTGGTTCTGTTTCAGGTTCAGATTCACTCACGGTCGTAGGTTCAGGTTCGCTCACGGTCGTAGGTTCAGGTTCAGATACTGTGGTGGGTTCATTTTCACTCACGGTTGTGGGTTCAGGTTCTGCGGTGGTCGTCTCTGAGTCAGCTGTGGTGGTATCAATTCCCGCAGTTGTGGTGGTAGGTTCAACTTGCACGTCGAAGTTCAAACCTGTCACTTCGCTTATCCATTCATGATAAGGACCGGTACGAATAAAACCTGTAGAATTAATATTAAATAGACTCTTCAATGATCTTATCTTACTAATATTATAAATGCGAAAAATGTTTGTTAGAAGGTATCTACATAAAGGCTTAGAGACCTCTCTGGATTAGATGTTGGACATAGTCTGGAAGAACATAGGCTACTAATTGTATTTAATTCCGCGCGGACGGAACCGCAGGGCGACAACTAGTTATAATATAAATAAGGCCCTTGTCTTATGAACTGACTGCTATTAATGCAACAAAATATTGTGTTGTTTGTGAACGAACATAGACAATAGTAACGTAGATAAAGAAACATATTAGTTATATGCAATAAATTATTTAAAAAGCGCGAAAAACTACATTTTACATTGCCTTGTTACGATGATGTTCATTTTGCCTTGCACATTTAATTATTTTTCACGTGCAGTGTATTCTTACCAGCGGGGAAGTCAGTGTGGCAGCCAGTGCCCGAGACGAAAGAGGAGATACCGATCTGAGTGAGTTGGCCATCGACGTCTTCTACTAGCAGAGGTCCACCGCTGTCACCCTGTCATAACGCAGAAACAATTATGTTTAATAAAAATAAATTTAAAAAGTTAAAGTTAGCAGTTAAGAAAATTTTTGGTTCGCACAATATTTACATTGTAACATTTAATCGATATTTTCTCTATAAAGTAATTTACAAAATTTTATATGCGATATTTTTTTTACTATTTCCCGCCAAAAACTGACAGCTTCATGCAGTCTTCAGTGGCAAAATTAAACATCGATTGTTTTAAACAGTTTTTTTCAGCAAAAGAAGGAGGTTATCAATTCGTCTTTTGTTTTTTTTAATTACCTGGCAAGTAGACTGGCTGGTTACATTATAGCCGCTCGCACAGATAGTAGAGTCGATAACTATGCTGCCGTACAGACCACGGCAGAAGGCATTTGATACGCCGCGTAAGTAAACCCAATTCAAGTTCTCCGGAGACTCACCTATAGAAATATAATAAATAAATATTGTAACTATGGGTTTCCACTGGTAAAATATACTAAAATATATAGTTATGTGTTAAAATTGCCCACAAGTCGTGTCCGATATGTTTATATGATTTTCCCGGAATATGGGCAAATTGCCCACTTTCCTAGATCTAGCATAGATGATTAGAAGAGTTAGATTGCCCTTCTACTCTATTTTTTTTAAAGTTCGAATAAAACTATATAGCATAATTTCTTTAATACCATTCCAGTGATGCAGTCTTGAACAATTTACCTGAGGTCCAGGTGCGTCCCCAGCCACTGGCTTGTAGCCTGACGTCACTGTAGTCCTTGTTGGCGTCAAAAGACGATTGTAAGCGTACTGGTTGGATACGGTCTGTTAGAAAAAGATGAGAGGTTTTACAAGAAAATATTACAGTTATATCTTACAAAAATCTTGTTTCTTTGTATTTTATTCAGTATTTCGGATTTATACAGTAGTGTCAGTAATGTATGGAATTTGAACTACCTACATATCTCTATTATTCATGTATTTGAAACAAATGACGGCGTATTATTTTCTATTTTACCTGTGAATTGCAAAACGCGGTTGAACTTCAGAAGACCGATATCGTGCGGTTGAACCACAGACTGCAGCGCTTCGATGTACTGTGGGTGATTGTAGTAAGTGGTTGTCTCGAAGATGCTTTCTGGTCTCGTAAGGTTTACAGTACCGGCACGAATAACAATTGTCACGCGCCTGAAAGAGTAATAACAAAGGTTAATTACTGGTAACCTGAGTTTGGCCTGCCAGTAACGATGCGACGTGCCAAAACAAACGAGGGTTCTATACCTTTGTTTACTCCAAAAACGTTAAAGTCATTATAAATGCGAAGGTAAGTGGATAGATGGATGAATGGATGTTTGTTAGAAAGTACCTCCGGAACGGCTCAACGGATCTCGATGATATTTGGTAAAGATGTAGTGTAGAAAATTCTGGAAGAACAAGTAGGCTACTAATAAAGTTTTTTTTAATTGCGCTCGGATGGAGCCTAGGGCGACAACTTGTCCTATTTAAAGATTGAATCTATATTCGTAGTAATGTAACTTTATCGTAATTTAAAGAATATACATTACACTCGAGATTATTTATCTTTACACGATAAATTCATTAACTTTGTTAATTTATTTATATGTCACAAAATTATCAATTACATTGCCGGCGAGGATGTATGAGTAGATATAAAAATATGTAGATGTTAGTTCTTACTAATATTAATCCGAAAGAGGTTTTTAACCACTTTACGTCAGAACGACAGTATAACAAGTAAATCTGGATGATATTTGGTACAGAGATACGTTACAGATTGGCATAGCAGAAACGCTGGACCGTCGGTTTCCGAGACCAAAATCCCCGTTTAAAACGTATTGTTATCTCTGATGTGTCAATCTTTATACACACATTTTGATCTCAGAAGCCCACGGTTAGTTTAGCTTGTGCTTAGTTCCACGTGGACAAAGTTGCAGGAAGCAGATACCACTGTGCCGACTTCATAAAGGTTAATTTAAAACGTAACTTAGAGCAATGTTACAAAACTAGCAGTCGCACGCGACCCAGTCCGTGTGGAATTAAAAAAAAACTTTATTAGTAGCCCACGTGTTCTTCTTAGCTATGTCCTATATGATAAATAAAATCAGCGACATCCATGCAACAGACAGTTCAGAGATATCTTCAATCAAACGACCATCCATCCGTACATCTAAACATTCGCATTTATAATATTAGTAAGATCAATAATGCTTACGTGGCTGTACAATGGGCTGCAGTTAGTCCCCATTCAGAATGTATGATGGTACCACCACATCCATTGACTCTACCATCAAGGTTGACCATCCGGAGTGAGATTTGATAAGGGAACTGTCCCTCCTCCGCCTCCCATCCTGACACTATACGATTTTGACCTACGAAAAGAAAAGTATTTTGACTTCTAAATCACAATCTGGCTCTGTAAGGTTCACCTTCGATTTATTCTACCTAAATAAAATATGTAATTTAAAACATATCTATTATTTCGACAACGTTAGAAATACCTATAACATGAAAACCTAACTAATATAAAATAAAACTTACTGCGCAAAACATTTTCTGGAAAAGTTACCCTTGGGCTAGCTATCTGAAATTAAAACAAAAAAATGGCATAACTTTTTAACCTTTTACTGTCTGTGATACCAAAATCCCCGTTTAAAACATATTGTTATCTCTGTTTTGTCAAAGACAATGACAGGGATGACGATATGTTTTATTCCAGAAACTCATGGTGAGCCACGGTGAATAAAAAAGTAAAAAAATCCGAATTACTCGTAGTTGTGATTGTCGATTTTTTAATTGACACAAAATTATTTAATAAAAGATATTAATAGTCAATTATATATTTATATTATAATTATTATTGTAAACGTTAATAATTTATTATGGTTACATTATTCTGTGACTTATATAAATTTAATAATTACCGAACTCCCAAGCACAGCCACTAAAAACCCTACAACACACCAGCCCGCCATTGTCTCGTGTCCGTCAATAACGCAAGGTTTACGTATTATAATTATACTCAAATGTAATTAATCGATAACAAATGTAGATTAATTTAAAATATCACTTTATCCTTACAACTATGATAATAATAGGAAACAGATATAGATAATAATTACATTTAAAATTAATTATCAGGTTTTGTATATGCCTATTTTGTTTTAACAAATGTGATTTTGTTATAAACATTTTTGATATGAATGAAATTGTGATAAAAAATATCATAGGTATTAATCATAGCGATGAAATCATGATATCAACAAAGACATTGGCTTCAATTCAAATCTTCCTTCTTACTAATAATTATATATTAAAGGCCGGCAACGGAATTGCGGTTCCACTGATGTCCATGGGCGTCGTTGAACACCTCGGTGTTCCCGCTGCTCGTTTGCCCCCTTCTGTTATAAAAAAATATTTGCATGGATGTTTGTTTGAAGGTTTCTTTGGAATGACTGCATGGATCTCGCTGAAATTGGGCATAGATGTAAAACATGTCTTGAAGAACACATAGACTACTTATTACGTTTTTTTAGTCCGCACGGACGGAGTCGCGTGCGTCAGCCAGTATTGCAAAAATGTCTGAAATGCGCCTTTGACACCACAGGACGTGAATGGTAGCACTATAACAGGCCCGACTCAACCAGAATGGAGAATACAGGACAAAATACGAGCAAATGTCGTCGGTGTATGTTTTTTAACGTTTTACTATCTGTGATGATAATAATTAATCTGTATCAAACTCATGTGGAAGAATTCAGATATCCTTGTCTAACTCTTTTTATATCGCTAAATCTCTTTTTCGATGATTTCGTGTTCTTAAATAGAAAGTATTACGTATATTACAGTTTATTTAGTTGTAATTAAAATATTAAGATCTTTGTTTTAAAATGCAGCTAACAGATGAAATATCATTCATGAGGAACAAAAATCGGCTCCAAGTAAGCCAAGAGTAGGGTCTCAGCTGCTATACAGCTTTTAGCTGTAATACGTTATTCTAGCGATATATATTTTTTTCATAATTAATTTTTTTAGTGTATTATAATTTGTCAGATGATCGTGATCTAGATCATGGTGACTGGTGGTATACTGAGCAAAAGGCAGTTTAGAAAAATTGAAGAATCCCATGGAAGCCTAAGTTACTAGTACTCCCGCTAAAAATTATCACAAGATAATTCTAGTTTCGTTCTTTAGGATATAAGAACACTGGTGAACACAAAGCGGTGGGAACACGCCTTTACATAGAGTAAGTAATTGTCTCTGTGATATACTCTTTGACAATTTTCTTGATGACAGTTAAAACTCAAAACACTTTTTTTCATTATTTAATTTTGAATTGGCCAACACGACGTGGTTTTTGTTAAAAATTACTTTATTCGATTTTTCCTCTTTTAAACAAGTGTACATTAATAGCAGTGTTTCATCATGGGTGTGTGGCTAGAGGTAACGACTGCAAAAGCTGAAAATAGACACGAAATAAAATTGGCGGGTGCCGCAATCTCGAAGCGGATTTCTGAAGAGGGTTTAGATAAAACTGTCTTTCAATTAACAAATTTGAACCTTTTAAATATAAGCGATACATGCCTTACATCAATACCAGACGATATTAAATTGTTAGTTAATCTACAATCACTTCTATTGTTTGGTAATAAACTTCAAGATTTTAACGAAAACATAACCTCATTACCGAAATTAAAGGTGTTAGATTTATCACGTAATCAAATAACAAAGATTCCTGATAGTCTTAACAAAATGAAGGAATTGATGAATATAAATTTGAGTTCAAACCAGATTGATACGATGCCTAGTTTCGGTGATTTTCCGAATTTGATATCTGTTGATATCTCAAATAACAAACTACCGAGTTTTTTGGACATTGAAAATGCGAATATGCCACATTTAACTGATTTAAAGCTAAAAGGGAATTGTATAGAAATTTTACCTAGCCATGTGGCCCGTGTTTTGCCTGGACTGAAAAACTTTGATATTGGCGATAATCAAATTAAAATGATTCCTGGTGAACTCGCCAATTTAGGAAAATTAAAAGGTAAGGCAACAGATTAAATCATATAAATGTATAACCAATGCTCTTATTGCATTTCAATTTCATCATATTTTCAAATATATTGTAGTTTAATTTCACCTTGTAACAAACAATTAACTAAAATGAATATAACTTAATTATTCTTTAAGAATAATACTAAAAAAGTAATGATTTCAAGACACCTATTATTTTAAATTAAATTAAAGTTAGTCTTACTTAACATTTTTAGGTATAATTGCATAATACATTTACATATTGTGCAATATTGCCCAAAAAAAAGTAATAATTCAATTATATTATATACTTAGTAATGAAATGCTTTGTTTCAGAACTAAATTTGAAAGGTAACAAACTATCAGACAAACGTCTCATGAAGTTAGTCGACCAATGCCGTACAAAACAAATCCTTGACTACATCCGTGAACATTGTCCCAAATCCGAACAAACACAACAAACAAGCAAAGGTAAAGGAAAGAAAGGGAAGAAGCAAGAGGAACCTCCTCCAGAAGATATTGAAGAACTCTGTCACTCAATGAAAATATTGCATGTCGAAGATGACACCGTACGAGTTAAGATAATTGAATCGGAAGTTGCAAACATACGTCCATACATACTGTGCTGTATTATAAATAATATCAATTTAACGGATGAATTATTTAAGAAATTCATACAATTACAGACTAAATTACATGATACTGTTTGTGATAAACGAAACGTAGCGACCATAGCTACACATGATATGTGTAAAGTAGCACCGGGTACGTTTTTAACATTCTTATTAAGTTAAATAGTAAATAACATCAGTAATGTGCATTTGAGAAAACAGATAATTGTAGTTATTTCCTCTCTGACATGTATGTGAAGTTACAAAAAAATTTTTTGCATAAATATTTTTAACTTTATATAAAAAAATTATATACTGAATATTTAACAATTCAAACTAATTAGGAATGGCTCAACTCATGAATGATCATTCCATGACACCAAGTAAACTCTCGCCCTGAAGACAGGTCTGAACTAATCTATTCTATCACTGAACAATCATATTTGAATTAAGTCATTCCTTATTAGTTTATTATAAAGTCTCACGAAAGTTTAAATAATTTATAATAATTGCTAAAAGTATTTGATTTTTTTTTTATTCATAAAAAATTACATTTTCATTTAAACCATGCTCCGCAAAATTGCTTACGCAGTTTGACTGCTTTGAATATTAAACTAAACTTGTCATACCTAATTATTCATAATAGAGATATTATTTACATAAAATTATATAGTTTAATTACCTTAACCAATGTATTAACCTGTACCTTTATTTCAGGAGATCTAATCTACACAGCAAAGCCTCCTAAAGTACTAAAACTCACGCCATTATCGAGATCTCGACCATTCAGCGGAGAACAGCTGTTCCAGCAGTTAGCAGCAGAAGCTGAAGCTCTTAGGAAGGAGAAGAAGAGAAATGTTTACACTGGAATACATAAGTGGGTACAATAGTAATTAAAAAAAAACAACTCAAATACATATTACTATTAGAACACAATTTAGAAGCATTGATTGAATACATTACACTTTAAAATAGTTGAATTCATTTAAACTTTAAGTCTCAAATGACAAACATATGTACCAGAAAGGATTACCATTTTGTAAGTTTACATGCAACGCTTGCACCAAGTTTCATTGTGAACCCAAACAGCACATAAATATATTTTATGCTTAAACTCTTAATAAATGTCCAGTTTTTCTTTGATAACTCTATAAACATCAGTAAGCCTTATTTTGTAATAGCTGTTGCCTGTGATTCCACTCGGAATTAAAAAAACGTTTTTATTAGCCTATGTGTTCTTCCAAACTATGTTCTACATGTATGTCAAATTTCACTGGGATCCATGCAGCCGTTCTGGTTCAACCCTCAAACAAATATCTATCTATCCAAACATACCGCTATGTATACAATTTGGTATTCCTATGTTCACTTAATTGATTTAATTACAGGTATTTATATTTATTAGAAGGCAAACATAAGTATCCATGCCTTGAAGATGCTAGCGGAAAAGTAATCAGTTTCCCACCCATAACAAACTCTGAGGATACAAAGGTAAATTAATATTATTTTACACGAGCGATGCCCGCGACATCGACCGCGGAGATATACATAGTCTATGTCACCCAGCGTCGATGACTCAGTGGTCAAGCACTTGATTTGCAAGCTGCAGGTCCTGGGTTCCAATACCGCTATGTACCAATATGTTTTTCGATTTCCGATTTACATATGTACATTTATCCGCGTTCTTACGGTGAAGGAAAACATCGTGATGCAACCTGCACATATCTGAGAAGAAATTCAAAGATATGTGTGAAGTCAACCAACCCGCACTTGGCCAGCGTGGTTGACTTATGGCCTAACCCCCCTAACTTAGGGTAGGCACCGAACCCCTAGGTGGGGACGTATAGTGAACTGATGATGATGTCACCCAGGGATAGTGTAGCTTCCCAACAATGAAAGTTTTTCAAATTGTTTCAGGAGAATGAAGCAATCAATGCAAATAATCAAATCTTTCCTCTTTATAATATTAATATAGACAACTTGTTGGCTGCAGGTCTACAATTCTTTTTATTACTGAAATTAAATTCCTCATCCAATAATTTGAATAATAAATACTTGAAATGTATTGTATGTGGTATGTGGTAGTTATAAGGAAATTGATACAAAAAATGTCTTTTATATCACATACTAGCTATTGCCTTCGACTCCGTACGCGCTAATTAAAAAAAATCTTGATAAGTAGTCTATGTCTTCTTCCAGATAGTTATATGTATGCTTAATTTCATCAAAATCTGTTAAGCCGTTCCGGAGATACCTTCAAACAAACATCCATCTAAACATTCGCATTTATAATATTAGTAAGATTTATAAAAATCTAATAATAAAATTATAAAATTTTCTCTTTTATTTTAGATGTCAAGCAGCACAAAGACGATGCTAGTAGAGGTGACGTCACACGCGTCTCTCTCAGCCTGCAAGACGGTCATGGACAAGCTGTTGCAGGAATGTCTGTTGCTAGGCATCGGAGACGAGGGAGAAGATGATGGTTACCACACACTATCTGTACAACAGGTAATTTTTTTAATTATCGTTTTACAAGTTAGGTTCTTACCCTTTGAGCCATCTAACAGATACCTTGGTTTATGTTACTACTAGCTGTCGCCCGCGACACCGCGAGAATTAAAAAAACTTTACAAGTAGCCTATGTGTTCTTCCAGACTATAGTCTATATTTATACCAAATTTCAGCAATGTGTCTGATCAATTTGTGGGTACTTACAAACCATAAAGTTTTTTGTCAAATAGTGGGTACTTTTATATAAGTAATAGGTTGATTTTCCTCTCTCCTTTGTATAAACTTCAATGTTTCATTGTCCATTCTCCATTGTCTACAGGTAAAGATTGTGGATACAGAAGGTAATTTGAAGAGTGTGTACCCATCGCGAACGGACTGCGTGTACGAAGGCACTAATATTAAAGTGTACCGTATGCCAAAGAAATAAAGTACATAATTGAATTACATAATCTGACAATTGTAATTAATGATTTCGGAATAGGAAATTCCGACCAGCAGGATTGGACTAAGTGTATTCGCCCCGAAGCGATTCCCTTTATGAAATCGAACTCCAAAAATGTATGGAACTGACGCGTGACAATCACGTGACTTATCAAAAGTTATTTTCACTTGTATACATTTTAAGTTTGTTATGGAATCGCTTAGTAGCGAATGCAATTTGTCTAACCCCGCAGCAAATATCTGACAATCTTAATTTGGTTAAATTCAATCTTTTCCACTGCCAAAATGTGTTTCACAGGTTATGTGCTTTTGTACAAATATGTTGGCAATGGAAACACCAAAAATGTTGCAATTAAAATAATTAAATCATAATCAATCTGATTTACCAATATGAAAAAAAAAATGAAAAATGATTTATTGTTTAAACAAAAATACATACTAACATTTGTGCCGGGACTTCCATTTAAGCATTCATAACGGGCTTGTGATTGGAAGTCCCGCTCTTCCGTGTCACATAAACAATATCAATGGTACCTTCTTAATCTATATATTATATAAAGACAAAATATTCTTTTTAATATTTGTCATATAAACGTGATTTTCTATTAATGTTCTATTTTAATTTTTGTAAGTTTTTTAAATGCTTTTTTTCTCTTAATATAAATGTGAATAAGTCATTTATTGACATTATTTGTATGTTGTCAAACAACATAAAATCAATAGTGAAGTTTGAAGATTTCAAGCTAAAACCAGGAAAATGTAAAGTACAAAATGTATAATTCATCTTCTATAAGGTTTGTGTTTTTTTTTGTTAACATATTTTTTCCTAGGTGTTAAGCTCTGCGCATTGAAACCAACAACGCTTGAAATGTCAACTAATATCTACTTATAACACTTTTTAAAAATAACTCAACATATATTTTCATAATTATAATTTGTATGTTAAACTGAAACTTAGGTTTACAGTTAAATCTTACCAGAATTTGATGTCTATTTGATTGATTATCGTGTTATATTAAAACTTTGAATTGCGTTAAAAAAAAATTAAAACAAAATAGCAGCTTTTCATTATCTATGATAACCGTCAGTATTGATTTGCTGCCACTATTAATGTTAAATTTTTATCTGTGATGTAAGTTTTGAAAACTCGCTATCGCCTGATTTTGCGTTTATCTTAAAATAAGAAAAAGTTTTGTTACTTTTTGTGAAATAAATATTTTTGAAAAATACTATGGCTTTATCTTGTTAAGTCCCCTTCTTTTACGGGTTTTATTGTAGTAAAAAACTAAAAAAGCAATCATCTGATTTTGAATTTGATCACGATCGGCTACATGCACTATTAAAAGGCTGTCCCTTAAAATTTGGGGTAACTTTACAAGAGTTTCAGTGCCGTAGCGCGTGGCATTGTGAATCTGGCATGTTAACACAATTAATACATAAGAGCACCATTAAAATAATGCGCAATATTATCACAACTAGGTAAGTAAAAGAAAAAACGATTCGTAATATAGAAAAATTAAAAGCGTAGTAACGTGAACGTAACTAGAAACTGTATAAAGTAAATTATATAGTAACACCAATTCAAGCAATTCCAAATGTCATATTTGATTTTGAACTTGTTTCTACATGTCAAAATCAAATGTTTGGCAACAACCTAATTCGTGCCTTAATTTAACTTAAATGTCTAATATTGCAAGTTTTATTCATTATGTTATTCATATAAAGTTATCAAGATGCGACGAAGTTTAGCTCCGAGCCAAATCGGAGCAAATGAGAGCGTGTTCAAAAGTCCTCTACTTAATTCATCGAAACGTAAAAAGCGGGAATGTACGAAAATACCGCTCGCTCAAAAATCTCTTTCTCAATCTTTATCCGTATCAGATCATGAGATACTAATAAAACAGATTTTAAACAAACCTTTTAAAGTGCCTATTCCTAATTATGTGTCTTCGTATTGTGGAAAGAGTTTAGGATTGAAACGAACTCAAGTGCGACGCGCCTTACATGATCCCGATGAACCAAACGCTTTGGTATTATATCGACCGCCGTACATTCCTGAACACGAAAAGATGAAAATGAATGCAAACGATATTAAAGTTGCAGTGGTCGTCGATCCCGTGTTGGGAAACATCTTACGACCACATCAAAGAGACGGAGTTAAATTTATGTACGATTGTGTGACGGGAATACAGATAGAGAATGCTTATGGTTGCATAATGGCTGATGAAATGGGTCTAGGAAAAACTTTACAATGTATTACTTTGCTTTGGACATTATTAAGACAAGGACCTGACTGCAAACCAACTATAACAAAAGCGATCATAGTTTGTCCAAGTAGCTTAGTAAAAAATTGGTACAATGAGATTGGAAAGTGGCTGGGTCAGAGGATAAATGCATTGCCAATGGATGGTGGGAGTAAAGCTGATATTACACTAAAACTGCAGCAATTTATGAACACATTCACAGCTGGTAGAGTTGCTACACCTGTCTTAATAATCTCATACGAAACTTTTAGGATATATTCCAATATTTTGCACTCATCAGAAGTTGGTTTGGTCTTATGTGATGAAGGCCACAGATTGAAAAATAGTGAGAACCAAACCTATCAGGCTTTAATGGGTTTGAAAGCAAAACGGAGAATTCTAATCTCAGGAACTCCTATACAGAATGATCTAACTGAATACTTCAGTTTAGTACATTTTGTTAATGAAGGTATTTTAGGAACAGCTCAAGAATTCAAAAAGAAATATGAGAATCATATTCTTAAAGGTCAGGATGCATTAGCCACTGCTCAAGAAAGGGAGAAAGCGCAGGAATGTCTGCAAACTTTGACATCAATAGTTAACAAATGTATGATCCGCAGAACTAGTAATTTACTTACAAAATATTTACCAGTCAAGTTTGAACAAGTTATATGTGTCAAAATGACTCCACTCCAAACACAAATATACAAGAACTTTATAAATTCTGATGCAATTCGTAATAAATTTACAGGCAACGGTGACAAAAATACATTTACTACATTATCTAGTATTACAACACTGAAGAAGTTGTGTAATCACCCAGATTTAGTGTATGATAAAATAATAGAGAGATCTGAAGGCTTTGAAAAAGCTAAAGATTTATTACCTGCTAATTACGACATTAAAGATGTTAAACCGGAGTATTCAGGAAAATTAATGATATTGGATTGTATATTAGCTAATTTAAAAACAAACACAGATGATAAAATTGTCTTAGTATCAAATTATACACAAACTCTTGATCTATTTGAGAAATTATGCCGTAAAAGATGCTATCAATACGTAAGGCTCGACGGCTCAATGACAATAAAGAAAAGAGCTAAAGTTGTTGAAAGTTTTAACGATAAGAATTCTAAAGAGTGGATATTTATGCTTAGTTCTAAAGCTGGTGGATGCGGTTTAAATCTAATAGGTGCAAATCGTTTGATTATGTTTGACCCTGATTGGAATCCAGCCAATGATGATCAAGCGATGGCAAGAGTTTGGCGAGACGGACAGAAGAAACCGTGCTATATATACCGTTTATTAGCAACTGGTACTATTGAGGAAAAGATATTCCAACGACAAGCACACAAGAAAGCACTCAGTGATACTGTTGTTGACCAAAACGAGGAGTCACTAAGACATTTCACTTCTGAAGATTTAAAAGATCTGTTCCGTTTGGAAGAGAACACATTATCGGACACACATAGTAAGTTTAAGTGCCGTAGATGTGTGAATAACATACAAGTAACAATACCTCCGGAGAATTCCGACTGTACATCGGATCTTTCTAACTGGTACCATTGCGCTGACAAGAAAAACTTAGCCGATATTGTTTTAAAACAATGCTGGGATCTTGCAAAAAGTATATCATTTGTATTCCACCATAGATCTGCACAAGCTGAAGCTAAAATAGATGAAATAGAAGATAAGGAAAATGTACAAGAGAAAAAGAGACGGAAGATTGAAGTTGATGAGGATTATTCTGAGCCAGATGATAGTGGTGATGAAGATTATCGGTGAATCTATTTCGGCTGATTTCCATGTAAGAAGTAATTATGTTTTTTATTGTATATAATATGATAAATTATGAATACTATGTTATACTATTTTGTTTTAAGAAGAAATTATATAAGTTATGTAAATATTAATAATAAGTTTCAAATTTCTTCAATATAAAGTTATTTATCAGAAAAAATCTTAATTAATAAAAATACTAAATCCAGATTATTACATCTTTATTTATGTTCAACACTTAAACTTATTCTTTTAACATTTCATAAAATATTACAAAACCCAACAGATAATATATAAACTGTGAAAAAAAATACAAAAATAAGACATGGCACTTTCATATGATATTACAGTAGAAACCAAAAAAAAAAGTAATGAAATTGTCTACAAAGGTAGAGGAAGACCAAAGAAAGTTTGTATGAATTGTATGAAAGAGGATATGCGTAGCAAGGAGGTAGATTCTGATATGACGGCTGATAGAGGCTAGGAGATAGAGAGATGTATGGAGGAGTACATACTGTACTGACCATATGGATAAGGACAAGTTATATGATTACAGTGGAAACAAGTGTTTACATAATTGTTATAAAATTTGAATACATATAACACAGTTTTAGTATTTTAAAACTGTAGTACTTTGTTGTTGTCTTTGTTTTGGCAAACAGAATGAAAGGGATGACAATATAACTTTCGTTGCAGTGTATTTGAATTATAACTCTTTGATACTGTTCTAGCTGGAACAGCTCAGTTTGATTCCATATGACCAGCTTGGTGGTTGCGATGAATATCCCAACTTTTCAGCTTCCTCATTCACTTCATAGGGATTCTTAAAAATCTTCAATAGAAGTCGCACCTGAAACAAAAATTGAGTTAAATCTTACTAATATAAATGCGAAAATTTGGATGGATGGATTTTTGTTAGAAGGTATCTCCAAAACGTCTTAACGGATCTTGATGAAATTAAAATTAGAACATTGCCTGGAAGACATATAGCTACTTATTAAGATTTTTTTAATTCTGAGTCTTGTAAAAAATATTATCCTGTTGAGCAAAAAATAGTGAAAATTTCACCTTTCCAAAGTCATTTTTCTCGGCATCAGCTATTGCCTCTTGTAATATCCAGTTGTTGGGTATATATAGGGGGTTCACTTTCAGCATGCGGGCACGTCTCACTTCTTCATTCACTGCAAACATTTATTTTAAGAAAAAAGTTAATAAATAAATCCCCTTTAACTGATTATTACTATTATTTAATTTTAATTAGAGATTTTTTTTTTATTTTTAATATACGACCAGTTTTAACGACTTTTACTCGAAAGGAAATAACGGAACCCTTATAAGATCACTTTGTTGTCCGTCTGTCTGTCAAGGACCTTTTTTTAATATGAAACATAGAATAATCTTGGCTGATTATTAATAATTGTTACCTACTGTTACATGAAATAAATAAATAAAAAAATAAGATTAAAATTGCCTTGGAAGACATGAATATTTTTACTTAAAACCATTTAAGAAATACTGACCATTCTCTTGTTCCAGTCTCTCACAATACTTTTGCACCCATTTCTCCCACTGCAAGGCTTTGGAGACCTTCACCAAAGACCATTTACTCTCCAGTGACGTCACATCTGACAACTGTGATACATCCAACTGGAAATAATGATTACATCTTTAGTTTTGGTACAACAACACGATAGACTTAAAATTTAATCTAGATTTTTATATCATAAGGTGGCAAACGAGCGAGCAGCTTAAATCGCTGAAATAGCGAAGAATTTTACCAAGTTTTATATTACTAACAGTTACACCCGACTCCGTGCGCGCATAATAAAAAATAAATAAAAGTAAACGTAGCCTGTCACTCGGGGACAGTGTAGCTTCCAACAAATAAAGAATTTTTCATATTGGTTCACTAACTCCGGAGCCTGTTCAATGTAAAGAAACAATCAAATCTATCCTCTGTATAATATTATATAACAATAATTACCTCAGCCATTTGTCTGAAGGTCTGCGTGTAGTCAGCCATGGTCTGCTGCATCATCTGCAGCAAGTCTTTCACCAGTTTTTCATCACCGTCTCGCACCTCTGACAAGCCCAGTTTTCTCATATATGTTACACTGAATAAAACATACATTTAATATCTTAATTTCTAGTTTAAATCACTTAATTACTGTTGGTTTCTGAGATTATAAGCTCTGTAATATATTCCTGGGTTTTGACCTCAGAAACCCACTATAAATATTTCGTTTCTCAAATATTATAAATGTCACAGTTTGGATGGATGTTTGTTTGAAGATATTTCCAGAATGGCAGAACGGATCTTGATGAAATTTGGCACAGATGTAGAACATAGTCTGGAAGAACACATAAGTTATTTATTAAGTTTTTTTTTATTTCGCGCGGACGGAGGCGCGGGCGACAGCTAGTTTTGTTATAAAAGCCATACATACTTGATTTTATTCTTGACATAATTTGCAAGAGTATTTTTTATATCTTTTATTCTTTGCTTCTCGTCATCTGATAGTATCGGCTCCAATGCTTCTGCGAACTTCTCCAAATTCCATACAAGTATCTGAAATATATTTTTTTTAAATTTATTATGGACTTCAGAATTTATTATTAGTGAAAAATTCACACTTATTACTAATCTTAACACATTAATAATAATTATTGCTTAAGTTACTCCCACACATAAGCTACCTTCCAGTAAAAGGTCCCGTTAGAATCAATCCAGTCGTTTAAAAAAAAATGGTTTTCCATTCACGAAATATGTTTTTTTTTATATTAGACTAGTTGTCACCTGCGACTCCGTCTGTGCGGAATTAAAAAAAACAATTGTAGTATGTGTTCTTCCAGACTATTTTCTATAGCTATGCCAAATTTAATCGAGATCTGTTCAGCCGTTCTGAAGATATCTTCAAACAAACATCTATCTGAACATTCGCACTTATAATATTAATAAGATTTACCTCTGGTTGTTTATTGAATGCATACCGTCCAGCATCATCAGATGTATTAGGTACATAATGTTCATAGTAATGTTGCATAAAGCCGTACGGTCCATAGTCTATGGTTACACCCAGCACGCTCACATTGTCTGTGTTCAGTACACCATGAGTGAATCCTACACCTAAGGAAGTAAACGCATAAGTTCAAATCAGTAACAAAACTTAGTAGAATAAGATTAGCTTCCAGTTTACTATTTAATTTTGTACAGGGCCATCACTGCAATGGTTTATACTTGGCCTGGCATGTATTATATTGGCTCACTGGCGCCAGAAAGTGTTTACTGTCCTACTGGACTGGCATAGTGTAAACTTGTCATATGAGCAATGAAACAAGTGACATTTTACCAAAATGGATAGGGAATAAACATCCTTAAATGTATATTAACTTTAAAGTTCAGAAATTGCGTATTTTACTTACTTTGTACTTACCTTGCCAAGTAGCAACCATGTCTAGATTAGTGTGAGCCACCTCTGAATACCATTTTACATATCTGTCCGGATCATCTGATGGAATGTTTGGAAAATGATGCTGTAACAATAAATATATTTAGAAATCATTTTGTTTTAAGCACAAAGAAAAAATTCTACTTCCTAATATTAATTGACTAGTCGCCTCCAACTCCCTCCGCGCGGAATTAAATAACTTAATTAGTAGCCTAGGTGTTCTTCCCGACTATGTTCTACATCTATGCTAAATATTAGCGAGATCCATACAGCTGTTCCGGAGATAACTTCTAACATCCATCCATCCAAACATTGGCCTATACAAATGCAACAGCTATATTCCATTATGACAATACTTTACAAAGTTCAAATCATAACCAGAGTATATTTGTGTACCTTAATCACAAAGTCAGCTAACTGCTTCATGATATGTGGCTCTTTCCGCTTTAGCAATATCTCAAAGGATCCAAGCCGGTACCAGGCGGGTGCGAGGCGCATCACCACAGCAGCGCGCTCCTGCCGAGCAGCCCCGCTGTAGCTCTTGTCATGCCATACTTTGTGGTCATCGCTCACTGCAATTATTTATAAATAATACTAACTGTCGCCCTAGACTCCGTCTGCGAGGAATTAAAAAAAACTTAAGAGCCTAAGTGTTCTTCCAGACTATGTTCTAAATCTATGACAAATTACATGTAGATCCATTGAGCCGTTCTGGAGATACCTTCTAACAAACATCCATACATTGAAACTTTTGCATTTATATTAGTAAGATATAGACAAACTAAAATTGTTTTTTTATTTATGAAGAAAAAGGTAGGCAAAGTAACTCAGAGTTAGTTAAGGGTACTAATGTATAATGCTTGAGTAGTTTTTAATAACTCCATACACTTTAAAATAACTAACTAAAATTGAATAATCTTACCCACCAAAGCCGCTGCCCTAGTGGTGGGTATGCCAAGATAGTAGCATGCTTCTGACGCTATCATCTCTCTGATGGAGGAACGCAGCACCGCGCGCCCGTCCCCGAAGCGGGAGTACGGGGTCTCACCTGAACCCTTCAATTGCGGTTGCCAGGATTCACCTTTCCTGGTAAGAACTATCAAAGTTATAAACAACTTTAAACATAACCCAAAGAAAGTGTTATTTATATCAATGCAAAATCTGTGCTATCTGGGTCAGCTGTCAGTTTGACAAGGACATGAATAAACCAGTCTCATCATCATTAGTTCACTATACGTCCCCACCGAGGAGCTCGGAGCTTACCCTGAGTCTTAAACCAGTCTGCACTAAGCTAATGGCCATATCTTTACTCCATATAGCTGGGAGACATTAACAATTTTGTGTATTTTTACCTGTTGACATAGTCTCCGAGAATGTGAGCTCTTCCATCCCCAAGTTGGTCTGCCCAGTAGCCAAACTGATATCCACCATATCTAGAAACAAATATTGTGCTGCTCATTTGTGATATATCAATACTAATATTATAAAGAGGAAAGATTTGTATTTTTGTTTGTAATGAATAAACTCAAAAACTACTGCACCAATTTAAAAAATTGTTTTGCCTTTAAAAAACTACCTTAATTTTTTTTTTTCATTTAATTTGGGACACTGTATAGACTACATAATATTTTTCTAAAGTTTTTTTTTTCGCAAAAATTCAAATTAATACCTATGACAAACAGTAAGACCTCCTTCAGGTAAGTATCTGCCAGCTACCATGTCCACAAATTCCTCAGTTTCCGCCACTTCTGGATCCAAATCTAGAATATCTTTCATTGCATCTTCTGAGACGCATACCAAATGAAGTTTTCCTGTTAAAGGTTCTGTTGGTACCTGTAATAGTACAAATTAAGCTCTTAAAATCACATGGTTCAAATTTATAATTCACATTTTCGAAAAAAATTACCTTAGAAAATACAGCATCTTTAACTGCAACAGGAACATTATATTCCGGATTTTCATTTATTGGTAACTCAGCATAGTTTGGAGGATTTCTAAACTTCCAACTTTTTAGATCGCGTATTAACGATTTTTCGTTGCCTAACATGATTGACCTATGATCATTCAGAAGCGAAGCACAAACGCACAATGTTCGTCTCATGTATGAAATTACGTGATTAATTATAATTAAATCAAACATTAACAATGATTAGGCAATTCTTATTTTTTCTTTCAACTCATCAAAAATATATAAAGGCCGTATTTGCAAACATGACATAAACAACATAAAGCTTCAATCGGTAAATGGATAAACGTAAAAATAATGATTTAATTGTATTTATAAATCTAATAATAATATCTGTAAATGAAATTGTTTACATTTTTGACAATGACATTAACAATGTTTTTTTTTTATTTAAGCTCTGAATGTTTGCTTATTTGAGCCAGTCAATGATGCTAACACATAAACTTAATCGTTTTGTCAGAAAATGCTAAAAATTTTAGTTAAAAGTCTTTAAAAAACTTTTGACTGACGTGTCATTATTCCTACGTATGATTTCTATTGTTATTTTTAATATGCTTCCATTAACTAATGTTTTTACTATATTACACATCTTCGTCTTCCTAGACGCAGAGGCACAACAGTGGCGCTACAAGCGGACAAAAATGGCATATTTGGCAGCGGTCCCAAAGGTTTTTTTTTAATTAAATGATACAAAAGATATTTTGCAATCAAAAGCATATTTTATTTTTATTTTACTTTAATATATGCAATTACCTACTTAAGAATATGATGAAAGTAAAATAATTTTACTGTTATCAATCAGCCTATTGTCTCAAATCAAATTGTTCTTCATTCTGTAAATCAACATTTGGATCTTCTAATTTGTTTCCTTTTTCTTGGACTTTTTGTTTTTTTTTTCATGTCCGTAATAAATTGATTCTGAGCTCGACATTGTTTTCGAATAAGCAAACAACTAAGGTAATGGAACAAACGTCTACTCATTACATTTCTATGTTCCTCACACATCCAAGACAAATCACATTCCCCCAATATGGTTGTAACGCAATAATTACGAATGTTTTTTATATATAATACTGGCGCTATATCTATGTTGAATATTTTTATTGCCTTTTCAACTGTCATGCAAAGTTTTGGACTAGGATATCGCGGATGACATTTCTCTGTCCATATTTCCAGAAGTAACGTATAATTATGATATAAATCAATTTCAATTTCAGTAAGTGCTAAAGTTTCATGACATTTCTCACAAATTATATTTTTTAAAAGTTTTACAGCCAAATACGCACTGATGTATATATTAGGATGCTTTTCAAATCTTTCAAAAAGTTTGTCTAATTCTTTTTCAGATTTAGGTTCCATGAAATCATCATTAAAATCATCGTCCACATCTGATTCATCATTTGTTACATCCGATTCTTCGGATATTAAAGTTATTTCATTCATTACTAAATTACATTTTCTCTTTCTTCTCTTCATTGTTTTAAATGATTTAATTGGTTCAAGAAGCGCATAACCTATATTTAATTCATACTGATGACATGTAATATGTTTGTTATCTTGCTGTTCACCCTCAATATACTCAAATAGATCTTTAAGAGAATAAAGATTTAAACAAGTCAAATTTAATGTATTTAATGTATTGTTTTCCTTAATAAAATTCCAAATATTTTGAAATGATTTTAATGTAATAGAATATCCATCAATGCATCTCACATCACTCAAACCGACTCGTCCATTTATATTAACAAAATGTGTATTTTTTAATTTTCTTTTATATTCATCCCATAAACTATGGTGACAACTATCCGAGGTAACATTTTCAATGCAAGGATGTTTTTTTCTTTGACATACAACCCCATAGGTACAATTAAACAAGTTATCCAACTCTTCAATGACTTCAGCAGCGGTAAATATTTCATCGCTCATCTCTAAATTTGCTTTACTCTCGGAAAGACCTTTCAGTACACCTGCAACTGTGTTACTGAAGATTTCAATTGCCATCTTGGTACCTTTTTTACACCAATTAACTGTGTCTACATGTTCTTTAGTTATTTTGACAAAATGAAGATTTCTGTTTTTTTCTTCTACCATTTTTAAATGCGACATGTTCAATGTTTTCGTGTCTATAACTAATTGACCATGACGTATCAGATTGTTTCTTAAAGATTTAAATAAATAAGGAACATCATAAACAATATAAACTTTTTTATCGTCTATTTCATAGTAATTTATATCTGTACACTTGTCATCGGGTGCCAGCAACAAATTTATAGCTTCTACATTTATTGGGGACTGGTTGCATACACTGGCAAAGACAGTGAATCCAGTCTTTCTAATTAATCTAATTACATTTTTTAATAAGTCACATAAAACTTGCGGTTTTAATTTCCCTCTGAAAAAATAATGCGCAATTGATTGTTTAATATCCATACCTATATTTTGAAGCATGAACACTAGCACATGGTCGGCGATTTCTTCACTTCTGCCACCTTCATCACCAAAATCAACATATCCATCAATTTTATCCATACACGGATTGTATGTAAGACATTCATCCAATACAAACTCATCAAATAATAATATACATATTCCTCTGCCTTCCTTGAATTGTAACTCATAGTCTTTAAAAACTTTTTCCAAATATGACAATACTGTGGAATATATTCCTGATTCTGTTTTTATTTTTTTACTTAATTCCATTTTTAAGTTTGTTTTTAGAACTTTTTTCTTTGCCAATACATTGAAAAGTAAAGATTGTTCTACATTTTGAATCCTCTTTTTAATTCTAGACGCACATAATTCTGCAAATTGAAAATACAAAAACAATAGAAATTTATTGAATTATAATCATTACTAGCTATCGCCCTCGAATCCGTCCGCCGGAATTAAAAAATAAACTTATTCAGTAGTCTATGTGTTCTTCCAGACTATATTCCTCTCCTGTTCCTGTTCTATATTAAGACCAAATATCTTCAAGATCTATTGAGTAGTTCCAGAGATAGCATGTTGTTACAACAAACATATCCATACATCCATCTAAACTTTCGCATTTATAATATTAGCAAGATAGTAAAAAAATTTACCTTTGTACTCAGGACTGTAAAAATTTTCATAGAAATATTTTAAATTATCGTTTTCTTTACGTTTATTATCTGCTTTTGGTACCATTTTGGTACCATTTTCATTCACTAATGTTGGTGATGCAGAAATTGGTGCATTTGAAGTGCTCACATCAGGATTGTATATTCCTACTATATTGCAATTCTTAGGTAATTCTATTAATGGAATCATTTTAACTGGTTCTTGTACATTTTTAACTGGAGGGCCTTTTTTTTCTGGAAAAATAAAATCAATTAAATTATTTACAAATGAGCACATAATTATTTGACAAATGCAAAATGCTGGCAACACACAAAATGTCTTTTAATCGCCGTGATTAAAAAAATATATGATAACTGTCAATCAACCAGGCAAGTTTTGAAGCATCAATAGCCTATTGGTTAAGAGTACGGATATTCAATCACATGGTCAGGGAGTCGAAGAACAGAGCTTAGTTGAAATCTTGAGATGCCTCCCTGATTAATAAAGGTTGGCATTCAGTTCACCATATTTTCTTTTGTCTCTTACGAGGAGAAACAGATGGCAGCAATTATTTGAAATAGTTCAATAAATTTGAACTAGCTGTCGCATGCGACTTCATCCATGCAGAATTAAAAAAAAACTTAATAGTCTATGTCCCCTCCCTGGCTGTGTTCTACATCTATGCCAAATTTCAGCAAGATCCATCAAGCCATTCTGGAGATCCATCTAAATATTCATATTTATATTATTAGTAAGATTAATAAACTCTGCTATAAATAAAATAAAAATAAATCAATCATCTGAATTACATTAAAATAATGTTAATTATTATTCTTTTAATTTTATTAATGTTAATTAAATTAATAAATGTCACTTACTTAGATATTCAGCTTGTTCTTTTAATATATTTTCATAGGCTTTCTCTAATAGGTCATCTGACAAAGGTGGATACGGTAATCCAACAGATGGCACTACATTTTTTTTTAACCTTGACTGTAGTGGATTAAAATCATTAGGTTTAAAGTGATCCCCACAAACACTTTTATATTTTAATGTTTTATATGGTAAGTTTAGTAACTTTTCATTCCCCATCACTTTCAACCATTTTATACACCTGAAACCATAAATTACAATTACATAAATACATAATACACAACTGAAAATCACATATTCCAAAAAAGCAGTTACTTTCTTAACATATAAGTATATACATGTGCCTTAAAATTTGAGACCCTAATATTGTTATCTCATGTTGTCAAAGATAATTATGGGGAAAATAATATGTTTTATACTGAGATTTTGGTCATAAAAACCAACGGTAAATCATGTAGGAACCTTTGCATTAATTTTCTATTACAAAAATATGATTATTATAAAAACTGTGAGTGTGAACAGACATGTTACTATGAGAGAGTATGAAAATATTTTTGTTTTTCTTCGAAATAAATTATGGCCCTCAAAATTTTGAAGTTAAAACAATGTGTAATCATTTCCTATCTTTTGAAATATTTTATTATTAAAATCCAGCATGATCCGCTATTTCAAAGTTTTTTATGAAACAGAAATTAACATTGTACTTACTGATCTACATCTTTAGGCAACTGCGACATGTAAAAGCGTTTCTTCCCGTTTAACCTGCGGGTTCTTTTTTTACAAATTTCACATATTAAGTAAGAGTACATATTTACAATATTATCTTATGAAATGATGAATTAAATTGGGACGTTGGTATACATAAATATAAATAATACCTAATGTTTTACTTTCATACAATTTTGACGTTCAATCATAAGACATTGATGGGGGCGCAACAGTGTTACCAATGAAAATTTTTACCCTTAGATTTTGTAATTTCTTGCATTGCTTAGCTAGAAAACGTAGGACATGATGACACGATAATGGTGGCATTGACAACACGGAACGCAATTTTTTTTGGGGTTCTCAGTGAACAAAAATTTCTGCCGAAGGCCGTCCATGTTCCATCTTGCAATTATAAGCAATTATGATAACAAAACAATTTGTGACTTGATTTCTCGCAGTGGTATTTTACTATTTAAATTAGTGTATCCAAACAAATTTGCACATTAATCTACTAGTCAAACCAATGAGTGAGGGACTGAATTGTTTATTTTATATACTCTTTGTTGTTTATGTTCAACATAATTATATTTAAAAAAGTTTGCTATATCTTATAGGTTAATCTTAAACCTAAATTTAAATAGTAAATGAAACTAGGGCAAGTTAGGATGTGTAAATCTTATGCTTACTATTAACCCTTTAACTGGTAGAAGCAATTTTGTGTCTCCGAAAAATGAAAACTCGTTTTTCTAATTATTAAAGAAAAAAAAACAATCATATTTAGTGGAAGAAAAAAAACATGGTGGCCAACACCAGTATGAGCTCTATTAAATTCTGTTAATGGATTTTTCTCTTGTAGTTGGTGAAATTTTTTAAAACATGGGTGCTACAAAGTGGAAAAAATTATAGAAATGTTGGTGGCACACATTGCCACCACCAGTAAAAGGGTTAAGGTAGGCCCGCATGTCTCCACGGACCTGCTCGGTTGTCCGGGTGGGCGGAGAGGTGAACTCCGACGTGGCGCGTCCCCGGGTGGTGGATAGGGGAACGCCCCGGCATTCGTGTCGGGGTAGGGCGCAAGCCCCGCGAACCAAACACCAGGGTCTGGCGGTGCGCGCAGGACTAGTCGACGAGTGGTCGATAGGTCTAGCGCGCTAGCCGGACCCGGGGCCTGGTGGTGCGCGCAGGACTAGTCGATGGTGTTCCGACAGGTCTAGCGCGCTAGCCGGGCCCCCAACCGGTGGAGGCGCCGGAGGTGGACGATTGTCTGCCTCCGTGCTGCCTATCGTGGTGGGGCCGCGGGGGGTGCGGGAAGGTTACTGGTTTATCCTGCCCTCCTTGCATCCCTCGTGGTCGGAGGGGGTGGTGGGGCCGCGAGGGATGTGGGAAGGGTACTGGTTTATCCTGCCCTACTTACATCCCTCGTGGTCGGTGTTGAGGTGTGGGGCCGCGAGGGATGTGGGAAGGGTACTGGTTTATCCTGCCCTCCTGCATCCCTCGTGGCCGAAGACGTGTGGAGGCCGCGAGGGCTGTGGGAGGGTACTGGTTTATCCTGCCCACCCGCAGCTCTCGTGGTCGGACGTGTGGGTCCGATAGCGGACGGTCGCCGGCTGGGTCGCGGAGGAGTGCTCACGCGTACCCGTAACCCGGCCATATAGCGATGAGGAGGGCTAGAGGGGTTTTAGTGGGTATGGCCGAACGACTGTAGGCGAGTCCCACACTCCCTGCGCCATTGCACACTGGCCCGGCGCAGGGGTGCGGAAGTGCATTTCCCCTCGTTAAAAAAAAAAAAAAAGGCCCGCATGTCTCGAGAAATTTGTGTTGAATGTTATAACGGATAGCGATTAGTTTTTATGAATATGGTGTTTTTATGAATAATCGCATGGTTTCACATGGTGTTTATTTATTTACTTCAAACGTGCTGTATTTTATTTGTTTACTATATTTTGTGCTCAAATCACCAGTAAATTTACAAATCTGACCTGGTAACATTGAGACCGGGTAAAAATTTTCATGGGTTGGCAGCACTGGACATGTGTCATGTCGTGAGTGGTGATCTGATCTGAATCAAATCAACATAAATAAACACAACAGTTGATATGAACCAAAGAAATGAACAGATCTTCCGAAGTAGGCATGGCTCATCCAAAGCGAAAATTGTGTGTCAAATATGTGGATTAAAGACTCAACTAAAGAACGTTCCGAGACATGTGTTCATGGCTAGGTACCTTAAAGCCTCAGAATTTTACTTTTCTTAACTTTCCAAAATTTTATGTGATGTAACTATACGGCACTACAATATACTGAAATGCGCCTTGTTTTCATAATTTTGAATTGTTTATTTATCATTTAATAGTGAGTAAATTTATGAGTTATGAATTTATGAGTTTTAAATTATTAATAAATTTTTAGAGTCAATACTGGGGTAAAAGCCACTAACAAGGAAGATCTTACTAGTTTACCATTGGAAAAAGTTTCAGCAAAATTTGTCTGTAAACATCACTTCCAGAGTAATGATTTAAAACCATCTCTAAAACATTTGAATCCTGATGTCATAGCCTCTTTGAAACTTACACCAAAAGCACTATCTGATGACCTACCGTCTGGGTTTCCTCTGCCATCTAGAAATTGTGATGGCAGGAATTTATTTCCTAACCCTCCATTAAATGGTAAGTTAAAGACTTAATAAGAATATGGTTTATTGTATTTCTTCTTCATAAAAACCTCTTTTTTTACAGACGTATCAATCATAGAGTTGCAAGACCATGATTATTGCATAAATACTGTAAGAGAAATAAGAAATAAATCTGCAGAATATTCTGTAGAGCCTAATATAGACAATACTGAAAATCCTACACAAGCTTCAGATGTTTTACCTATAGAAATACAAGAAACTGGGGTAATAGAGACTGGGGAAATAGAAACAGGGGCAGTAAAAACTGAAGCAACAGATACGAATACAATAGAAACAAATGCAATAGAAACTGATAGTAGTAAAATATCACCAAACGAATCATCGAATAACAACGTAAACTCTACAAACTCTGAACAAAACGGTAATATTCAGTTGAAAAATTATTTAAAATGATCTTTCCATAATTATTACAATATTTACTCGTTTTTTTTTTTCAGTGCAAGAAACGACAAAAGCAAATAAATCAATCAACAGATGGTTACAACAGCCAAGGTACCAAACACTTACAGCCGCTTCTGGTTTATATACAACTGTGCTGTCAGATTTAAAAGAAAAAGCGAAGAGATATATTGGAAAAAAAGATACAGTCTGTGTATTATTATTTGATGAAATAAAACTACAAGAACATGTATATTATAATTCTTATTTAGGCAAAGTTGTTGGATATGTTGATCTCGGTGAGGAGGGAGGCAGGGGAAAGGAGTTAGCCAATCATGTTTTGGTATTTATGTTGGGCAACCTAATATATAGGCCATTTTTAAAACAGCCAATAGCTCATTACTTTTTCAGAGATAAAATGTCAACAGAAATGTTAAGTAAAATATTAATAACTATTATAAAAGCAGTGAGAGACGCAGGATACATGGTGATGGCAAGTGTCTGTGAAGACAAGCAAACTTATGTAGACGCATTGAATCTGCTGAAAGGTAATACTGATAATCCTGATGATCTTAACTATTATTTAGTAGATAATGAAAAAGTTTATATTATCTATGATGTCCCTCGTTTGTTTATGGCAATAAGGAATAATTTGATACAATACGGAGAAATGGTAATAGACAACAAGAAGTTAAAATGGTCTCATTTGATTATGGCTCAAGAAAAAAATAATAGTACCTACAACTTTTTTAAAGTAAAATCACATGTTAATGATATAGACTGGACGAGAAATGGTATAAAATTAGCTATACAAATTTTTAGTAATACAATGGCAGCAATTTTAAAGTTACTTTCCGAAAGTGTGGATTATATTTTAGAGGAAGAAGAATTATTTCAAGCTGGCATTGTGATTGAATACCTTGATATACTCTTTGATTGCACCAATGGACCTTTATGTGCAAAAGATTTTAAACAAAATAGAAAATATGTAATGAAAAACAGTAATCATCATGATCAATGGATTGTTTATAAGAGAATTTTAAGTGATACATACTTTTTTATTGATAATTTGCATTATGCATATAATGTAAAGTGCATGAAGAGCTATGTAACAACAATATCATCACTTCAAGATATCTGGAGGGTAGTTACAGAAAATGATTTCACCTCTTTAAATTTAAGAAAATTTAACTTAGACGCCTTACATTCTATATTTGAATGTTTAAAGGAAGAATTGTTTAACAATAGTGTGACTTCCTACGATATTGAATTTGCTATAAACGCTTATATGCCTAAAACAAATTCAGAAACGAATTGCGCAAATGAAAATATATTATTTCACAATTTTGTTAATCAGAAAGCTATTTATATTAAAACTGATTTAGATTTAAGATGTTTGTTTTTTAGATTCGATTTAGTTCCAATTGTATACATTAGTAGTTATTGTGCTGCTGTTATTTTAAAAAATGAGATATGCGAAAACTGTCATAATATTTTGAAAGTGTCTGAAGATAAATCTGTAGATAGTACCAACATGCTAAATAAATATTGGAGGGAAAGACTTCCTGTGATTTATCCTAGTGATAAACTTTGTGATACCGTTCAAAGTGCAATGAAAGCATTTGAACGAGATGTACAACATTTATTACATATAAAAAATATTCTTAATTACAGTGTTATGATGATGTCAAATAATTGTGATGTTTCATGGATGTGTAAACAACATAGATATACAATGAGCAAGAAACTATTTCAAAATCTAAGCTATTTGTTGATAAGAAATAATTGTTGGCTAAAAAATGAATATTTAATGAAACAGTCTGGTAAAACAGCTGATAAAGTAAACGAATTAGAATCTTAAGTAATAAGATATTGATTATTAACACTCAATGCTATGATTTCTTTATACAAACATGACTGGGTAATCGGTGGCACTGAAAGTGTTTACATTGTGTTTGTTGGGAATGAAAATTATGTAAAGCATTATGTATATTGACTAAGCTCAATAAAAATTGTTTGAAATTGATTGGAATTAATGCTGAAATGTAGCATTTTTGTTTTTAATTTTTAACCTCAACTTTTATTTCAGGTTAATTTGTCTGCAAAAATAATGCATAATTGTAATAAACCGTTGCACTATAAGATGGGTGAGCATTTTTGTTGTGGGTATTAGAAAGTTGTATGTTAGGTTATATTTTCGTAATCCAAATTAAAATGAGACTTCCCGCTATGTTAAGAATTTATGTTTTTAAAATTGATAATTTTAAATGTGAATTTAATTTTTATAAGATATATTATCTTCAATATTATTGTATGTGCCATGTACATAATTTAAAGTTGTACATATGCAAATAAAATGTTATAATTAATATATGCATGAAAATCAGTAAAGCCAATTTTCCATTGGAACCTGTGCATTACTGATCCAATGCTACCAACGTAAAAAGTCAAATAAATGTATAGACAAAATGCGTATTTTTTATTGATAAATAATTTCACCAACATAACTAATCTGTGCATTAGAACGTCAGCTGGAACAGCTGATTTTCAAAGCGTAAGCCCACTGCGGCGGCTGAGCAGAGAAACCGCGTCTTTCCGCCTCCGCCTGCACTTCGTATGGACGACGCATCACTTCGAGGAGATATCTCACCTGGTTTTTAAATAGTATAACTGTAGTTCAGAAATGATTCAAAATGCCTCTTAGATCGTTGATAACGAAATAATCAATACTACAGCATATACTAAATAATTCGCTATCCGTTCTACGAACTATAGATTAGTATTTTTTAATAATATTCCATAGACAATGACAATAATATTTACCTATCTACAATACAAGCTATTAAGTACCTAAGGCTTAGAACATTCTTTGATTAGGACTTACTTTGTCAAAGTTATCCATTTCGGCGTCCAAAATAGCTTCGTGTATCAACCAGTTGCGGGGCACGTAAACTGGGTTGACGCTCAACATACGACGACGTCGCTCATCCTCGAACATACCTAAAGAGCTTGCGTCTACTGTAATTAATTATTATAATATTCAATAAGCGAAGGTGACGATCAGTCATAGACATCTGCAATAAGTTAAAAAGTAGCAGACTCGTTGCTTGAAAACTAAACAAAACGGCAGTTAGATGTCTGGGATTCTCCATCGTAAAACCTATATAGATTTAAAAACCAACCAACCGGCCTCTTTGTCGAGCCGCTCTCGATACTGATCCAGCCAGCAACCCCAGGAAGAGTGCATTGACAATCGTTTCAATGACCATTTCTCTTCCAGCTTCGTTTCACTCACCATTTCACTCGGTTCCAACTAAAATTAAGTACTCCGTTATTAATATTTCACTAATTTTTGCGTTAAGATCGGAATCGAAGTTACACTCGTTTCGTTTCTACAGTGCAACATTTAACCCTACCCCCGGACATCCCGAAAATCAGAGTCCATGTGAGACCGGATTTAATTTTTTTATTTTTAGTCTAAATAGCAGTTTCACCTCAGAAAGTTGTCGAAAAGTTGACGTAAAGTCAGCTCCCGTCTGCTGCATCATATCTAGAAGTTTCTCCACCAACTGCTCGTCGCCCCAACGTTCTTCTTTCAAACCGATTTTCATTAAGAATGTTTCTCTGGAATATATCAAATCTCCTACATTTTAAAGTTTAAAGTATTATAATAAAGACGACAGAAGCAAAAACACTTACAAGATTTTGTTCTTGCAGTAAGAGTCTAGAGTTTTCAATATATGTGACAAATGAACTTGTTGTGAAGTTGTTAAGAGAGGTTTTAAAGCATTTGCGAATTGTCCAATGTTCCAAACCACGATCTAAAAATGCTTAAATTAAGTTTTTTTCACATTTCACTACGACACGGGCAGACACCAGCAACACCGTCTGTTGCACGAATAAGCACGTGGTATGCATCACGACCACATAAGCAAGCGTCAAGTGGAAGTAATTTCGCGTTTCGTCTGATAAATGGAGGCTTAATTGTAGTCTTTTTTCTATTCTCTCATAAGAAAAGGATGGGAAGGAGAAGCGGATTTCACTAAAGAGGTGATTTAACAGAATCTGGAAAGATTCTCTTTCTGTGCGTCGCCTCTTCTGTCGACTAAAGGTAGACAACACATTTGCAATTGCGGGTATCTAGTGGCAGCGGTCACTTCGCTATTTCGGCGAATTCAGGTAACTCTTTGTTTACCACCTTACAATACATATAAAATAAATAAATAACAACACAAGATCTTGGACTACGATTGTATGGTTAGGCTAGCCTCGACTGCTCTGCCTTCACTTCTACGTAGTTCAAAATAAGCTATTAAATCCTTAGCCAGACTGTAATGGAATTTATCAGTTGTTCTACGATACTACGACATAATTTATTTAGTGTTACGTTACATCAGGTTGTTTAGCGAGAGCATATCTTCCTTCTCCGTCACAGCAATTAGGCACAAACCCACCATCATACGAGTCGACGAAACCAAAGGGACCGTAATCCAGCGTTAGACCAAGAAGACTCATATTGTCTGTATTCAAGAGACCATGCGCGAAGCCCATACCTGTAACGATCTTAAACGGTAATGAAACTCATCGTAACAAATTTATAAGCAAATATTCATATTTTTTACCTTGCCACTTAGCTACTAAATCCAAAGACCTATGTGCAACTTCAGAAAATAGCCGAATAAACCTATTTTCGTCAGTTCCATGAATATCTGGAAAGTATTCCTGTAAAAAGATCATTATAATAGAGAAAGAGAATGGTACAATCAATGAAAATAAATAGCCTATATCTCTCCAAAAATGTCTCATCTAGAACTTTCTCGGTACTAATTTTGTTTAATAAAATACTTTCGGTCCATTGATCTAACCTTTATAGTAAATTCGGCAAATTGCCTCAGCACGGATATTTCACCGGTCTTGGCGAGTATTTCCATAGAGCCGAACCGGAACCAGCTGGGTGACAGACGCAGCAAGATGGCGGCCCGCTCGCGCCGCGGACAGCCAGTGTAGTACATGTCGCGAAGCACGAAATCGTCGCTCACTGACAGAATAATACATAAAAACTTATAACATACAAAACATACGATGATAATTTTTGTACCGTCGAGAACGGAATAGTCTAATACCTTTCCGAGCGACGAACTTTTTGAACGTAACTGTAATTAACAGTAGATAACCGAGTGGGGAAATACCGGTCCGTGTATTTTAAAAAGGTAGATATATATGTACAAATTTAATATATTTTAATAAATGTCTTACCAACCAAAGCAGCGGCCCTTGTTGTAGGAATCCCGAGGTGGTAACAAGCCTCACTCGCTACCATTTCGCGGATACTTGAGCGTAGCACAGACCGGCCGTCGTGTGTCCTAGCATATGGAGTCTGACCTGAACCTTTTAGTTGTATCTGCCAGCGCTCGCCTTTTCTAAACATCGATGTTTATACAATTTTGACTTTTCTATTACTTATAGTTAAATAGGCCCCGTAGAAGAGACTTTGTGTTTCTCTTACGTTAAAATAAATATTTACCTATTCACGTATTCTCCTAAAATATGTGCCCTACCATCTCCCAACTGACCGACCCATAAGCCGTACTGATGTCCTCCATATCTGAAACAGCATTTAAGTGTATAGCTAAGTGAAGTTAAAAAGATAAATATTTGGTCATCAATACAATACAGGAGAAGAATAGTCACCTATGAGCAACAGGCAGTGCACCATACGGTAATTTCCGTCCAATTATGAATTCTAGAAATTCTTCCCTGTTCGTTATATCTGGGTCCATATCTAAAATATTTGTAAGAGCATCTTCAGAAGCACACACTAAACGAATATTACGTTCTAGCGGGCGCGGGATTACCTGAAATATAATATTGTGTATTTTTTATTGTTTACAATGTTATTTTCTTACTTGTTTTAAAAGCAAATAAAAATGACGGTACGAGTTGACTGTTCTTCCTATAAAAATATGGTTAATCCCTGATCTGACCAGCCTTAGAGGCTAACTATAAACTTTAAGAGCGTGATTCCGATTTACCTCAGAAAAGATTATGTTTTTCAAGCTTGAACGATTTTGTTCATGATTTTCGTCTATCGGAAGTAAAATATATTTTGGATATTGATTAAATCTCCACTCTGTTAGATTTGCTTTTAAAGCCGGTGATTCACCTTCCATTTTATGTATGGAATTGCTGAGTACGCCAAATAATTTATGAAAATATTTAGTGCAAAAAATTATAAATTTAAAATGTCGGAGTGACAAAGAAAAAGTCTTATTTTCACTAAAACGTTTTAATATTTTTTAAGAAACCATAAACCTTTAAAATTCTAAGAAATTTTATCTGTGTCTGTAAAGTTAACCTCCAACTTCCGCAAATTTCAGATGTCAAGAAGTGAAGAACTCCTTTGTACAAAGTACATATTTCGTTTATTTAACTAAAGGTAATTGAAATTTTTCTTTTTTGAAAAATATTTATCAGTAAAACGTAAAATATGGTGTACACTGAGGCATACATTAAAGAGAAATTGGTCAAGGAGTTGGAAGCCGTTCACGTTGTAAGTACAAACCAAAGAGCACCAACTGTCAAAACATCAATGAAAGATCTCCGCGATAAAGATTATTTTAATGCTTAAGCGTACGTGTTTTTAAATTGTGTAGTGCCATATTATTGTGGACGCGATGAGGAAGAATACAGATGGGTTTAGACTTTCTAAAGATTTTTTATTACCGGGTATACTTTTCGCTTTGGTGGTTCGATGGTGTGTCGCCGCGTATCCATATTCCGGCTATAAATCTCCGCCAATGTACGGTGATTTTGAAGCTCAAAGACATTGGCAGGAGATAACATTGCACACGCCACTAACGAAGTGGTATATAAACACGACTCATAACGATTTGGAATATTGGGGGTTAGACTACCCTCCGTTGACGGCGTATCATATGTTATTTATTGCTTATATTGCGGAATGGTTGGACCCGGAATCCGTGCGATTATTCGCCTCAAGAGGCTACGAGAATGAGAATCATAAAGAATTCATGAGATGGACTGTGTTTTTCAGTGATTTATATATTTATGTACCAGCTGCATTTTGTCTATGTATAGAGGCAGATAGAGTTAAGGTTAAAGGGGATAAAAATGTATTTAAACGGGTAGATATAGCTACTACTATACTCTTGTTATATCCAGGGTTAATATTAATAGATCATGGACATTTTCAATACAATTGTGTATCTTTGGGATTGTTTTTGGTGGCAATATTTTGTATTTTGGCTATAGAAAGTGATGTTTTAGCTTCCATATTCTTTATGATGGCAATCAATTATAAACAAATGGAATTGTATCATTCTCTGCCATTTTTCTTTTATCTTTTAAGAAAATGTTTTATAACTGTTGGACCTAAGATAAGAATCTTTAGTGTTATCGGTAACTTTAACAAATTGGCAGTTGTAGTAATTTGTAGTTTTGGAATGATTTACTATCCATTTCTGAGTTCATGGGATACTGTGTCCCATGTTATTTATAGAATGTTTCCACTAAAACGTGGAGTTTTTGAAGACAAAGTTTCGAATGTGTGGTGTTTTATTAATGTATTTATTAAGTTAAAATCAATTTATACAAATGAAATGATGGCAAAACTATGTCTGTTCACAACAACTCTAGCTGCGATGCCTTCTTGTTTAGACTTGTTTGTTAGGATTAATAAAAAGAAATTCATTTTATCCCTTATTAATGTATCATTAGCCTTCTTTTTATTTTCGTTCCAAGTTCATGAGAAGACTATTTTATTAGTTGCAATTCCTGTAGCTTTACATTTTTCGGAGGATCCGTTTATGTGCTTTTGGTTTTTGTTAGTGTCCAATTTTAGTATGCTACCGTTATTAATGAAAGATGGACTTCTATTGCCTTTTATAGCAACAACATTAATTTATATTTCCGTTTACAGTATAGCATTGAAAATGGCGAATAATACGTCAGGTCTATTTACATTTATAAATGCGAATAAAGTTTATAAAACGATACAAAAAGATAAAAGTAAAGATTCAATGTTTTTAAAAATTGTAAGTCATTACTTTTTCTTTTCTCTTGTAGGTATGGTATTTCTTACAATATGCCTGATATATGTAAAACCTCCTTTGATGTTTCCAGATCTTTATCCATTATTAATATCTGTATATTCGTGTTCACACTTTTTATTATTCTTTCTGTATTTCAATTATCAACAATTAATTTTACCAAAATGTGTGCCGTTCCCACATAAAGTGAAACAGAAATAATTGTATACAAAATATGTATTTGTCTATTTTGATTTGCTGTAATAAAATGATCAAATTTCAATTATGACTTTTTTCTTCTTTCCTACATAATGCCAGCGCTAACTTACATATAATATTACGAAATAAATAGTATGCATAACGAAAAGAATGGTAATAAAAATAACCCTGCTAATTTAAAATAGCACTCGCAAATTAATCAATCTTGAAAAAAAGAGGAAAGAAGAGATTTTCGTCTTATTTATTAAACGAAATTGTAAATAACTTCTGTGATGTATCAAAGTTAAAATTTTAACACTTTCAATGCCATTGAATTCACTTTTATTCAAAAAAAACCATTGTGTCATGGAGTGTGTTAAGTCACTATATTTTTTTAATTTATTGACAGGAAGTAACAGACGAGAGCGACGGCTGTGGCGCCAAATTCTCAGCTGTCATTGTGTCTGACAAGTTCCAAGGGAAGCCCTTACTTGCGCGTCATAGGTAATTTTTCTTTTTTTTTAATAACGGTAAATACAATCTTAAATATAATTCGCTTACTATGAAAAAAGTTACAAATTTTATGAGACTTCGACTAACAAAGGTAGAGGAGTCGTGTACGTGTAGTAGCGTATTGAAAAAGTGGTTTAAGAGACAAGAATGACTTTTAGGTTATATATTTATTTCGATTATATGAACTTATAATCTACGTCTTAATTAACGAAGTTGCGATATCAACCTTCATAATAATATGGAATAGATTAATATACAAGTGCTAAAAATGCCACATGATCTGAGGCGCAGTGCAGTGCGCAGTTCGTGTGGTTACTGTCTTTTTTCTGTTCAATACGCATGCGTGAAACACGTATCGAACGTAGCTTCAATTTATAGGAAGTCTGTGTTCGCGTTTCGGAAAAAATCGAGGTCGTATTATAATGAAGATATTGAATAAATAGGATTTGTAAATGTGCGTACTTTTCTATGTGGTATTGTGTGATTTTATATTGAGATGTTAATTTATCTTTTTTAATGCAAATCAGTGTGCGTTCCTACGGAAGTAATCTTTTCAATCATATTAGGTTGCTTTATTATTTTTAAGGGCATCGTGAGCCTATCTACGATCTAGATTTGGGGGATAGTAATATATTTTTTATTCTATAAAGAACGTATAACACGTGTTAAATTCCTTAATAAAATTCAGACTAGTTGTTTTTACGTTATCTATACAGGAATATACAGGGGATGCAGTAATATTAGTATTTCGTAGTAGTTTATTTATCTTTTTCGATTTTCTAGGTTAGGAAGTCAGCTGACCTTCCCTGACCTTCATTAGCGACGCCCATTATGATTTTAGTATATTTTTCTCTTTCTATTTAAAAATAAATACATTTATTTGACTGTAGCTTAAGATTTTTTTAACTATGATAATTAATCATATATCCATTCACTATTTTGCTCTAGTGATCTTTTAACTAATTGTAATCAATATCTGTCATGGATCTCGTTTACGAATTAATATACATTTTTTCCTAAACTTTTAACAATTTTGTACAACATAAACAGCTCTGTATTGTTATGTTAATGGACAAATATATGTTTTAAACGTCGTCCGCATACTCTTTTATGTCTTAAAATATGTACATCCGGTAAAGTGAGTTACTTTTGTTGCTATAATACAAATGCACAACAAATTGTTTTTTTATCAACAACCCGAGTTATTGCCATTTAACTTCAACTCGTACACATGTCTATACAATACGTAATTCAAAATAAAATTTGCTAAAACCTTCATACTCATTTTTACATTTTTAATTTGATCGCAACATTAGATAATAATTTCTTTAAGTTTAAGTGTAACTGGTTGCATAGAAATAATACTATTACTGGCTGAAAGAAAATTACCTCCGACAATAAAAAAAATAACCGTTATTTGTTCCGCAGGCTGGTAAACTCAGTACTGCAAGAGGAGTTGAAGACGATACACGCGTTCACACAGAAGACGCTAACAGTGGAACAGTGGAAACAACAGTCGTAAAAACTGTTTAGTATATTATAATAGAATTATTATAGACTCTGTGGTTTTCTTTAACCTTTAGTACCCGGTCAAGTTATTTGTGAGTGTGATAAAAAAAAAACCTGCCCGTAAAAATGGAAATTCTAGAAGTGTCAGCTCCAGGAAAAATAATCCTACATGGTGAACATTCTGTGATGTATGGAAAAACAGCTTTGGCAGTAAGTTTGGGAGTGAGATCTTCTGTTGTCCTCAGGGTAAATATTTTTTTTAGATTTCTTTTGAATGAAACACGCTGTGCTGTTTAACTTTTTATTTGACCTTCTTTATTATGCAGATTATGAGATAACAATAGATTATATAATAGAGATGTTTGTATGTGGTTAATAGTTAAAGAAAATAAAATATTGCTTAGTACTAGAAATACAAGGTTAACACTTTGTTAATTGATGAATCAGTGATGTGATGTTAGGATATAACGGTACTATAAATTTGCATTATTTTTTTAATTTTCCGTTGATTTCAAATTAAAAAAAATGTTTCGCTGTATATTTAATTTTATTTATTTACACGACATTTGACACAGTTCAAGTTAATATTTAGTTGAAGTACATAAAGTCTGTATGTCCGTAAGGCCGCGTTTGTTTCGGGTTACATCCGGAACGGCTTGACCGATTTTGACGGGACTAGGAGGGTAGCTAATGCACGCGGGTATATTAAATTCTGCGTTGACAAAGTCGGGCCACCACTAGTTCTTAATAAAATAATAATATTAACATTTTCAGCAACAAGAGCCTACAGGGTGTCCCGTAGTCCATGTCATATTTCCAAACATCGATTTAGACGAGTTATTGCCTTTAAAACCAATCGCGGAAATTTTCCCCGGCGAACCTGTTAGGGTGGACCACGAAGATTATATAAATAAAATAAATAACCTACTTTGCCGCATCCGTCCGAACTTCGAAGAACTCAAAGATACCCAGAAAAATTCTTTAAGAGCACTTTTGTATGCTTTAATAGGAATTTTTGGTACAACCAATTTGGATATAACGGATTTTACAATACAACTGAGTACAGACTTGACTGTCGGTGCTGGTACGGGCAGTTCCGCCTCGTTTGCGACATGCCTCTGTGGCGTGTTCGTCAAACTGGTGCAGCTGAAGACCACCGGCGAGATTCTTGATTTTAGCGAAGATGAGAAAAAATTGGTTTCCGGTTGGGCGTTTAATTGCGAGCGGATCATGCATGGCGCACCCTCTGGTAAGTTTTTATTTTTTTTCGTTATTAAAAATATGTACTTCTTTCGCGGACCTTTAGATATAACCTAACCTCATGAATGTAATTAAAGACACAGAAGATTGTTTTTCCAATAATTTAAACTATCCATCGGTTAAACTCTAGATGGAATATTCCAAAGAAATTTATTTTTCATATTTTTTAAAAGTTAAGCCTATTTTCATAATTGTATTCACATAGCTGTAATTTATATTACAAGCTGACAAATATGAAAGCGGCCAGCTGGATTCGTCAAAATAGCGTGACGACCGCTGCAATAGACATTAATTTTAAGAAGAAAATCAAATAGGCACAAAATAATAGGTTATATAGCCAGTCCATTTATTAGTCAATGCCATCACTAAATGGATGTGCTTACCGGAGTTATAACGTTCCCAGGCATAGACAATACGACGTGTACATTCGGGGCACTAGTATCATTCAAGAAGGGACAAGTGCCAGTGCTTCGTCCGAGCCCAGAGTTGCGCGTGTTGTTGGTGGACTCCGGGGTAACGCGTGAGACAAGCCGGCTGACTGCGGCTGTGGCGGAGCTACGCCAATGCTATTCCTCTGCAGTCGGTCATATCATGGAGGCAATGGATAATGTTGCTCTTACCGCTGAACAGGTGAGTGCAAGAACATAGGTGTAAACACTCTTAACATTGCTCTCTGGTGATGTTACATACCAGTTATTATAACTATAGTTATATTAGTTAAGTCTACAACACCGCTACAAATCGCTACTATCAGCACTAAAACGGTGGAAATCCAATAGGCACAATGTACTACGTCTTATAGCCAGTCCATTTATTAACTCTGATGTTTTTTATTTGTCACGTGTCTTCTGTGTTTACTGCTAGAGAGAACCATTCCAGCTAATGCTGACCGGACATTACGGTTGCACATGAGAAAACGTAAAAAATATCACTTGAAGTTCGACTGTTTGTTTGAGTTTGCCAGTTTAGATTCCTCGACAATTGTTTCTTTAAAATCTTTGTTCCAGCTGCTACAAAAATTGGTTCAACCGGAATCTGAAGAAGAAGTCCACGCCGCTTACAAACATTTGCATGTATGTATTTTATTCAATATTCATTTAGCAAAATTAATTATATAAAAATGTTATAGTAATACCATCATTATTTGACCTCTCTCCTGCAGAGGGTATATGGTAAGCTTAGACCTAATTTTTGTTCCTTTCCCATTCCACCCTTTTCTTATAAGGATGGGGAGAGGATGTGGGTTTGTGGAGGGGGACGCATATGAATGGGAACTTATTATATATTATGGGAACGCATATTCTCTTTTTGTGCGTCCCCTCCGACGTGTAAAGGTAGGCAACGCATCTTTGAGCAGCGGTCGCTTCGCTATTACGGCGAATTCTGTGGCCGCATGCTCGTTTACCACTTTATGATATAAAAATACTCTTTCTACACAACTAGGAGCTATGGGAGATGAACCACTGCCTGCTGGCGTCGCTGGGCGTGTCACATCCCGCGCTGGAGACCATCCGCGCCATCGCACACGAACATGGCCTCGCCTGCAAGCTCACCGGCGCCGGCGGTGGAGGGTAGGACGATAAAAAAGTTTACACATTTAAATGTCATTTAACCGACAAGGTTATCTGCCGGTGGGCATAAGTCAAACTAAATTATGACAACTCACTAGCGCCCCTGTCAATGTCAAAAATGTGACCCAAAATCCTTTCGTACTTAGCTGTCATCTTTTTTTTCTTTTATACCTTTTTATGCCTATGAAGGTTTTACATATTTTTGACAAACGCCTGGAACTCGCCTCGCCTCGCTGGCAGTATGTTTATATTTACTATTTGTTTGTTAAAAGAAAATAAACTTGTATTTTCCAGTAACGCGATTGTGTTGGTACCACCTCACACACAAGAGACTACAGTGACGTCATTGAAAACTACACTTGTAAGCAGAGGTTACAAAGTCGCTGACACTATAGTCGGTGGTCCCGGTGTCATCATTAATTATAAAACTCAACTTTAACATTTTTTTACATATTTTAAGTAGTGGCAGAATTGTAACATTCCTTTTGCCTAATTAAAAAGGTAAATGTCAAAATTGACGTTTAGGATACGTCAAATTTGATTTTTTTATTGTTGTGGAATTCTTATTGTGTGGCTCGAATAATTTATTTTATTAAAGCATTCCTTTTAGAATAGGATATTTGGAAAGTTTTTAGACTGGTTTTTAATATTTACTTGTAGGCTTTACAGGTTGTATGTAAGCATAATAATATACATATAAGCATAATAACGTAATAAATAATGCATTTGTGGATTTTCTGTTTTTTTTTTACCTACCTATCAATTTTTTGACGTCTCAAAAATTTGACATCTACCCACATTTTGTATTAATAAAACACAATTTGATTTCCTTTTTATTTATTATCTTCACAATGTTTAGACGCTGTTATATACTACAATTCGAAAAATTAGTAAATAAATTTTTCTTAAATACCTAAATGAATGTAATACTGTTTGATAAATTAACTTGATTAAAATAAATAAAAATTTCAAAAAATAATGATAATAAAATCGATAAATTAACAACAAAACTTTCGTCATATAAATTAATAAAGCACATATAGAGCTGCAAATTGGACTAAAGGCACTTCTCTTCTTACCAATACATATCAAAATTAGAAATGAAACCCTTGCAAAATAAACCATATTTTGTACTTGCCAAGAAGGAATGATCAAGGAATGTGATAGTAGAGATCGGTAACAAAATTAATAAAAAAAATAGCAAAATTTCTTACTTTGCTCGACAAAGAAGAAAAGAAAAAAAATATTTGTGGTTTTTGTATTTTACAAAAAGTAAATGTAATGACAAAATATTTAAAAACACAGTCATCTCTTTCATTTACTCTGAAAAAATCTGAGATAGCTATATGTAATGATAGTTCGTATATTTTGCAAGAATTTCATTTCTATATTAATTACATATTTATATGGCAACACACATTTTATCCAGCATCTAACTACATGTAAGTAATGGTCAATAAAATATCATAAAACTAAAAAAAAAAAGGAAAACTTACTCAAAATATACATACAGTATTGTAGTACCTACTGGTGATACAACTGGACATATTGTCATCTCTATCTATACCTTTGAAATAACAGAGATAAAAAATATACTTTTGTACAGGATAGACTAAAAAAAATATTATTATGAAACCTACAGAGTAATACACACTAATTTAAAAAAAATCTAATTTTGAAAAAAGAATTTAGAAACACCATAAAATTTTTGAAAAATTGGCAGTGAAGGGTTTAAACAAATTCAAACATAATATCTCTGTTATTCCTAAAATTGTGAAAATAGTCATTTTAATTTTAAATAATTGTAGATAAATTAATTAATGTTTTTGAGTAAATTTTGGTGTTAACTGCCTAACATTGAATTATTGTTATTTTTTTAACCTGGCAAGTTCACTATATAAGCATAAGCACCATTCATCTATCCCTAAGACTACAATATACATAATATCGATCTATTTACATGACCATATTTTACATTAGATCAAGTTCATACAATTTTTTTTTCATTAATCAATTAATAAAGTAATTTTTTTACTATATTTCAGAATAGGAAAATATAAATTCCTATTTACCAAGCTTCTATAGTACAGGAAATGAGTTTTAAGCTTGGTTAAACACTTTAAAAAAATAACAATTTGTTCTTTCCAGTCAATAAAAAACATAGAGACTTGAGAATGTTCTTTTTTTGAAGTTGGTTAAAAATGTCGCTACCTTTGACCCCTATATACTACTGGATAGGCTATAAGCTGTAACATTTTGTGCTCAATTGATTCTCAGTATTAGCCAATGCCGAAGGAAACATTCAAAAGCAGCAAAATCTCAGACAGCGATCAATCCAGTTTGTTTTAATAGAGATCAGTGGTGCCAACATAAAAAGCTACATCAAATTCAATTCTTTCTAATTGAAATAACACTTTTCTTTGTCTATATTTATCATCTACATCAAATGAGTCATATACCATGTAGTTACTCTAAAAAGGCTATGGTTTACCTTTAATTCAATTAAATCAATATTTTACATGTTATATCTAAATTATAAGATTCTATACCTAATATTGGTGTTAATATCATTGGTTTTAATTAGTAGCAAAAAATCTTTTATAATCGTTTCATTATTGCATTAAAAATAATAAAACGTAAAATTAAGTAAAGAAAATTTCACTAAAAAATGTACCCATTTACAATACAATTAAACCATAATCTCAATTTAAAAGGTGACTAAAATCTCATGTAAATTAATTTTTAAAATAAAACAATTTGATCAAGCCTTGCTTTTATATACTTCTATCACAGATGTTAAAAGTTCAGAGATAGCGAACCTTTATATATCAATATGACATTTTTCTAAAGAATTGCTCAATTAGTTTATAGAAATTCCATGAAATTTTTTTAACTTTGTGATTATTAGGAACATTTCGTAGCGTAGGAATGACTCGTGTTCGCTCCTCATATTATACCTACACACACTTTTTGTGGTGCCTAATCTATTTTGCGAAATTGACATGCCCAAAATATTTAGTCGCGTCATCGGTTCGCCATCTCTGTTAGTTATTATAATTTAGCTAAGCCTAAAGCATTATGAGTGTTATTAATTGCCTCTTTTAATTACTATCTACGTTTTAGTGAGTTCTACAAAAAAACAGCTTGTTTTGACTTGAGTGACACATGACATTGACACATTTTTTTTTTAATTTTATGACCCGGTAACATAGACCTTTAGGTCATTTCTTATTGACACATTGTCTTTGTGTTTTCAAAGAATATTTAAGGGATGATAAAGTATGTCAATACAAGTATTACTGCTGTCAAAAAGTTTATTGACAAACTTATATCACTTAGTGGACATAATTCAAAGTAAACTGCATTATTATAGTAGCGCCCTAGTCAATAAGTTTGTCGGACTTTATATAATTTACTGTGAATTTCTGAGACCGAAATCCCCGTTTAAACATATTGTCTATCTCTATTTTGTCAAAGTTAAGACAGGGATGATATGTTTTATACAGAGATTTTGGACTCTGAAACCAATGGTTAAATGTCTAAATTTGTGACTAATCAGTGGGTTAAGATAAAATGTCCTTCAACCAGAAATACAATATCCGCTACTAATAACTTTTAACTAATATTTATACATCACTAGCTGTCGCCCGCGACTCCGTTCGCGCGGGATTATAAATAGATCTTGCCTGATTCTCAGAACTACACAATATGCTAACAAAATTTCATGAGAATCGGTCAAGCCGTTTCGGAGGAGTGTGGGAACGAAAATTGTGACAAGAGAATTTTATATATAAGACGAATTTGCATTTTATTTCTATAACATAAATATTTTTATCATAATCCATACAAAAGAATAAATAAAGATTGTTTCTTGATTAAATTACCATTTCATTAATAAATTAATTATTTAATATATTAACTGTGTTTTTTTTAAGTAGTATATGTCAAACATGCACAAAACATATGTTTGACATTCGAAAAAAAAACAAACATCCATAGTTATATGGAAACATAACCTCAAAGTTTCAATATACATACCTGTATTCCTATTGAGTCACGGCAAACTAAATGTAAAAAAAAATCACTTGTCACTTTCACTAATCACGTCACCATCATCATATCATAAAGTCTTGTAAGCTTCCCAAAGAGGGAGAAGTCTGTTCCGTAAGGCAATTAGAAGCATGTCCTACAATTGGTAGCCGGGCCTTATCTGATGGTTGTCGCCATCAGGCTGCTGGATGAGAGGCGGCGCCAGCGGGTCCTCACTGGATGTCACCGTTGTTGATGGAGGCAAGTCTGGAAATTATACAAACAATTACAGTTAAGGGTAAAAATGACACACCAATTATGACATCTAACCATATCCTTTAACGATTAACTGTGGGTTTCTGAGTCACAAATCCCCGTTAAAATGTATTGCTATTTTTGTCTTGTGAAAACGTAAAAAAAATAACAATATGTTTTATACAGAGATTTTGGTATCACAAAATTCAGGGTAAGAATATTGAATTTTTTGGCAAATATGGAAGAAGAAATATCCATTCTGTGGTGTCCCCTACACTGTCGATTAAAATTAAGCATCGCATCAACAAATTCGGATGTCTATGGATAACGGTATTTTGGCAAATTCAAGTGGCCGTTACCTCAGTTGCCACCTTTGCTAAAAAAATATTTTTACCTTCGCTTTCATCTTCCTCTGACAACCACTTCAGTATATCAGCTTGGTACATACGTCGTTGGAGAACTTCTTTCGTACGCGGCCGGGAACCGATAAATGTTACGTCCACCTACAAAAATAATTACATATTAAAAACAAATTTATTTCATTTTATCATCAGCTATAAGTCCCCACCGAGGGGCTCGGAGCCTACCCTAACTTAGGGGTGACTAGGCTATAGTCAACCACGCTGGCCAAGTGCGGGTTGATTGACTTCACACATATCTTTGAATTTCTTCTCAGATATGTGCAGCATCACGATGTTTTCCTTCACCGTAAGAACGTCGGATAAATGTACATATGTAAATCGGAAATCGAAAAACACAATAATCTATGGCGGGATTAGAACCCAGGACCTGCAGATTGCAAGTCAAGTGCTTGACCCCTGAGCCACCGACGCTCTAAACGCTCTATTAAAAAAAAATACAAAATTGTAAAAAATAGGAACACGTACGCTTTATTTGAACCCAAATAGTATAAAATATACATATATATATATATATATATATATATATATATTATGTTTTAACTTACTCCTGGAGGTAAGAACGGTCTCAACTCATCAGCCAAGTCCCCGCTGACACCGAGCCGCTGCGCCTCCTCCCAGTTTGTATGGACTTCTTCGTGGAGTAATTTCTCCTCTATAATTAATAGTAATATAAAATTCCATTAAAATATGAAGTGTGTAGTTGAAATTTGTTAAAAATATTAAAGCTAATTTAAAAAATGCACACTAAAATCGCTCAATAGTTGCTATTGAACTTTTTACTGTGAGTTTCTGAAAACTAAATCTCTTTGTAAACATATCGTCATCCCTGTCATTATATTTGACAAAACGGAGATTTCTGTCTCAGAAACTCACAGTTAGTGAGTAAATCTGCATCAAACGTTAATTCAATGGTGTCCAGTGTGACGAACAACTAATTAAAAAAAATCTACTGAACTATTTTAGAAAAAATTACGATGTATCGAATGTTTTTTATTAATTAAAATTAATAATTTTATTTTACGTACCA